GTAATAATGACACCTTTAGGTGTCTTGATTATATATGTGCTGAAGAGGCTCAACACGGCGAATGAGTCGGCCAGCCTGCTGGTTTGATGGGGGTACTGGTTCGTGTGAACACCCTAACCCTGAATCTTGAATTACAAAGAACCTGTAATCAGTTTACACAGCACAATGCACTCAGACAGCGTTGCGTGAGCCGAAATGTTCTCTGCTTCAAACCTTGCGCAGTTTGAAATGGACTCTATTTCTCTTCTAATCAAGCTCAATGCCTCAGTTATTTTCCCCTATTTTTGTAGGTGTTTTGTTTCCTTGACCGCTGCACGAACATGATGAGATAAAGAGTGGAGCGATCGGTGATGACGTTGAATCCAACGGCCGTCTGCCACAGCGTCGAACAGGGGTCTTGGCGAGATTTCTTCCCCAATCTCTCTCTGCTTCATATTGGTGCAAACCTGAAGCGATCGTCGGTGCCGCAGGGGAGATCCTCGGCCCCGTTGTCTTTGTGCCTTTCTCCTGTTGGACACGGGCTGATAAGTTTCCTGCCGGTTAGGTATCACTCTTCCTTTGGGACCGCAGCTTGCAACCCTCGGTTTCAATTCCTCCTTCGCGAAGCCGACCGAGCGACCCGACGTCTCCGATCACGAAAGTCGCACTCATCGAGAGATTTAAAGGGCCACAAACCGTGGCCCGCCTTGGCCAATTCAACGGCATCGCGATCTATGAGATAGTCCCTTGCTTCGAACGAGCCTCAATGGCGTCACCAAACGAACACGAACACCCCCCACAACGGCCGGCGCAACGGGAACAACCACCAGAGTCCCCGCGCAATGGCGACGATGGCGCTGGGGGCTCAGGGCAGGAAAGCACACTCGATAATGCTTTTGGCCTCGCACCCCAGCAAACTAAACACCAACGACCGGCCCTTTTCTCAGACGACTACAATGACGGCAACGACAACGCCTCCTTAACCTCAATTCCTTCCAATACCGCCTCTTCCGAAGCCGTAACCTCCCCGAGCGCCTCCATCCCCCCATACTGGTCGCACTCGCGCGCCGAACAGCAACAAGGCCAACTACGACCACAGACGTTGGGGCACTCGCGCGTGGTCTCTAGCGCTTCGGTCGAATCCGTGCTACCCCCGGGCGCCATCACACTACAAGACAACGAACGCGATGACGAAGACGAAGAAGGGGACGGGAATGGGGATGGCGTCAATGGCAACGGGACCGGGCGCGGAGCGGAGAGCGCCGGTCGACGGAGTAACAGTAGCGAGTTGTACGGGCGGGACCGCAACCGGGCGTGCTGGGCGCGCAGTGTGCGGGTGACGGACCATGTTATGGTCAATGGGAGCACGACGAATATCGGGGCGTTTATAGTGTGGAATATACGGGTCGAAACGTTGAATGTATGGCTTCTCACCCGTCCGACCAAGCCTACCCACCCCTCCCCTCTCCCTGGACCTTCTAAGGTAGCAAAAATAAGGGGAAACGGAGTCGCTAACGTGGACCTTTTCCGGGTTAGGGCTCTTACATGAACATCTGCAAGCGCTACTCCGAGTTCGACGATCTCCGCCACCGGTTGGTTCAAACCTTTCCGAATTTTGAGGCGGCGGTGCCGGCGCTGCCGCCGAAGAGTGTGTTGAAGCGTTTCCAGCCGCGCTTTCTTGAGAAGCGGCGGGCCGGGTTGCAGTATTTCTTGAAGTAGGTCGCTTTTCGTTCTCAACACACTCTGCTGTGTACCCAGGTATAACGATTCTTCGTTGCTCATTGCTGACTGCTAACCCTCGCTGTCTCAAGCTGCATCCTCCTCAACCCTGAGTTCTCTGGTTCTCCTGTGCTCAAGGAGTTTCTTTTCTGATGATGACCATGCCGGGTCCGCGTGTAATGGTATTTTCATGCGTGCTCCTTTCTATTTAGCAACGAAGCCACGACTCGCAGAGTAATGATTAATATTGGATAATGACCACATACACACACACATATACGTCCCTAAGTAGGGAAGGATATGAATACCGGGTTAGCGGTCCGTGTTTTCCTTGCTCTTAGTTTATTAGTGAGGGTGTAAGGCAAGAAAAATACACCCCTTGTGTTCGGAGGGAACCTCTGGAGTCTACCCCGTCCCATATACATTACAAATCCAGAATATTTTTTGCCTCGTCGAATAATCGACTCTTAGTGCCATTGTGGGGCCCGAGGCAAACAAAGAACGCCGCGCTCCAATGCAAACATGAACCCAAATGCCCCCTGGCCTAGGAATTAGCCTCGCCGTGCCACTCATGAGTGCAAGCAACAGCCCCAGCCGGGGCCGGTTTTTCTTCTATTGAGCCCTCCACCCCTTTTTCGCATCCTTTGTCGAGGTCCTTGAGACCCGGCACTCTTCTGAAACCCCCAAAACACAGTGTAGTTTTCTTTCATTGGGTATCCTTCGTAAATCAATCCACCTTGCGTCCGTTCAAAGCCGCTTTGTTCTGCTTCTGCTTCTCGTGCGGGATTGTGAGACAGTTGATGCCCAGGAAACGGCAGATGCTCGTCGTGACAAGCCAAGCCCAGCGGAAGTAAACGACGGCGGAAAAGATGAGGTAGCCGAGTAGGTACAGGTACTCAAACTCGGCAGAGACGGCGGGTAGGCCGATGAGCGGTAGGTTGGCGAGCACGGCGCCGCCGACAAGGGGCCAGAGCATGACGGTCCAGTACGGGAAGGGTTGGCGCGTCAGGTGGGCGAGGATCATCTTGGTGGTCATGCGGCCAAAGACGAAGCTCATGATGATGCAGAACAGCACTAGGTGGTTCTCGGAGCAGAGAGTTGAGTAGGGCGAGTAGAGCCAGGCGCCCGTGGAGAGGGTGAAGACGGCCATGGGCGTCCACTCGAGAAACACGGGGGCCACGGGCAGACCTTTGGCGCGGCGCGCCTTGACCACGTGATAAATACAGAACGGGATGTGAGTGAAGAGAAGCGACAAGACGATGACAGTCACCCAGAGATCCCGGATTGTGAGGCTCTCGAGCAGCTCGTCGGACAGGCCAAAGGCACTGAGTATTGAGGCACGTGAGCCCAGGAGGTCGGCGAGGGGTTCCGTCCAGATGCCCGGGCCATAATATCCGGAGAGAATCATGAAGGTGCATGCAAGCAGCAGCCCTTCGGTTGGACCGTTGATGACGCCGAGGTAGAGCGTGTGGGTGTGGTAGGTCTCCCATGTAGAGAAGAACATGGGTAGACACGGGCAAAGTGCGGTAAATACGCCCGCCTTTGAGGTCCCCAGACCCATGGCCGCCGTCTCGAGCAGGCTGGCGAGCGTGCAGTTGAGGCTATCGATACCGTGGTCGAAGAGTTCTCCGAGGCCGCTCGAGGTGCCGGTGCGGCGAGCTTGCTTGCCGTCGACATTGTCAAAGGTCTGGTACATGAAGAGCCCGAAGGCGAAGCTGTAGTACACCCATGGTGGTGCCTGTTCAAGGTTAGCCGGAAGCTGCCCAGTTGCAGTGGTGCTGGGGGGTGGTATTATGCTCACTGGTCCTTCAAGATCCGGCATCATGACCACCAGCAGGCCGATGTTGAACAAGATGCACATGAAACCCAGTAGGGTCACCATATTGGGTGCGAGCCATAGCGGTAATAGCTCGACGAAGGTATTCCACTGTATCCCCAATCTTAGCTAAGTTGTTCTTTTACTAGGCATTATGCCTGCGTGCAAGCAGCTTGTCGCGCGAAGCGCACGGTGGACAGGCGGGGCAAAAGTGCATACGTATGGCCTTAGAATGTAGTGCGATATCGGCGACTTGTCGACGGCCGAGTACTTGTAGCTCTTTAGGTGGATGAGGGCATCGTCTGATACGCACTCGGCGGCGGCTTTTTCTATTGGTTGGGCAGGTGAGCTGTCAGTACACAGGATCGTGGTGTTGGTGTATGTTGCTTGCGATGTACCGGCGTCTGTTCATGGGAGGGAGAACGGTAGTGTGGGGCCAATCGACGTACTGCTGTTGTTAGGAGCCATAGCAGGCTCTCGGCTGGAGGGCGCGAAACAGCGTTTGCTTGCCGATGGGAAGTGTTGTTTTCGTTAGGTACGATCGATGGGAGGCTATTCGTGTGGTTTAACAAGTGTTGGGTGGTTTGGAGGATATTGCGCCGCACTGGGAGAATTCTGAGAACAGGAATCTCAGTGGGGACAAAGAGGACGGCCCAGGGAAATGAAAAAAAGGGTTAGTTAGAGCCACCGAGGTTGACCGGCGGCAGCGCAGAAACTGAGGTGTTTGTTTCGTATTTATGACAGTAGTGGAAGTGACGCCGAAGGTCTCATGCATCTGCTAATGCTGTAACAGACACGCAATTTTTCTTCAGGTCCCCTTTTTCTCGCGTCTTTGCTCGAGTTGTTGAGACAAAAGCTGGCTGGCGCATTGCGAATCAAATCCCAACACACAAGCTTTCCCCGGTTGGCGACCCGAGGATCCACACCTACCGCGTCCAATTCTACCGACACGTGAAAGTGCGGCTGGCGGTGAAGCTGTGGTTCATTGGCCACTTGAGATCCTCAGCCATCCGAGGGAAAGTTGAGAAAACACGCTATGCAGCTAGGAAAACTATTTTGAGGCTCCCGGCGTTTAAACTAAGGAAGAACTTTAGGAGATTCGATCGACTGTGTACGACCTATGTAAGGAACCCACTGGCCAGGAACAACATTGAGATCAGATGGCGATGGTATGTACCCAATGAAGAGCAGGCAGGATATCAGATGAAGCACACGAGACGATGGTTCACGGTTGACAGACGGGACGTTGCATGCCTGTCAAATTTAGTGCAGATGAAATTACCGTACCCCCTAACAACGCTGAAGAATCGAAATACAAGAGCTGCGCTGACGAAAACCTCAATTTTGAGCCACTAATGCAACAATTACCCAGTCCCAAGAATGCGTGACCCGACCCATCATATGATCGGCCCATAAAAGAATAAACCCAATTAACAGTGTTTCCAGAGCCGGTTGGCGACTGACTCCCTCAACGCCCCGGCCCCACCAACTAGGACATTGGTGTTTTGCAACACCGAGACGGTCAGATTTACCCCGGATCTTCAAATTAACCACCACCCCACCTTGGCAACACAACATTCAACGTCACCGCCACGACTATTACCACACTTCGCTCATCGGGTGAACTTTAAAGCACCAGAGCGAACCCCGCAAACAAACCGCCAGCAACCATGGCCAAGCCGTAGGAGTCGCCGAATCGAAGAGCACCAGCTGCGTTGCCGTTGCCGCCATTGCCCTGGGAGTCATCGCCGGAGCCGTCGCCGAAGCCGTCGAAGGCCTGGCCATCGGGAGAAGGGGTGGACGTGGACGTCGCCGAGGCAGTGGGCGAGACGGTCGTCGAGGTGGCGTTGGAGTGGGGCCTCTGGGCGCCGCATGGGTGCTTCTCACGGCACTCGGACGCGCAGGTGTTGTCGTTGCCACATGCTGTCACGCACTGGTTGCCCCACTCAGTGCAGACGTAGTAAGGGAGTGTGAGAGTGTATTCGGTCACGTTGGGTTGCTTGCCGTCGCTGCAGACACAACCGTAAGTTAGGGAGTCCTAGGCAACGAGGAACATAAATTGTTAGTTATTGGGGGTCTTAGAGGTAGAGAGGAGCCGTTTAACAACATGTGGGTTCGGGAGTCAAACTTACGGGATCGCAAGTGTTCACCTGCGGTGACCCAGTCGAGGTCTCAAGGCAGATAGGCCGGCACATGCTCAACTGGTCGTTGCACCATGCCTCTGTTCCACTCTGTTAGTGACTATGCTTCATAGTATTACCATCTTTTCTCGAGTCAAATCGAATGGGGATATCCTACTCCTCAAACTCTCGGAAACAGAATCAGGGTTGATAACGTAGTCAGCCGAAACGGCGACGACGCTGACAAGCGCCAGAAGCGTTGTTCGCAAGGAGATCATGTTGGGTAACTGTAAGGTGGATAGGCTCGTCTGTGATGGGAGTCGCGTCGAGCTGATTGTAAAGGGAAGAGGTTGATGGGTAGGATAACGAAAGTTGGTGACTATTAACGAATGTTATGGTCAGCAGCTCGGACACCTCAGGCTTGCGTCGACAAGGGCGCAGAGACAATTGATTCCACAGTTGTCTGGAGAAGGAAGGGAGACAGGGAGGTAGCGGTCTGGGTGGTGAACTGACATTCGATGTCTCTCCGGACTCAGACCCTCGAAATAGGGGTGTTTGAGATTACACTATTGATTATGGAATGGTTCGTTGATTAGAGCAAAAAGAAACAAAGGCTGAATTCACACGGAAACGAAGGCGAGAAGAAGGGGATTAAAAGGTCCCAGAACGAACGGTGTATGTATTAGTGTATTGTAAAACGAATGACGGTACGACGCGCCGGGGGAAGCAATTCAGGATGATGATGAGAACGGCGCAGGAAGCAGAGAACAAAACGGGCATGCTACGATAAAATGCGACCGGAATCTCCAGCGACCCCGGATCCAAAGTGGGCGCCATGGGAAGCTCCCGAGGGCCCCGGGCTGCACTGGATTGGCCAGATACAACACCTTCATCAGGAAGGCGCACTCGTGATAGGCCGGAGCTCACCACCCCAGCTCGTTTCGCCGTGTTCGTTCCGACCGCCGCAGGGATCAGCCCAAGTTTGTCGGCGGAGAAGATCACTGAGGCGCTGCGCCTTCACGCGTTGCAGCGTTGCAAACTTGCCTGGAATGAAACCTCCGTCTGTTGTGAATTAGGATCTTGGGATTCCGGAGGACGGGAGGCTTTGGCCGCCAGAGCGGCGTTTGCGGCGTGGCCTGACCGTCTCTGTCTCGGACGGTTGGAAGACAGTCCGATTTTCTCGAGGGCTGGCTGGGAAAACAAGACATGTTTTGTTCCTGGTACGCCCGGGATGGGAGGAAAGCAAGGTGACGGCGGAAAGACCTAACATGAAGGAAACAACCCAGGGGCGATCAAGCCTGCTTCGTACTCCACCGTGTTTACATGGTATGCATTGAGGAAAACGGGCGCTCATCCGATAACTCGACGGGTCCGTTCCATGAATGGATTGTCTTGCTCACGCTCACTCATCCGGCTGCCTATGCGGCGTCCCCAACTCCCCGTCCATCCGTGCCTCTCGCGCCGGCTCGGAATACACAGTACTTTCAGATCGCCCCCATCCAGAGGGATGCTATCTGAGGCACGCTAAGGTAGGTAGAAAAGTTCACATTCCTGTCGCGAGTGCATCTGTCGTCCACGAAGAGACCGGCGGCGCCAGATGAGCTGCCCTTTTTGGTGCTCCTGGCGTCGTTATTTTTGATATCTCGGCTGGCGGGGGTCGCGTGCAGCATTGCATACGAGGAATTGGAACCCGCCAGGACGGAGCCCAACTGCTTTGGTACGGTTGCTGTTGAAATGGATTTGCCCCAAAACCTCGTATTCCCTTGGCATTTGTCTTCGCTGCTTACCACCCATCCTCTACACTCCAAGCGCGCATCTCTCTCGACAACTCGCCTCACCATATCGCCAAATATATCCAAACTGATGTCTGTCGTTGGGTGGTGGCGAAGACGGGATGCGGCTTCCCCACACCGGGAATCCCAAACGGCCCCTCAGGCGGCCTGCAGTCGAGCGGACGAAACAGCCAATCGAGATTTCCGTCCTCAAGTTGAATTGAAGGACCAAAGGACGGACGATCCGCGTGAGCTCGGGCCCTGGGGGCTTTTCACACCTCCACGACTCCGTAACGTTACTTTGTTTCTCTCTTTTGTTCATCCTAACTGAATGATGTGCCGGCAAAAATTCAAAATAGTAAACGAGTTGTTTGTTTTGTTGAGTTACTGCGCGCGGCCCAGCGAGAAGGGATTGACCGGGTGGAGACGCAGGGTGTACACTAAAAGTAAACATTCCCACTAGACAGAGCTGGGGATCCAAGTAAATACTGGCGCTCACACACCTATATTAAATAGTACTCCCAGACGACCACAATGAAGGAGAAAATATGGTGACCGACCGACGCTTTTCATGGAGGCCCGGCTCCGTAATTACTCTTGTTTCCTCTAAGAATTCTAAAGCCACAATGGGCGAATTGATGTCCGCGTCGAGCACCTTACTGCCAATTCTTGGCTACTAGTCTTTTTATAACCAAGACAATGCGATTTCAGCCACATGAATAATTAACACGGTTGGAGAATGCCAAACATCAACCGATATATAAATGCCTTCTTCAACATCTTTGTTTTGGTGTTCTCGAGCGTTGCTGAAACGGATCGCAAGCGGAAGTCTAGTCTAGCTTAATCAGGTCTAGTGTGTAGCTGTGAGGGATCCACAATTGGAGAGAGTGGTCAGAGCTTCTTGGCATCGCGGGCTTGCGATGCATGGACCGAACAAGTGTCCAGAGCTTCGGGAACAACCGACAGCCTTGGCCCATCTGGTCGCTGCTCTCACAACCGACACGCAGATTCACCACGACAATCGCCCACGATGAGGTTCACCCAGTCAATTGCACCGGCGTTTCTTTTACTAGCGACGGGGTTTTCCCACGCAGCCTCCACTTGGGGGTTCGACGACGGAAATGTTCAGATTGCGGCTAAGAAGTCGGGCGAGTCTATCAAGGAAAAGTACATAGCGCTGTGCCAACACACCGAGGGGAATCGCATCCACTGACAAGAGCATTTTTTTTCGCAGGCTTACCTCGAAGAACCCTCTGCCGAACCCGGTGACCTTGGGCAACACCGATACGCTCAAGTTGATCTTAACTGCGACGGATAATGGGAAAGGGAAGCGGCCGCACCAAGCGTTCCTTGTGTTGCAGGAGCCCGAGTCGGGGCTTGAGGCGCCCTTCCCATTGACCGTCAAGGAGAGCGGAAAGGCAGCTGTGCAGTTGGTAAGGGCTCGGTCACATGGGACAGGAGAACATAGATGGACCGTCGTGCTAATGCTGGTGCAACAGTCGCAAAAAGACCTTCCCACCCAGTTCCGCGTCGCTACCAAGCCATTGAAAGCCTCGGTTGTGCTCGCCTCTTTTGGATCTTCCGAAGGATTCAACGCCCCCGTTTTCGAAATCAAAATCGACCAAGATACAAACGCGGCGGCTCCCAGCTATGAAAAGCCCCTCCGCTACGGCAAGCAGCCCGAGATCCACCACATCTTCCGCCCAGACCCGAAGAGCCCGCCAAAGATCATCTCGCTCATCTTCGGGTTGGCCGTGATTGCTACGCTTCCGGCACTTCTTATCGTCGTAAGTCATACACCCGTACATCGTGAACCGAGGATCATGCTAATTGTCCCCAGTGGGTTACACTCGGCGGAAACGTCAACCACCTGTCGAAGGCTATTGGGACAGCGCCCTTCTCTCATGCCGCTTTCTTTGGGTCAATCGTGGCTATGGAGTTTGTTTTCTTCCTGTATTACACCAGCTGGAATCTATTCCAAGTACTGCCGGTTATGGGGCTCGTCGCCGCGGTGTCGGTGCTCAGCGGGACTAAGGCGCTGGGTGAGGTTCAGTCGCGGAGACTCGCGGGGGAACGTTGAGTAAAGGGTACTCAGCGTCAAAAAGGAGCAGCTGAATTTAGTCGGGTCGGTTTGGGGCCATTCTCTTGAAGGTTGAATGTCCTCTGACTTTTGTTTGATAAAAACCCGGACATGATCTGTATTATCTGTGATATGAACACAAAACAAGGTTAATAGAACTGGCCGATGTTATGACGTCCCCATTTGTAGTCGACCATTCGGGCTCCCCTTGACACAACTACTATATAATAGAATTTAGAATATGGTAAATACGGTACTTGGTTTGGGATAATGTTAGAAATGGTTCTAGGGGGAATTCACCAATCAGAGCCCACCTTGCGCTGCAGAGCCAGCCCCACCAACCCCAAAGCATTGCCCCACTTGAGTATTTTGACCCCTGCATGTAAACAAATCGGATTCCCGATCGCGTCCCTTCACTGCCAGTGACGAGGAACACGTCTGCCACAACCAATTCGCGACTCCGTCTCCCACCACCGACGCGCTGCATTCCAAGGGTGACTTTGCTCGGCGAGCCATGCACCTTTTGTTTACAGCTGGCATCGAACGCCTTGTCCCTTCCTATATTTCAGCCTGCAGCTATCAGAGTCAACGTCTATCTACACCGACGTTACTCCATCCGTACCGACTCGGTACCGTACACCTTGTCCGATACCCGCGGTTTCGCTTGCCTTGGTTGTGCTTGCTCTTGATCAACCGGTATCGCGCTCAACGCGCTCTCTTAGCTCGCCATGGACGTCAACAGCAATACCCGAGGCCACGCCACCAGCAGGCCCAAACATATTTCTAGGCTTAGAAAAGAAATGCTCCAACATCGTATGCACCAAAATCCCTTCAGCTCGCCCCCCTCGTCAACAGGTTCCCACGATACCGTCAGCACCACCACCGAAGAACTCTCGCAAAATCTCTCCGACTTTTCCTTCAGCCCGGACGGTGAAAGCACGCGCCGTTTCGGCGAAGACACGCAGAACCCATCGAAGAGGCACGCCTCACGGTCGGGACGCTTCGGGTATCAACCGATGGACACGGTCCTTAACACCTCCGCCATTGCCCGTACCTTTCCCGAGTGGACGGGTCTATTGACCAAGGATAACTTGAACTTCACCGAGACTCAGGACATGGCACCAGTACGGTCTGTCAGTGCCTTGACAGGCGGAAAAGAGAACATGCCGCCTGCTCAGCAACACAGGGGTGAGAACACATTTGACGATATGGCCGAGATGAAGAGGAAACGTTTTCGTTCCGATTTGCAGGCGCGAGTTGAGAACGAGTCGGATTGCTCGACCGTCCTGTCTCTTTCCCCGGCCCGGCCCATGTCGGCCTCACGCCGTTCTCGCTTTGCCTCCACCGAGGCAGATGTCGCAATGACGCCCGAGCCTGCCAAGCGCTCTCTCCAGGATATGGTTTCCAAGATTCGGACAGAAAAGCAAACCACGAAACATGACACAACCCCGAAAGGCTCGCCACTGGCCCGTGTTGTCCACGAAACTCCCGCCCCGACTCTTGGCCTCGACAATAGCCTGATCAGCCCGAACACCAAATCTTTCTTCTTGCCGTCTTTCCGACATCTCCCAGACTGGACTTCCGGTACTCTCAAGTTTAGCGCAATGAAGAACGGCGTCCCCGTCTTTGTGAAATCAGATAAATCTGGTGTCCGTCTTGACGCCTATGGAAGAAACCATGACGAAATCCGCACCGTTGGGATTAGCAAGGAGGATGAGGAAATCTTCGTTTCCATGGATAAGCTCCAGGAGGAAGTCCGCGAACTCAGCGACCACGACGCGATGCTCCAGCGGGAGGCCGAGAAGCTACAGCGCGAGGTAAATCTGCTGCAGGCCGAACTTAAGAGGCACAAGGCTCGAAAGCTCTCGGATAGTGCCCTTGGTTCCGAATCCGACGGCTCATTTAGGCGCAGCGCTGGCTATCAGAACGATCTGGAGTTTGAAGTCGCACAGCTCCGGGACCGTCTTGACAACCGACAGGTCGGTGTCAACGACATTCATGGCGCTGCCCTGGCTGCGGAGCGCGATGAGGCCCTACACCAAGCTTCCCTTGCCCGTGAGCGTGCCACCAAGCTCCAGGCGGAACTGGAAACTACCCAGAGGGACCTCGAATCATCCCTTCACCTGCTCCAAGAGAAGGAGGAGTTACAGCTCGAAAACGAGAACTTGTTGGCGGAGAATCAAACACTCAAGAGCCAGCGCGATTCAGCCCTGCAAAACAACAAGACTCTTACCGCGGAAAATGACAAACTGCGCCGAGAGCTTGGCGGAGTTCAGAAGGACATCCGCACAACTCGTGAGGAGCTTGCTTCGGTTCGTCAGCAGTACGAGGCTTTGCAAGAGGAGAAGCGGGACATTGCGCAGGACCACGCTAGCATGGAACGCAACAATGACAATTACTACAAGGAGAACAAGCAGCTTCAGGCCCAGGTTGCGGCTCGGGATCAACACATTGCCGATCTCCAGAAAGGGATCACTTCTCGCGACAAGATGCTCGACAACATTCAGGGTCTAACTACCAACACGGCTGTGCTTGAACTCAACGTCGAGTTGCAGGCTGAGGCTGAGCGACTCCAAGCGAAGGTGGAAGAGCAAGCGGCTGAGTTGCAACACAAGGGCGATGAGGCCGCTTCTAGGAACACCCGCATCCGGTCTCTCAAGGAGGAAAATCTGGACCTCTCCATCGAGAACGAGCGGCTCCGGGAGGAGAACACCCGTCTCCGCTCTGAGCACGGGGATGAGAGGCAGAAAACGGCTCGCCGTAGCGGCCCAGTTCTAAAGAACGTCTCCGAAGGCGATGCCGATGATTGCATTCGCTTTGATGATGATTTCAAGCAGAGAGAGTTGGCCCTCCAGAAGAAGCTGGAGCGCCGTGAAGCCGCGGTCCAAAAGGTCAAGCGCCTCTCGAGCAAGATCAGCGAGATTGCTGAACAGGAGTTCACCAAGCGGTTGACCAAGGTCACTCGCATCGTCGAGCCAAGAGACATGCCGGCCACCATTGACGAGACGACCGGCAACGTCGATGACGACCCGACGAGGGAGCTCCATTTCACGGAGGAGGACTCTGATTTTGCCAGTGTCATGGAGGGCGAAATTGTCAAACTGAGGCACGCCTATCAAGATCTTCAGAAGCGAGTGCAGCAGGACCTCGAGATCACAGATCATTCGCTTCCTTCGCTCGGCCCAGGGCTTCACAGGAGCAAATCCGACAGCGGTGTCACGCCGAAGACTACCCAGCAGAAGCCTCAGCTTCCCGGCATTCTCAAGAAGTCGAGTCAATTTGAGGACACCGGCCGGTTGAGTGTCAAGTCAGGGTTCAGCATGGCCAGTGAACAGTACACCGAGGACGAGGCTCTCGACACAGCCCACACCCGTCGGTCCTCTGTCGGCAATACCCGAGACATTACTCGCCCAGAGTCCCGCCTTCGCCGCAACTCGGGAGCGGGTCGTGATGCCACGGAGCCTAGTATAACCTCTGCATTCTTCATGCCTGACATAACACTGGACGGCCAGAAGCAGGGTACTGCCAAGGATGTGAGTCAACAACAACCACCTCTCCCCTCTCTCAGCAAGGATGCACGCCGCGTGTTGGACGGCATCTGCTCGCACAACTCAACCAACTGCAACATCTGCGTGCGGATTGCCGCCCACGGGGGCGAAAAATCTAGCTCCGCCACCACCAACGCTGCCTCGTCCAGCGCCAACAAGATTCTCATCACCGCCGAAGACGTCCGCCGCGGCAAGAAGGTCGTTTCCGCGGAAAAGCCGGTCCCCGTATCCGACCGCACCGCTGCCGAGCATCAACAGCAACAGCAACAACAACAACACCCAGACGACCCCACCGTCCGTCCCTCCATGGCCCCCGGCGAGGCTCTCGCCGTGCTTATCAAGGAGACCCAAGACGAGATCGACCACCTGCAGATCGAGCTGAAGCAACTCAACGAAGTCTACTTTGCACTAGACAAGTCCCTCGGCATGCGCGAGCGCCGCCGCGTCATGGGCGACATCAAGCGCCTGCAGGGCGAGCTCGAGGCCAAAAGTGGGCACCTGTACCGTCTGCACGACGTACTTGAGGGCCAGAAGCAGGCGGGCCAGCTGATGGTTGGGGACGGGGTCGATATTACGGTGTTGAGTGGGCTATTGAGGGCGGAGGTGGATGATGATGATGCGGCGGGGGACGGGCATGGGCAGAGGCAGGGGCATGGTGGGGATGAGATTACGACGGAGAACAGGGGGGAAGGGGCGTGGGAAGGCTTTGAGGAGTGATGTGGTTTATATTCGTGTTTTGTTCTCTTTGTTTTTTTCTACTTCTCTTTTCTGTGGGTTGTTATCGGGTTCATGACGATGCTTGTGCTGCTATGCGCCGCGCCGCGGCTGCGGTCTTGTTGGGAAGTACGGCTGAGGCGTTGTAACAGGTTCACACTACAGCTTCAGCTTGTGGGGGGCTGGGAGTATTGATAGGTTGGGATTTGGGAAATGATAGGTGTGTTGTTTTCAGCTTGATGTTATTTCTAGGTCTCGCACACAAGCACACGCGTCCGCATTGTTTCATCACTCCTGTTTAGGACGTAGGTTTGCATTCTGCAAGTTGGTTTGTGTTGGAGTAGTATACCGCATTTCGTCGTTTCTGGATGATCAGGTGTCAATGGCTGGGTGGGGTCAGCAGCCTTTGGTGTAAGTCAGTGTACTTCGTATCGTTCATAATTGTTGTTAGTTCACATCGCCACGGGTCTGAGAGACGAAGATGGATGACAGGGCAGCAGTTTGTTCTTCTCTGGCGTTGTCGTCTTGAAATTACTTGAAATTAGAAAGTCAGGAAAAGAAGAGCGACACGAATGAAGAACACAATTTGGTTTGATGAAAACTGTTTCCTTTTTTCTTTTTTCTGCCATCGTGATGGGTGAACGGCTCCCTGTTCTGGGTCAAGCCCCTTCCACGATAACTCGTTGTCAGATAGTTAGTTTGTTTCCAACTCAGGTCATTCAGCACAAATGTGCGCTGTGTGTGTGTGGTCTGGACGCATCGCCAGACGCCCTGCCTTGCCCGCCGACCTGGATGAGTAAGCCAGTGAGTGAGCAAAAGTCTGGTTTCTCCTTTTCTCTTCGGCGAGCTTCGGCTTCGGGGCTGACTAGCGAGCCAACGGGTTCCCCGAAGGGCGGGACTATCTATCGAATCAACCGAGAGAGCTTGGCCTTGCCAAGGGAGGACTTTTTGCTGTAATCACTTCTTTCGCATTTGCCGGCCCGAGGCTGTTTTGTGTACGTTATCGGCTTTTTGGTCATTTCGTTTGTCGTTTTTTCGCTTGTTGCCTTTTCTTTTTCCCTTGACCATGATTTGAAGCCAAACCACTTTTCGCTCCTTGTCTTGAATGTGATGAAGCGTGGCAAGTGACAGCCCAGTCTGATGTGTGGATATTTTGGCTATCCGTTGTACAAAGCAGGCCGGGCCGGATCGGGCTTTTGTTTTTAATTATTGGGGGGGGAACGGAACCGAGCCCAGGGAGCTGGACCCAGCCAAGCAACAAAGCATCCTTCCCGACTTTCTCGCCAGTCACCCCCGGCCCGATTCGTTTCGTTCGGGAGCAGGCATTTAACTTGTGGGAATGCGAATAGGTGACCGAAAACGGTCTGCAATAGGGAGCAGTCTGTTTCACGTTTTGTTCCTCAAACTGACCCCGAGAACAGATTACGGGATCTACAAGGCGTTCTTTTTTGGGGGCGTCCCAGCCGGGCTGACCCCATTTTCTTATTATCCAGATGCCGCCATGTAGGTGTTCATTTATACTGTGCGCAACATGTCGGCCCCTTCGGCAACCTTGCCATGGCGCTGGGACGAGACACCCGGGAACAGCGTTCCAGCACACAATCCGTCGGACTTAATCACCGCAAAGGCCGAACGAAGGCAGGTTGGGACGCGCAGGGTCAACGTTAGTTGGTTACGCAGTCCGTCCCGACGAGAGCGTGCGGCCTGCTTCCGCCGGCTTCCGCTCCCTGGGTTGTTCATCCGTCGAGGCCGAATGACGACGCCTTTTCTTTGCACCTTCCTTCTCTCCCACTAGACTGGTCAGTTCCATGTCTCATCCAGCACGGGCTCCCAGCCTTGCGTGTCGACCGAGCCATTCACATCCAAGATGCTTCGACAACGGGCCAAGTTGAAAATGTGACCTGTAACCTCCTCCTGCCCACCTGCTTGAAAAAGAGACGTAAGACGGCCCCCGAGACGCTCCATTGTCACAGCGAGTGTGGTCGGGTGTGGTGGGCAATGCGAGTTGGGCCAACGGCCCATCTTTGCCTCTGCACTACTACATAGTACAACACGCTGCACTACACACATGGGTCGGTCGGTCAACTGGCTTGGCTGTCCGGCTGTGAGCCAAGCGTGCTGTGTAGCGAGATGTGGTCCCCGCGAAAGGGTGAACAAACTTTATCTTGTTCGGGGAACTATATTTGGGGAGGGCAAGGGCAGGGTCCTGGGGCTTCAAGCCCCAAGAGAGGAGGGGGGCGGCGACCAAGGTGGGCCATTTCGATTGCCGTACCAGGGGATCCAGCCTCGGGGAGTGCCATGATGGATGCCGGTGCAGCCTGTGGGTGGGCCTTGCTTGTTGTCCGTTTTTTTTTCTTCATTTTTTTCCTGTGCACAAGAAAGTCTACTTATTAGTATGCAGGACGAAGTACATGTTAACAAGAAGAAGGGAAGAAAGACGGGGAGCACTGTGAGAGCTGCAGGTAGTTTGTGTGGCTTTCACTACGGTCCGGGATTGTCGTGCCATGTGGTGTGTTGCTTTGCTCTGTGAAAGGGCTCGGCGATCTCCCAAGAGGATCGAGTCCTTGCTCGGCTTGCCCCTCCTGGCCGGGAAAAGATTGTGTCCCGAGAAACAATTGCTGTGCTTTCTTATTCCCTTCTCTTGTTCCTGGCCTGGTCGATGCAGGACAACTCTCGAATGTAACGGTTTCGCACGATGTTGTACAACATACATACACTCCACTAGGCGCATAACCATTAGTAGGCTGTGGCCCCACGCCCTTAGCCAGTGCGACAAGGACAGAGCCTGTACAATCGCAGCTCGCCGGTGATCTGTTCAGGTGTCAAGCTTCGCCATGAGGGCCTTCCCCGTAGTGTCTACACTAGTGTAGCCGCCGGAGAGGAACGGCGCGAGTGGATGCGATTTTGTTCCACTTATTGACCCTCGCTTTCCCCCAGCTCCCTTGCCCGAGGCCTATCGGGGACTAGCCGAGCCTGAATCCGGAGGGAGATCTCCAAGACCCCGCATTAACTTGTCGTCTTGCAGCCGTGTCAAAAGGCCAACGACATGACACTGTGCGCCGTGTGGAATGCTTTGCACGGATGGAAGAACTCTCCCGGCCCGTTTTGAGTTTCTTTTCATCAGCGACCAGGACGGAAAGCCTGATGATAAATAAGAGTGTGTATGTACCAAGGTAACCGTGTGACGATGATCTTAAGAGATGAGACGAGGAAGAAAGTTGGAACGGAGCAAGCCCCGTGCCGGCCCCCCTTCTTCTACCCTGGACGCCCCCCTTCAGGGCTTCACTGTCGAGCAAGCAGCGGTTTGTTTCCAGCGCCTTGGGACTCCTCAAACTCGCAAGGGTTGGCTGCATCAACGGGCGACACCCTCGACCCTCCGCGGAGCCCCCACAGCATTCTTGGCAGCCAGTGATTGGGGACGCGGGGAATCATCATTTGGTGGAAGCAAATGCGAGATTGTGGCCGTGATACAACAAGGTCGCAACCAGGGGGTGCGTGTGGTTTGGCCGATTCAGGGCTGGACTCACCTTTTGCAGCAAACCTGGCGTGTGGGCGCACAGCTCATGCTCGTTGCCTCCCTCCATCCGCCTTCGCCCTCGCTGAACTCAGCGACCTGAGAAGCCAGAAGCCAGAAACCCAGGAGCCTGCCTGCAAGCTTGTCCTTGGGACAACTGCAACTTGCCGCCGCGCCGCACCAGATTGATCTCGCTGCTGCACCTCTGAGCCTGAAGCTTCCACCGCCATCTTCGGTGTGTGGGCACGTCCCCCAACTCGGAACCGTTTTCTCCTTCTCCCAACCGGCCGACCGACACACCGCCAACGACTCGATCGATCCGCACCAAAAGCAGGAAAGAAACAAAAGGGAAAAACCGGTCGACATGGCCTCCTCCAACATCGCACCAGCAGCTTCCTGCTTCGAATGCCGGCGACGCAAGCAAAAGGTAAAGAAAGGAAAAAAGACTTGCCCCCTAATCGCATGCAGGACCCACACTGCCACAACACCCGCACTCTTCGACTCTTACACACAGAACAACGGAGTTGACTCCGACGAACTGTCCTGGCTGACTGACGGGCTTGATCTAGTGCGACCGCAAGTTCCCTTGCAATCATTGTTTGAAGCGAGGAGTGTCGCATCTCTGCCGGCTGGAACCTAGGACAGCCGCCTCCAAAGCTTCGAGAGACGACCGCGCGCAAGACGGTCAAGTGAGGTAGGGTCATCCATCCCCGAACACAATTGAGGTCCCGTCGCGTCGCCACTAACCCCGTGCCTTTACGCTCACCCGCCCACAGCAGGTCGAGAAAACGTAGTCTCGACAGTTCAGACAGGGGCGACCCTTCTGACGAGGGTTCTGACCGCGATGATTCCGGCTCAGATATCGACGTGAGCGGCGCCTTGAACGGCCTGGGCTATCCATCCCATCACCACCACCTAGTGCTTGGTCAAGGTCCCGGCCCAAAGGTAAAGTCTATCTCCACCACCTCTCCTCACGCCCCTTCTCCTTTAGCTTGTGGGTCGGTGAGGGCCGTTGAGCCGACATGATATTAACTACCCCGCAGGCAGTCAGAGACACCGTAGAAAAGGTTGATGAAGAGCAATCTGAGGAGCTGAAGGACGCGCTGCAACTTCTACCGGAAAAGCGGTATACAGGTAAAATCCCAGACTCCCTTGTCTAACCAAGCATGCTCTTTCCCTCTTCTCGCTCCCCGGCATGAATTAACCCGTGTCAGACTGCCTTGTCGATAACTGGTTGAATGGCGCGAATCACCAGTACTACGCCTTGTACCCGCCCGAGTTTAGGACACAATACGATGGGTGGTGGACGGCCCCGCGAAACAAGGCCACGCCTGAACTTACCAGTCTGATCCTACGCGTGTGTGCTTGCTCGCTCCATTTTATCATTGACGACAATGTCCGAGTACGACTCGAGCGGGAGCTCAACACCGACGTCCTGACGCTCGCAGACCGCATGCACGCCGCCGCCGAGAAGCTCAGCACCACCATCCCCCCGGGTAAGGGCGGGCTCGTCAACGTTCAACAGCTCTTTCTTACCGCGTTTTGGCTTAAATCGGCCGAGAAGTGGACCGAGGCATGGCATGCTTTGGGCAGGGCCATCCGCGCGGCAAACGAGATAGGTAATGCCTACCCAGCCGCACCGCGCTCGCTTCCTCGCCAGACTAACAGTGGCCAAGGTCTTCACCAAGACAGCTTTTCCGAGGGCCTGTCCGAGTATGACCGCGAGATGAGGCGGCGTGTATGGGTGATTTTATACCTCTGGGATTTGTAAGTGATCCTCTCCTCGTTGACGATGATGAAGGGTGAGAGGGGAGAGGGGGACATGTGTGACTGACGGCCCTCCTCTAGTGCCCTAGGTTCCATGCTGTCTCGCCCGCTTCAAGTGAATCAATCCGACTGCACCGTCGTGATGCCCACGCTGACCCTCGAAAATTACCGCTCTGACCAACCATCACCGTTCCGCCACATGAACCTCCACTGCCAGCTCTGTATCGACATGGCGGCGCAGGTGCGCGGGCCCACGAATTCCGAAACGGAGAAGGCCGAAGCGGCCAAGCGAATGACAGATACGGTTGATAAGTGGCTCGCCAACCTCCCGGCCGAGTATGCCGTAAAGAACCCCGAGACGCGATGGGATGGTGAGTTCGACTGGGTTGTTTTCCAGCGCCGGTATCTGCATCTCATCGGGTATATGGGGTTGTTCACCCAGCTACGACCATTCGTAACGCGGAGCTCGGCCACGCCAGGTACCGAACTCGAGGAAGACCTACGATCAGCAGGCGTTGATGCGGCACTGGGCCTCATGGAAGTGTCGTGGAGGTTGTTCGAAAGTCTTGTCTCAGTGGGCGCCAAGTTCCATTACGCCATCTTCTGCATCTTCGACGCGGCCACCGTTATGTGTTCGGCTTTCCTCCAGGACGAAGCTCGTACTCTTCCGCAGCGAGAAACGGTCTTGGAAGCGATCAAGAAATGCCTCGGCATGCTCGCGGAGGTCGCCCCGCAATCCAAGACAACGGCCGCCCTGTATCGCATTCTCAAGGGTCTAATCGCAAAACTGCCGTTGAACGCTCGGGAGCTGGCGGTTGTCGGCTCTACAAAACGCGTCAAGAATGACCGAGTCACCCCGCTGACCGACAAGAGCCCCAACTCAACGTCTCCAACCGTTCCTTCGTCACAACGGCCACGCGGGCCTCGGCGGGACCCAAAGCCTCGACACAGGTCTACCAGCGCCAGCTCGGACAGCGACTCGACGTTGGACTCGTCCAATTTCCAGCCCCGGAGCGAGAGTTCGGTTTCCTTGCCGGACAGTTGCCGTTCTGCGAATAATGCTCGAATAGTGTCGGACGCCCAGGCCAGGCCGAGATCTGTCGTTCCATCAAACGCTGTCGCCCCAGATGGATTGCCGGCTCCCACCAATTTTGTGCCCCCCACGCCGGTTCACACAACATACCCACCAACGACGGGAGGTTATATGCCGCCGGCGAGCTCCATGGCCCCGAATGTGTACATGTCGCCGGACTCTTTCCCGCCTGGGTCCGGATTTGTGCAAGAGGGCGGCTTTCCGTTCGACTCAGCAATAAGCCCAGCGGGCGTGGGCGCCATCCCCTTCAGTCAACCTGGCTGGCATCCTTCCCAAGGACCCCCCATTGGTAACGTGGGGAACCATATGAACATGTACCAAGACGGTACTGTCCCGCCGTTCCAGAACGCCGAAGTGCTCCACTTTTGGGAGTGGCAGTCGCTCCAGCTCGGCCACCCAATGACCTGGGGGCAGCAGCTCGAAAATCGGCGGCATCCTGGTGGGCTTCCTGGGACGTTTATGGACCGGGGCATGTCGAATGACTGCGGAGAAAGTGCGAGTACGGAACTGAGTGGGTGAAGGCTAGGTTTTTGGCTTGGGTCTCCTTTGCTTCCCTTTTTTTGGCTTGAATTTGTCTCTCTTTTTTCCTTTCCTGTTTTTTTTGTTCGTTCTCCTTTCTGCCGAATTGTTGATGATTCCCATGACAGGTGGGGAGGCACTTCAACGGAGCTGGAAGGCCATTGTGCTGGTTATTGTGGTTGGTGATTTGTCGAGGGCTTAACTCAAGGGCCTTAATGGATTATTAGCTCTCAAATCCAAACTTTTTGGTGTTGAAACGGTGTCTCATCTGGTGTCTCTTCTCCTGGTACTTTTCAGACGAAGTATCCGTGTAAAACTCCGCTCCCAATATCGGCGGCCATGCTGCAAGTGCGCTTGACAGAATCAGGAAATGAATAAGAGCGAAATAGACAAGGAGTGCTTGGAAAGACGTTAAGCCAGTATTGGGCAGTGACCTACTTATACCGCACCTCGCCCTGCGCTTGTGTCCCCTAATTCAAGGGCCAGTCACGGACGCATCTGAGGTTTAGTCACCCCTTTTTCCGCCCCCGAAAGCCATCGGAGTCTTGAGAGCGGTTGGCAATGGCTGCATTGCGTGCGGCCGGTGAGCGGAATTTGTTCGTAACACAACTCAAGCATAGAAAAGTTCGGAGCGGGGTGGTGAGAACCTAGGGAAAAAAACTACAACAGCCAAGAATTGACCGTCCCAACAACTCGGTATAGAGTCTCATTCTCAAGCATACTGGGGATTTGATGTTGCTTTGTCGTTACAAGTCGCTACCACGTGGGAGACTCGGTTGTTGGGTGCACACACTGTCCATCTGTGTGTGGCCTCATTCTCAGAGGAAACACTGGGGGTTCATGAGGAGTGAGCACTGAACGGCAGGGGTTCGGTGGGTGGCACCTGCCCCCCAATGCGCTCAGTGGCCCTTTCCCGCGTACACAGCCCAAGGAGCGGCCCACTTGTGGAGCAAGAAAGCCCCCCGCGCCTTCCTCTACGGAGCCAAAGCACGCTAAAAGAAGTCTTGTGGCACCTGCGGGGTGAAGTAAAAGGTCCGTGACGCCCGTTGGCAGTTGGTCTGGCCCGGCAATTGTCGGCATCCGTTCTCGCGAGCATATCGGCGAGCCAAAAGAGGATAGAACTCTAGCAGAGGTGCCTTACGGAGGCGGCAGGTAGAATGGCCCTCCGGTGTCGAGTTCTCCCGCCGATTCCGACAATGGGAACACTGATACGACTGATACGGCGGAAGGGCGTAACGTTAACATGTTCCCCACTGCAATATGCGACTTCTCGGTCTTCCTTAAAACTTCGCGGTACTTGGAGGCCACAATCACTCCGGGGCTCTGTCTCCTCCTTCTCAACCAAAACCACACAGTTGAACAAGATGGTTTCCGTCAACAGATCGGATGTTCTTCACAACAACCATGCCTGGATTGGCAGTGCGGGGGCTGCCAGCCATGATCTCCGAAGTCCGTTCAATGTCCTTGCTCATCTATATCGCACATGTGTAACTAACACGGAGAAGGCGACACCATGACAACCCCCACGGCCTCAATGCTAGCCGCTGTCCAAAACTGTTCTCTTTTAGACGATGTCTGGATGGAAGACACGACGACGGTGGATCTGGAAAGCCATTGTGCCACCCTAACTGGGAAAGAGGCTGGTCTTTTTGTCCTGTCGGGGACGATGGGAAACCAGCTAGGGCTGAGGACACTCTTGACACAACCCCCTCATGGGGTTTTGTGTGACCATCGCTCCCATATTGTGAAATATGAGGCTGGAGGGTGAGTGAGACCTGAAGGGCCGGGGGGTGCGAGTCCGATCCCGTCACCCATTGGAACCATTATTAAATTTCTTCTCCACCAGGGTCTCATTCTTAACGGGCGCCTTGGTAAAGGCAGTGGTTCCAAAAAACGGAGTGTATCTTACTCTGGAAGATGTCAAGTCGAACGCATACCTCGACGACGACGTCCACACATGCCCCACGCGCGTCATCAGTCTAGAGAACACGCTCAACGGCATGATCATGCCGCTGGAAGAAGTCCGCCGAATCTCTGCCTTTGCTCGTGAACACGGCATCAAGATGCACTGCGACGGTGCGCGGCTCTGGGAAGTCTCGGCCTCCGGGGCCGGCAGCCTGGTCGACTTTGCCGCCTGCTTTGACACAGTGACTCTCTGCTTTTCCAAAGGCCTTGGCGCCCCTATCGGGAGCATCCTAGTGGGCAGTAAGGAGGCGATCAAGCACGCGCGCTGGGTGAGAAAGTCCATCGGCGGTGGGTTACGGCAGCCAGGAGTCATAACGGCTGCTGCCCGTGTGGCAGTCGATGAGACATTCGGAAAGGGGCCGAACGGCGAGGGCGGCCTACTACGCAACACGCACACGCTCGCACAAGAGGTGGCCAAGATGTGGACAGACCTCGGCGGCAAGCTCATATGCCCAGTGCATACGAATATGATCTGGGTCGACTTGGACGATGCCCAGTGCCCGCCAGCTATATTTGAGGAGCTCGGGAAAAACGTCGGTCTTAAACTTTTTGGCAACAGGTTGGTCTTGCACTATCAGATCTACGAGAACCGCGATAGCGTCGTACCCAAGCTTGCCGAGGTTTTTAGAGCCGTGTTCGAAAACAAAGGTAGGGGCGACGGTACAGTTCCCGAAAAGGGTGATGGAGAGGGGTCCATGTATCGGTCCCAGAAATGATACCATAGCATAGATACCACAAGGACGTTCAAGCATTGTGTGAGAAACCAGTCGTTGGATCGGACATCATGTGGCTTTCCCAGCTGAGATGCCCAGATAAGTGAGGTGATTATGATTTATCGGCAGCCTTGTTACACTATTTGCGTTCCCAATCATGGGTAACGCCATGCACCCCTTGTTGAGTTCGCTACCACTAGCAAGCTAGGTCGCCAGATTTGCTAAATTTAATGGGCACACAAGGTGCGATTCCAATGACGAGTTTTGGATGGCCTTCCTAAGTCGAAAACCGGAAAGCAACGGTATCTCTCGGATGACCAACCCCGAGACGACTCCATTCATGTCACTGGCTTGATGTTGGCTGTGATATCGGTGGGTTTGCAGTTCACCATTCACGATTGGTTTACTCAGCTACTCTAATTTACTCAGTCCAACCTTTTCTGATCACCGAACAGTTAGACGCCCCCTAAGAGTGTATCACAAGCTCCATTGGGGGACGTTTTTAAACGCTACTAACACCCGACGTTCTGAGAGGCAGTCAAAGTCCAGTTAACTAATGTCTTGGCGAGGGCTTTAATAAATCCGTCGTCTCACTTCAGTCAATCCCAAGTCTTTTGCTTGATTCAGTCAGAAACTATGCTAAACACCCGATGCCCTCAAAAAATATGAACATCTAACCCGGGCAATCGGCGTTTAAGCCAGTTGGCAGAGCTGCCGAGAAACTTCCCGGGATCCCGCGAGTCAGTTCGTTAGTTAACGGGTCCGCCGCCAGCAGAAAAGGGCCGACCAGATGGCATCTCCAGCGAGTCGCCATCGCATTATTGACTGGGGTCAGCCATTGCCAATGTTAGGGGTCCACGAAAGTCGGTGTGGGTAGGGCGGCCGCGGCGAGTTTAAAACAGAATTAGATACATATGTAAGAAGGGAGCGCGGGTGGGCTGCAATAAGGAGGAGCGAGTCTCTCTAACCTAGAACCGAGGCGTCGTCCGCGTTGGAAGAAGTCAGACGTAGTGTACAAGGAATAAAGCCACCGACACTTGCATCCCGTTCGAGAAACCGGGCATGTTCATCCCAAGTTTTTGTTCCTGTTGTGGAAAGGGGGAAACTTTGGGGGAGGTCGCGATTGCCCCGCATAACCCCTGTACGTCCCGCACCGAGCCCGTGCTGACGTCACTAAAATCTGGGGTTGCCAGCCAACCCGGGCGCTGAATTCGGGGCAGCTTGCCATTGGGAGTGCGGGGAACGCCGAGTTTTCGGCTTCTTTCTTCTTTCCTTACCTTGCGGACCAACTGCCTAGCAACCGCATCGGGGCCTTTGCAGGGGCTTCCAGGCTAGAAGGACACAACAAGGGATCAGAGGATGAATTACAATCGCGACGAGCTTAGTTATGTTTTTGTTCCGCTTTCCTTTTACTTACGTTGCCTGCCTAGCAGAAAACGCCTGGGATGAATTGCAGACCCGGACGTGCGGAGCAGCTTTAAATATACCAGCTAAAAACAGCAATACATGTCAAATTCGCTTCGTCGCTCCGAATTTGTCCACGCGAGATGTTGGAGAAAATAAACGGCGATCTTACCCAGGATGAACACGGCATGCTCGGTCAGGGAGTAACCCAACCTGGAACCCCGAATCCAAGTGTCACCGCCCTCGCACGTCTCGGTACCACCTTACGAGGACCACAACCCAGATGTGGAGCCTGGATGAACCGTCGTCGGTAAGTTGCAGCTTCCCCGAGCTTCCCTGAATGCGGGCAGGACACACTGCAGGGTTGCACGTGCCGTTCAAGGGCATGTCGGCATGCATCTCGACTCTCGAGGTTCGTCAGAACCAGCATTGTTTCCCACCCTGGGAGCTAAGACGGGCCGCCTTCGACCCGATCGCAAAAGTTTGCCCATGTCGGCCTTTGGTGTTTGTACACTACACGACACCCCCAACCCAACCTCCCCCTCTCGCCCGCTCTTGGCTTTCCTCTCCGAGTCGGGAAGACGACTGGTTCCTCTCTTTAAATAACCCAATCCCTCCGCTGCGGCCCCTCTAGGGCTCCTGTGTTTGTTTTGTCCTTGGGACTCACGGATGACTGCACGCCCCAGGCTATTTAAGCCGTTACAATTGCTTCTCTTGTAGCTTCGTGAGTGTAACAACAGACTTTGCGGGCCACAATGGCGCTCCGACAAGCTGCCACGGCAGCCCTTGCCGGTCTAGCTTCAACCGCAAGGGCATTGTACGTCAATGGCTCGGTTATAGCTCCATGCGACTCGCCGCTCTACTGCCAGGGCGAAATTCTCAAGGCCATTGAACTGGCCAAGCCGTTTGCTGATTCCAAGACATTTGTTGATATGTAAGTCTCACCAAACCCGCAATAGCTGCTACTGCTACTTCCGGTGCCGCTGTTATTGTTGTTATTGTTGTTGTTGTGTTTCCAGTGGGGCAGCTAGGTCCATAGCAACACAGACTAATTTGGACTTTCACCGTGCGTAGGCCAACAATCAAGCCCGTGGACGAGGTGATTGCGGCGTTCAACAAGTTAACCCAGCCTATCTCCAACAATTCGGAACTCAACGCATTCCTAGCGGAGAACTTCGCCCCGGCCGGCGGTGAGCTGGAGGAGGTCCCTAAGAGTGAGCTCGACACAGACCCAATCTTCCTCGACAAGATTCAGGACAGCACCATCAAGGAATTCGTCAGCAAGGTGATCGACATCTGGCCCGATTTGACTCGTCGCTATGCCGGCTCGGGAGAATGCTCCCAGTGCGCGAACAGCTTTATCCCGGTGAACCGCACTTTCGTTGTGGCTGGAGGCCGCTTTCGTGAGCCTTACTACTGGGATTCGTACTGGATCACCGAGGGCCTGCTGCGTACCCGCGGTGCCTTTACCCAGATTACCAAGAACATCATTGAGAACTTCCTGGACTTTGTCGGCACCATCGGTTTCATCCCCAACGGCGCCCGGCTCTACTACCTGAATAGGTCTCAACCACCGCTCCTGTCACTGATGGTCAAGACGTATATCGAGCACACCAACGACACGAGCATCCTGGACCGGGCGCTGCCTCTTCTGATTAAGGAGCACGAGTTCTTCACAAAGAACCGGAGCATCTCGGTTACTGCCCAGGACGGCAAGAAGTATACCCTCAACAGGTAGGTGAAGAGCGCTTATATGGAAATGCTGTCAGCGCAACTAACTGAGGGTTCGTAGGTATAATGTTGCCAACAACCAACCCCGTCCCGAGTCGTATCGAGAGGACTACATTACCGCCAACAATCAATCCTACTATGCGTCGTCCGGCATCATCTACCCAGTCCACCAACCGCTGAACGAGACAGAGAAGGAAACACTGTACTCCAATTTGGCGACCGGCGCAGAGTCTGGTGTGGACTACACTGTTCGATGGCTAGTCAACCCTAACGATGCCGCGCGGGATGTCTACTTCCCACTTCGTTCACTCAATGTCCGCGATATGGTGCCTGTCGATCTCAACGCAATCCTATACCAGACGGAGACCATCATTTCTGAGTACCTCGAGCGTGCTGGCAACTTGTCCGAATCTAAGCGGTTCGCGAACGCCGCCGAGCAGCGCAGCGAGGCCATGTATGCGCTCATGTGGAATGTCACCCACTGGTCCTACTTCGACTACAACCTGACCAGCAACTCGCAACACATCTTCGTCCCTGCTGATGAAGACACTACTCCTGCTGACCAGACCGACGCCCCCCCAGGCTATCAAGTCCTCTTTGACATTGGCCAGCTTTACCCCTTCTGGACCGGCGCCGCACCTCTTTCGCTCAAGGGCAACCCCCTGGCGGTACAGCTCGCCTACTCTCGTGTGGCCCGCATGCTCGACACCAACCCGGGCGCCATTCCCGCTAGCAACTTCCGCACGGGGCAGCAATGGGACCAGCCGAATGTCTGGCCGCCACTGAACCATGTTCTGATGAAAGGCCTCCTCAACACACCCCCCACCTTTGGTAAGTCCGACCCGGCCTACCAGGGTACCCAGGCGCTTGCTCTCCGCATCGCCCAGCACTACCTCGACTCAACCTTTTGTACGTGGTACGCCACGGGTGGATCGACCTCAGACATGCCGCAGCTGGAGGGCGTCGAGCCTGGCGCTACGGGTATTATGTTTGAAAAGTATGCCGACAACGCGACCAACGTTGCGGGTGGCGGCGGCGAATATGAGGTTGTGGAAGGTTTTGGGTGGACGAATGGAGTCTTGATCTGGGCCGTGGATACGTTTGGAAACCAACTGAAGAAGCCGAACTGTGGTAACATCACGGCGGCGCATTCTTCCAAGCGGAGCCTGTCGCAGAACGGTGGGAGCAGTAATAGTAACGGCGGGTTTGGCAAGCGGGCTGTGGAGCTCGACCCGTGGGATGCTGCGTGGACTAAGATGTTTGGGCGGAGTAAGCTAAAGAAGAGGGAGGATGTCCAGAAGCGGTGGATGAGTTGAGTGGGGGTGCGAGGTGGAGGGGCTACAGCCGATGTTATTATGACTGATGGTACTATTTCTTTAATGGAGAAATGATATTGCTGGTGGGAAAAAAGTACCTTAATTACCTTAGCTAGCTAGTCCTTTTATCTAGCGCTTATCGTCTTTTTGACCTGTTGGAGTGTCAGTTTCTGAGCGCAGAGTTGTGTCGGTGATCACGACACATAAAACACCTAATGGACTCTGTGCAAATCGGTAAAATAATTTTTCATGTTTTTGTCCATATCCATGTTGTTAAGGGATTTAGAACTATTCCAAAAACAAAACCCGACCCCACCCGCAGTTGCAAACCGTCACCTCACCCCCATGAAAGCCCTTCGAGCGCCGAAAAATGTTGTCGTAACCACCCAAGCCACCGACCCCTTCCGGACGCCAGCCTTGATAAAATGCAATTGCTTGTTTCCCAGTTTATTTTCTAGTTCGTTCCCTTGGCTTCACTCCGTGTCCTCCAACCCTCCAAGGATCAACTAGCCACGCATCCACGTACCCACGCACCCACCTTACCACCCCATCACTCACTCATTCTTTTTGCTAACCCACCTCCCACTAGGAGCGCAGCCCGGGCTTCTACCCCGACGCCGTGCCACGGCAGGTGTTGGCGTTCTGACTGGTGTCTCACTGCCATCGGCAATACCACCTGCCGCGACGATAGTAACACGCTCGGGCGACTTGCCGCTGACGGCACCACTGCCGACACCATTACCACTGCTATAGTTCTGAGTTGAACTGCGCCTTCCGCCGTATTTCTTAGGTTGTGGTTGTCGGGCTGGTTGGGAGAGTTGCTGTGGTTGTTTCGTTCGGTGCTGTTGTTTAGGTTTTTGTTGCTGCTGCCGCTGTCGCGGCTTCCGGTGCTGATGCGATTCCTCTTCCTCGGCCCTTTTCTCGACCTGCTTCCGCTCCTCCTCCTCCTGTTGCTGCTTTTGGATCTGGTGTTTGTTCTGCCGTCGGTGGTGCTCCACTGAGGGCTCCGCCTAGGAGTTCTCAAGATGCGACCACTCCGGGATGGCACGGATCTGCTGCCACATGAACTTTTCGAGTTTGTTGGCCGATTTGGCATATGGTGTGGTCTCGTTGTTGTACTTGCGGCAGTTGTCGAAAACGAGCTTCGCATCGCGGATGAAGTCTTCGGGTGTGTTGTACTGGTCCGCCTCGAGCTTCGTCTCCATTGTCGAGAGGTCCATGGGCTCCTTGATTACATCGTAGTAGTCCATGACGTCGTCCTTATTAACCGGCATCAGGAACGGCCAACTCGATTGATGGTTCTGGAGGTCGTTAAGTAGGTGAAGGAGTTGGTTGTAGTTCGGCCCGTGCCGCGGCTGCCGAGCCAGCTCGTCCATATCGGGAGACCAGCCCGAAGCGCGAATCGCTTCGATGGAAAGGGGGTCGATCGGAGAGACCCCGTTCTTCTGCCATTGTTTTGGCGGTTGGTGAACAATGTGGGACTTCGAAAACGCCCGAATCTTGGCCTGAACGCACTCCTTTTGCTTGAGAAGCATACGACCCATTTCCAGATAGCGAATCCGTGGCAGCATTGTACACTGCATGATGGTGCCTCCTTCGTAATCCTTGATATATCCCATCCATATAGATTTGTCGAGAGTGATCTCCTTGGTGAAGCCTTGTTTTTTGAAGTACCCGATAGCATAGTTGTCGGCGTATGTCAAGAAGTGCATCACGTCCGAGGTCGCTTTGACATAGTCCTTGAGATGGGACATCAAATGGGCGCCATAGCCCTTGACTTGTTGATCGGAAGATATGGCGCAAAAGACAATCTCAGCGAATTGACGTCCCTTGAATGGCCGGTAGGTGATTCCGCCCACCACTTCGAGCGGCTTCTTCACGATCGCTATCGACAAGTGAGTACGGTCGTAGACTAGGCGAGCAATATAGTCCTTGGGCATTTTCGGTAGCTGCTTTTGAAAGATACATTTGAGACCGGTGAGAATGATAAGGCTCTCGCGCTCGTTGTCGTTGTTGACCACCCTGAATTCGATCTCGCCGTTGCGCTCTTCGATGACTGCGGGCTGCGGGCGTTGGTGTTAGTGAATGCGCGATGTCATTTAATTTGCACTCTGAAACCGGGAGTCACTTAAATTTACCTTTTCCGGGAACGGGATCGCTGGGATCTTAGCAAGCGGTTTCTCTGGTTCGGCGGAGTTGTCGTGCTTAACGCGCTTCGACGCCGTGGGCGAGTGCGGCTCGTCGGAAGCCTTGCGCTTCCCGTCTAAGAAGGTTATGTTAGTAAAATCAGCCAAGGACAGAGGATATGAACTATCCAAGATGGAGAACCTACTCTCATCTGTCATGGCGATGGATTTGTGGCAGCGTCCAGTGGTTGCGCAAAACGGTCGAAGTTCGCGGTTCGCGCGGTCGATGAAACGACGATGGGAGAGGGCCATTAATGGGTCGATCTTCCCCACGGTAATTGTGGGGCCGAGCTTTGCCGCAGCGCAGATGAAAGCCCGTGATGAGGTGGGTCACAGGGCAGCTCCAAACTGGGGAGCTACGAATACCTAAGGCAACTTCAAGCACTAAATTCAACAATAGTTGGATAAAGCCTCTGTCATAACGATCTATTAGATACTGTATACCATAATTCATCTACAATTCTACCCAAAACATCGGTCAAACACTGTCCTGAAGTTCAACCAACGATACACAGTGTGTACTTAAGGCAGGCGCTGGGAGGATGAACCAGTGGACTGGGACATGCGCAAAAGTGGGGCAGGTAATCCATGAAGCAGCGAAGAAGGGAAAGTTGTCCTAACCAATTGATACTTATTTGTGACTGAACGGTTCGCATCGTCATCCCCGACACGCGTTGTTGAACCTGCGAAGTCAAGGAAATTCGCAGCGTCAGCCCATCACTACAATTTACGGTCCATGGATTCGTCACTACACGAAATCTGGCAGGCAGCAGCTGGCTCGCCGTTCGTCCCCACCGTCGGAAAGGACAGCCAGTTTTATGTCGCCCTTGCGCTCCTGCTTCTCGGTCTCTCCCTCGGCGGAGCATTCACTTTGAGTACGTCGATAAACACAATCACCACAGGCTCCATCCGCGCATCGCGTTCTAATTATTGTTTACTGCAGACCGGTCAATTGTCAACCTTCCCGTCCTCGCCGTTCCAGCATCTTTGGCCATTGCGTAGGTCAATCCCCTTCGAGACGTGTTACCTAAAAGTTGCAACTGACAAAGAGTGCAGCTTCGGGGTTGTTTACTTGTTCTGCGCGGTCGGAGTTTACGTCTAAGATACACCATACCTACATATAGATTTTGAAAACCAGGTCGATTCTACGCGATCCCAAGGCGAAATTTACTGAAGTTTGACGGAACCCAACTCACGCGTACTCTCCATCTATCCCACCCACCTAGCCACTGTTTTCATTCCCGCAATGGACACCCAAGGGTCATCTTCTTCGGGCCCTCCCCTTCTTAGAGCGGTCGCAAGCTCAACGAGGCCGCTCTACCAACTACTCAAGGCAATCAACTTCACAAACAAGGTGCACGTCGAGATCAATGAGACTGGGTTGAGGTTCGCAGCCGAACATGTCCGTGTGATGCAAGGTGAATGCCACATTGAACAAGCGTAGCGATCGGTCCTCGTAGCCCATGCTGACTAGTCTTAGCCGTTTCTCACTGGAATAAGAGCCTCTTCACTAGCTATACCACTAACCGGCCCCGTGCCCCTATCCTAGCCAACGACGCCGACGATGAGGACGACGAGCCCATCCCGCCCATCTTTCAGATCTCTCTTCCAGCCCTTCTCGAGACCCTACAAATATTTGGCGCCACTGACGCTGCCGCGCGCCAAGCCAAAGCGGACGCCGACCCTTACCGCAGTAACCTGCGCAACTACCGATCCGATGCCTTCTCCAACCAGACCCTCGGTATGTCGGGCACCTGCTCTCTCGCCTACGCCGCCGAAGGAGAGCCTTTCGGCGTGGTGCTCGACGAGGCCGGGGTCAGCACTACCTGCAACCTCACCACATACGTACCCGAGGCCCCCGAGGACATCCCCTTTGACATCGAGGACCTATCGTTCAAGGTCATCACATCGGCGCGCTGGCTACTGGATGCACTCACCGAGCTGGCGCCCACCAGCCCGGACAAGTTGACGATTGCTGCGTCCAAGCGCGAGCCGTATCTGCGCCTGACCAGCTCCGGCGGCCCGCTCGGGTCGAGCAGCGTCGATTTTGCCGGTGGCAGAGACCTATTAGAAACGTTTTCCGTCAGCACGAAATGGAGACAGACATTTAAATTCGATGTAATCAAGCTGGCCAGCGAAGCGATGAGGATTGCGAGCAAGGTCAGTCTGCGAGGTGACGGACAGGGGGTGTTGAGTATGCAGTTCCTGGTCGAGGTGGAGGGGTCTGGGCCGACGTTTTTGGACTTTCGGTTTGTGCCATACGCGGTATGTGAGGATGAAGGAGACGAAGAGGAGGGTGGAAGCGATAATGGGAGGGAGATGGAGACGTAGCTTGCTCGGAGCGCGATATATCGTTAGCCAATTGGTCTTGTTTTTGGGCTGGCGACTCAGTCGACACATTGACGAATATGGAGCCAGCGTGGCCGGAGATGAAAAGTCCCATATTACAAAGGTGATATGATATGTGCTGGGATGCTATCTTGCTAGTTTCTTTCTCTAGTTCATATCGAACCATATACCTTCACACCTCGGGGCTGTATCGTGTGCTCCGTTCATGGACCGTTGATACTTGCCCAGTATAAACCATGTGAGGCTTCGGTAGTCGGTTGTTTGTCATCGGATGCGTGTCATCGGATAGCGCTAAATCCACTCATGGTTCGAGCCAAGATGGGAACTCTGCTTCCAAAGAAAAGTCGAACGCAAATATTCCCTTGCGCTAACCATTCCACGGCCCACCGGTAGATGCGAGTGGCAAGCAAAGAGGCAACCCGCAGGAATCGGCGGATCCAGCGCCGGACCTATCTACTTGAAGAGTTCAACTAGGGCCCCCTCCATTCCCGGCATCCTGGACGGTCATCAACGGACCGATCGTTCCATAGTCCGCGGACCGTTCGTGCCACGGCGACAGTGCGCCCGTCGTTCGTTGGGCAATGTTCACGGGTGTTGGTTGGTGAAAGGTAGTGTGCTTCGGAACTTAGAGGATGTTGGGGTAGCTCGAAGATGGGTTAAGAAACTCTCGTTGAATTAATACCCCTCGATACTTAATACTTAAACCCAATGTTATCAAGGCTCCTTGGGGCGGTACAAACAACGAGACGTTCCTGACGCAATTTCTACCTGCTGAAACCCGTTCTCACACGGTAGATAGTGCTCTCCCTTTTCCTTGCTTAGGTCCTGGCCGAGCCAGGGCGGATTGCGGTATTCGGTCGACCGACCATGCCACTGACCAAATCCACGAACACATCTCCAGTCAACCAAATCTTGAACTTCACTCGCACATTTACTAACATTACGTGAATAGCACTATGTGTCAATCTATAGAGCACGGATATACTGACGTTTTGTTTTCGTTCTTCCGGTCAGCCCAAAATTATGCAATCGACTGTAGGGTTCGAAATCTCTTCCTGGGCTAACCCTCCCTCACACTCCGATTTGACCTTCAGGTAGGTCCAGGGTAAAATTTACTGAACTTAGCTAGGGGCCATCAATACTTAGTGCTTAAGAATATGTTTACGGTCTCGATATTTAGTATGATTTGTTCGGGTTGGAAAAGGGGCAAAGAAACAAAGAGCTAACCTAGAGGTTCAATTTTCGCACACCTTTTTCCCCCTTACCCAACCGTAACATACCGACAGTGATATAACAACAAGTTACACTATGGGTTGGCCTTATCGCACCGCCTGACACAGGTTAAGTAACTCCGACCGGGCTGGCTCTGGGCCCTAGATCCATGGGTGATATATGAGCGGCCCCGGGAGAGCAGTGCGACATAAGAAAGACCCGGCTGATAGACACACATGAGGAGGAGGGGAGGGATCCGCTAATAATGACTACTGATCAAAGAGGGGGGCGTAGAGTTGTATTCCAGATTACCGACATGATGACGATCGGATATGCAAGGTGAGAACTTGCCGCCACCTGTTCTAGGGGTGGTCCCGAGGGTGTGCTGAATCATGGCATGTCTCCAATCGATGATAGACACGGACGATATATGGTCACGTCGAGAGCGGTGGTGTACCGAACCACCTAACGCATTGTTCAACGGGACTCTCCTCGCTTGCCGGTGTTGGAGTGCCTATACAGCATCCCCCCTTGTTTCAAAAGGCCTCCAGCCTACGCGGACCATCCCCTAACCCCCACGGCCGTAACAATGACCAGTAACGCCTTCCAGGGCCTTGAGTATTTACACGGCTACGAAAGAAGGGACTAGAACTCGTTGGCCGTCCTGTCTCGCTAAATCCTGCCTCAAGCTTCATCCACTGGCGGTGTCTTGAACAACAGACAACAAATCTCAACCCAAACCCCCAACTCGGCCTGCTCATTGCCTTTCGGTTAGGTGATGGCGGCTAGTCTAATAGAAGGAAATACATCTACAAACCAGCGCGCACAGCTGCTTCCTTCGTGATTCAAGATGTCTCGTTGAAGGGGATGATAAATAATGCCCTCTGGTTTGCTTGTTTAAAAGGAGGACAAAGAATATGGCACGACAAGGCACATGTTACACATTACGTCTACCACTTGACCTTGAAACTCTCGCTTTCCCATGAGAGTTTTCCGTAGCATCTACTAAGCATGTTGAGGCCGACGATGAAGCGGTGCGGTTTCAGCCCCGGTGGAATCGGGGCGGAAGCATGGTCGTCATCATCCACGGCCATGAAGAAGAACCTGAGGTGAGCAACAACTCACCGGATCCTATAACTTCCTCATTATCAGCCCGGCCAGATCACCGGTCTCTCAGCCTGGTCGTGTTGGTTGGTCCGCAGGGCTGAGGAAGGGGTGATAGTTTCACCGAAACGGCCGGATGATCAGGACACAGAAAACATAGGAACGTTGACGGGTGGGACGGGAACAACGGTGATTATAAAAACGGCTATATCACAACAAACGAAAAATAAGCCCGTAAAGAGACAACAACCCTACCGCACAAGCCACCCGGAGAACCATGTTCCCTTAAGTTTGGTCACACTGTGGCCGGGTAGCAGGGTGTGACGTGCAGGAGGGATGGGAAAGTTCAAATGCCCTTCTTCCTTGATGGTAGCACGCTTTCTCAATGGTAGCATGGCATCGTTATGTTGCTGCGGTTGGCCGACAGGTAGGTGGGTAGGTTGGTTTCGAGACGGAGTCCCACGGGATGAGGCACTCGAGGCACCAAGTCTTGCTCTGCCACGGCACCGAAGTGTTGGGTGGGTGGGAAAGCCACTTCCCGCAGTTTCAGTTTCCCTGTGGGCTTTACTTTTCTGTTTCTTCCTTCCCGAGATAGTTGAAGCTAGATGTTGATAGGAAATGGGGGAACCAACAACACACATATAACAATGATTTCTTGAATTTTTTTGGAGTAGAATTATATCTATGTGCATGTTTTAGGACAGGGATTGGCGTGGGTATGCTACCCACGAGTGTGGATGCGAGAGAGGGCCCAGCGAAGGCCGTTGGTTCCATCGATTAAGCTGCTGCAGGAGATCATCGTGAGGTGGTCGCGGTTTCGGGCCTCCTGTACCCGTTGGTTGGGACGACAAGTCGAGCAAGACCAATGGCCTTGAGAGCCAGATGGATGGAATTGTCTCTGATAGGAAGTTACACAGTCTTGTCGCAGGCTGGGCCGGGGGCCCGCTCCCGCGCCGCAGAAGATGGAGCCAGTCGTGAGTGGAAAACTCCGAACGGCCTGGCATTCTGGCTGGTCAATGGAATTCAGAAGCCTTGTGGCGGAGTGCCAGGTACCTTTGTTTCTTGAAACAACAGCGCCATTGGCAGCGCCGCAAAAGGATCTCTGGCCAGAACCTTGTTGCCATGCTCTCTGAGAGAGGAGAAACAGTCCATGCGAGCAATCCATGCATGGCGAAACTGGGGCCAATACTGTCTGTGTAAGCCCATATCGAAAAATAAATCTCGCGAGCTGACGAACAACCACCCTCGTGGGCTTGTTTACGCGATCATCGCATGCCCTGAGAGGAAATTAGACGACAGTATGGAGAACACGATGGGGATGTTGTGTCCAATAACTAATGACAGAACCTCCTCGTAAGCGGGAAGGCCTGCGAGATTTCAATGGTTCTCAGCACTTCTTAGTGTATTCGTCTCACGAGGCTCCACTGATGGGGTTGTCGGCGTTGCACCGATGTCCGGAGGATCCGTCGCCTAGCCACACGAGGGCCGAGATGAAGCTGACGATGACCTCATTGAACACCCAATTGTCCTCGCGATGCCTTCCTCAGCTCGCCCAGCTCCGAGCACGAGGGAATGGAGGAAGCATTCCAAAACCGCATAGATCCGCGCAAAAGCGAATACCCACCCGTAATCACTCGATGTCCGAAAACACGGACCAGGAACTCGCAATCGCGCACCCCGTCTTCGTGGGGTATTATTGCTTGTCGGCTCCGAGAAGTATGTGCGGGGCTTTAAACACTAGCGCCAGGAACAGAGCAGGCGTGGTGTTGATTGAGACTAGGGGATATCGAGCGCCGAGCGGAGACTCTCGCTCTCATCAAGGTCGCATCGAGGCAACAGCAAAAGAGCTTGTTCAGATGGTGATAGTGTGGTTTTCGCCTGTTGTGCCCGCATCTCCGGATCGCGAGATAGTTCCGCCGGTGGAAGTAATGCGATAGCACCCGTCCGTGAAGGTCTTGAAGCCTGGATCCCAGCGGCCGCGCGATTCATCAGATCCAGCCCTCGCCGGCCCACACATGCATCCTCCACAATCCATAGCCCGCGCAGCCACGGCGAGAGGCATGATCAGGATGCCTTCGTTGATCGATGGTGAGGTGAGGAGTCCCGCCGAAGGTGTGGAGAGCCGTCTCCGAGGGAAGCAAGGGGGAACGGACGAGGACGGAAGAGGAGAGCACCGCCGCAGGATCACGGCTGCCCTGGGCAACAGAGGAGCGCAAGTCAGGAACAGAGGTCTTGGCCACGCGCGATTCCGGCCCAGCAGCCCAGAAGCCCAGCACGCCCAGTTCTCTGCTCTTTGATCCCAGGGAAACCCCCTGGGGGACGCTGTTCCTGATCCGGTATGTCGTGGGTGCTGGGTTGTGGCGAAGCTTCCCGCTTTTTGCGCTTGTCGCCCACGAGCTGCATCTCTGGTTGGCTGCGGCGCCTCTGAGAGCGATGCACTCCCGCGGCAGTTGCACTTGGAGATGGTGTGCAGCCGACGAGAAATCCCCCACCAAAGGCAACGGGGGGAGAAGTATGAGAGCCTTTCCATTTGGGTAAATGCTAAATGCCCAGTCGATTAACTTGTTGCCTGGAGATTGATGAGTGACGGCCTGGCGAACAGCCGCCGCTCAGGCGTTTTTGGCAACGATGATGATGCTATCTCTTCCGACTCTTACGAGCCGACAACAGAGGTGAACAAGCACCTCAAGGCTGAATTGCGAAAGAAGAAATCCTACAAAGTGGTAGCTCAGCATGTTTCCGCAGATTCAACTCCGTGCTTTACGACATCGGCCGAGCGGCGTTGATCCTTCTGGCTCGTAGGAGCCGACTCAAGATCTTCCAATGAGCTGTCGCAACCGGATCAGAGACAGGTTCGCGCGATTGAGTTTCCCATCAAGGCCGGACTCGCAACCGTCAGCCACGGACCCCGTCCACCACACGACGACCCATGTCTGATCTGGTCTCGTCGGCGGAATAATCGGGAACAACCCATGGAGAAGCGAGGGTGAAGCGGAGAGCGTTGTCCATCACCCGCGTACAGGGACCTAAACGAGTCATTAGCGCTTCAAGGGGGGTCTTTTAGGTATCACATGGCAAGCAACGACGGGAGTTTTGTTGCGGGCTTTCGGCTCCTTTTCGTGCCTGTTGCGCAAGGGAAATCTTCCGCGAGAGAGTCCGGTCCCGAGGAAAAATAGGGGATTGGGAGGGCCATTTGCTTGCTTCAAGATGTAATGTTGCGCAAAGGCAAGGGGCGTAGGTTGTAGTTGTTTTCTGGCAGGTTCAGGTGGTTACCTTGAGCTTGATTGGGGGGTTAGGTTCCTCATTTTTCAATGTCCTCCCTCCACTGGCACGTCTGGCCAATGCCCTCTGCGCTGCGCAGACGTCGGAGCTTGAGCGTGGATTGTGGAAATGGAGAGCAGCTTCAGACACAGTGCGGAGCGTTCGGAGCTCGACTCGGCCGCTAGTGCCGCAATCGGCGCTAACGTTAGTTCGTCCTTGAGACTGGCCAGTGCGTCATTCTTTCCTTGTCGAGTCTCACGCACTGTCCACCCTACATTGGAACATCTCCAGAGAGCGGGGCAAGAAGGAAGGAGGTTCCCGCCTGTGCAGCGAACTGCCATTGCTGCCCGCTGTCCCGCTCTCTTCCGTCTGAACTTCACAGCCAATCCTCATCCATTTATCTGCAGACGTTCAGTTGCAGCGCTCAGCCCCACGATTTTCAAGGCTTTGTTTTGTGTGCAGCCGTTTGAGCGACTTGGTAGTGTATTCTGACTGACTGACACCGATTTCCCAATTTCCCATAATTTTCGGATGGGGGCCGATAGCGAGTGTTGGTGATTCAGCTACTTGTCCACGCAGTTCGCTTGAGCACGGCACGATGTGTCTGGTCAGCGATTTCTTGTCCGCTTTTGCTCTCCGTGCCTTTGAGGTGCTTGATGAAGCGAAAGTGGCAAGCCAGCGCGGGGTCAGGCAAGACCAGTAAGTGCAAAGAGACAACAGATTGAAAGAGAGTCCGACCGATCGAAGTGATCAACGTCAACGGGGACCAACACCGGCCCTCAATTCGTAACCCCGCACTCGTCTCTCAAACTCGCCCCAACAGCGCCTTGTTGTTCGAAACTCATCACGAGGCGGACCTTGGATTCTTCGAAGTGTTGTCTTATTCACTCGTGAACCGTCGGTCGGCTTAGTCGGCAAGAGACAAACGCCCAGACGAAATGGCCCCCGAACAGCTAAGGCTACGGCTGTAAATCGGGGTCTCAGCGGTCTCAGCTCCGGGACCGCTCGGAGTGGACCAAGAGACCATCCGAATACTAAAAACACCGTCGCAACTCCCCTGACGGCAGGAAGAGACCTAGTGTAGCAGAATTACGAGAGCGAGCCGTTGTAGAAACGGTCGGATATCGAAAAAGAAAAGAAGGAAAACCCCGCAAACAAAAAGGCCGCTTCTTTGTTTCCGAGGCCGAGGGCCCCTACTTTCTGTTGCCTGCAAAGTCGTCCGGGTCCGATTCTCAATCTTGCACACGGGGACGAGCTGCAGGATGCTTGCCGAATGTGCGATCGCAAGCAGGGAGCGTGGTGTGGGCGGCGCTTTGTCGTGCTGCGAGACGAAGCGACTGACAGGGCCGACAAACCAGGGATCGCTGCCGCCTTTCCCCCATCAGAGTTGCCCGTCGATCAATCAATCACCTGGAATCTGGTGACGAGCTTTTCTGGTCACTCGAAACTCGCAGCTTGGCGTCTTGGTTTGCTGTTGGAGTTGACTGAGTTAAACGGCGATAATAAGCTTGACCTCAAAGTCGAAACCAATCCGCTGTTGCGGTTGAGGTTCAGCTCAAACGTATAGATGACACACGCTCGCCCCACGCTCACTCAACACAACTCTTCGATGCCTGGCGGCGAGGGCGGGCACACGCGGCGCTGTCGAACACAGGGAGAAGGAAACCAAGTGGCACAGGTGGGTTTGGTTCACAAGATGGGGGGGATGGAAACTCGGAGGCTCGGGGGACATTGCGAGCGAGAGAGAGAGAGAACGAGAAGAGAGAAAGAGAGACAACCCTCGAGAGAGACCCTGGCTCCTGGCCGTCGCTTGTTTCCCCCCTTGACCCTTGCTCACTTGGCCCCATCGTTCGCTTGTTGCGGTGGACCAGATGTGCCCGCCCCAGCCCGCTTGGCGGAACCGGGGCCCTGGTCTTGTATTCTTCGCAGGCACTGCAAACTCACGGGCAGGTTTGCAGTCGGCCGCGGGAGAGCAACGCCACACTCGGCGCCAGAGTCGAGTCGCAACACACTGGGGGACGACCGGGCCCCCAGCTCCCCCCAGCCCAGCGATGTACCTCTCACCCCGGTCACAGGGCGAAGGCGGAACCCAGCGGGTGCCGTTCGCCGTGGAGACGACTGGCATGCGGTGCTGCAGCGCAAAGCCATGCGCCGCTTTGCTCAAGATTACCACAGCAGCACCACCAGCCCACCGGCCGGAGTAGCAAAAGCATCGATTACCCCCCCATCCATTCCCCTCGCCGTTCCGGACCCTTCCATTCCCGGTGACTTTGCCGTCTCTCTCCTACCCCCTTCCCCCCCTTCCCCCCAACATCGAACATCTTCGATCACACTCTCGCCGTTGAGTGTTCGTTGTTCGTCTCTTGGGGGCGTTGTCGTCACATTCTCGATCGACGGCAGGAAGGGCAGTGGCATACGGTGGCCGGATAACCCCCGATCTACCAATCCATCCTCTCTCTCATTCTGAACCCGTGATACCGGCTTACAGACAGAGAGACCACAACCAACCATCACCGGCACTACCAACCAACAACACCCGTGCTCACCTGCCTTCTCATCTGGACCTGCGTGTGCCATGTGCTACGACTCCCGCCGAGTCTCTCCTTTCTCCTTCTTCTCTTAGTCGCCCCACACACTCTTCAAGCCGCCCATCATGTTGTCCCGACCGAGCTTTAGCATCCGGAAGTTGATTCCGAGCCCGCAGAAGAAGCCGGATGGACAGGACGGCTACGAGGGCTCCTACTTTTACCACGACGATGAAGACGACATGGACACACTGAGCCGGATCAAGACATGGAGGCCACCAATGGGTTTGATGAAGCGGTCCAAGCCCAGCATCGATATCCGCCGGAGCGAGGACCTGCACAAGATCATTTGTATCCCACCATTACCCGACACGCCACAGTCGTCGACGACTTCTTTGTGCAGTGTGGAAAATAACAGCAACAATGGAGCCGGTTGCGTGGTGAACAGCAGCTCCTCGCCCCCTCGGCGCCCGGACCGGAGCCCTTTGGCGAGCCCCATGATGAGTCCCGAGCGAAGCCCGCAGAGAAGCCCACAAAGGAGTCCGCTTCTTCTCCCCCAACAATTCGATGAGCAACAACAACAACAGCAACAATATCAACAAATGCCTCCGCGAGGGAGAAGCCCGAATCCAAGTCGCTCGCTTCACCCTGTCCAACTAACACCTCCTTCTTCCCCTCCTCAGGCGGATATAGGATCAGAAACACCATCAATATCTCCCGATACCGTGCCATCAACCCCCGAGAGCATCAACAGCAGCCAGCCGACGTCTCCCGAAGCCATCACAGTAACACCGCCCTCGGAAACGCACACCGAAGCCGGCGATAGCCCCGTCATGGTCGTCGTCTCTGGCAACTCATCTCCGCAAGATCCCCAGCGCCTCTCGCCCCAGACGAATGAAGCGCCTTTCACCCCGAGCCCGACATTGAGCATCGGGAAACTGTCTGACCAAGAGCTAGACAAGTTCCCTAAGCCCAAGAACGTCTCGCCCATTTCTTCTCCTCCTATGCGCCGGAAATCGCAACGACGGAGCCAGGGGTCGGTTAAGTCGGTCAAGTCACCGACAAAGACGTCGATGAAAGACCCTTTGTTGGTACCCGCACAAGCAAGACTGCCGTCGAATTCGAGGCCCAAGCGGGCCAAGTCTAAAAAGGCTAGGAGGCGGCCGACGCGGGCACCTGCACGGCAGTCATCGGTGTGGCAGCTGACTGAAAGCGCTAAAGACCTGTTCACGATACGCATCTTCCACCGGATTGAAGTCGACGAGATGCTGCCCGAGAGCACGCTGCGGGAGATCCGGATGAGCCGGGCTGCGCATTGGACGAGATCTCCTGAGCTGGGGGTCACCCACATTGATAAGAAGAGTGCCGCCGCCGCTGCTGCGGCGGCTGCTGCTGCTGCTGCTGCGGCTTCTGTCCCGAATACCGCCGTCGCGGTCGAAGCTACGCCGATCGAGCCATTGAGCCTTAACGACTCGGCCGCCGATGCTGCTGCTATGAGCGAAGAGATCGTGACGCCCCGTGCTTCTGTCCTGAACCCCAGATCTAACGAGGTAGATGGCGATGACTGCAAGACACCCACGGGACTACCAGAAGGGGGGATGATGAACAGGACCGAGGAGGCATTCCGGCTCCAGACGCTGCTGGAAGACCAAGTCGACCCCGCCTCATTGCCTCTGCAACAACCAGACTCGCCGACGACCAGGTCGTATGATGGGGACAATGACGATAATGGGAGCTTACCGATCATGATGATTGTGGAGGACGAACAAGGGCAACAAAAGCAGATTGCTCAGACCGGCCAGTTGGCCGCGTCGCCCATGCCACCTCTTCCGGTGAAGCCGCCCATGCATCGCCGAATGCCGAGCAGACAGCTCCCGCCTCTGCCCACGATTCCCGAGATCATCACGACGGGGGCAGAAGAAGCGCTGCTGTCGCCCACGTCGACACCGGTCCCGATCGGCTCGCCGGCCAAGGTGAACGTCGAGGACTACATCTTCCTCCAGAGCAGCCCCTGCACACTGACAATGCCGATGTTCCGGCACGGGCAGATCCGGCTGGCCAAGGCTGATCTGCCGATCGGCAAGCTGGCCGCGGCCGTCGACGACACCCTAGACTGGACCGCGTTTCAGATGGCGATCCTTGGCGGTGCGGGCGATTTCTTCAGTGAGCCGACCGACTACTCGCGGCCGTCCGAGGCGGAACTCGACGAACGCGAGGAACTTGCCTCGTGGTTTGGGAGCCTTGGTTTCTTGGGGGCTGGGTCTCTCATCGGCCCTACCGAGCCGCGAACCCCGAGTTCCGGCTGGACGCCTGTCTTCCCCCGGACCCCGACTCTATCACCCACCTCCTCGCCAAGCTCGAGCTCAACTTCCACCTCAACATCGACATCCATCCCGACGCCCAAGACCGGCAGCACCAGCCCCAATATCAGCATAAGCACCAGCCCCGACCCCAGCAGCAGCAGCCCACGTCCCGTGACTAACGGCGCCTCGCGCGCGAGCCCGGGCATTCGACGCATCGATCCGCCCGCCGTATCGGCCGACGCCAAAGACGGCTTCGGCGGACCTCTAGGCGACTCCATCGCCGGCCGCTTCTTTCCCTCTCCAGGCCACATCCTCGGGCCCTCGGCAACCTTTTCCCCGGGACCGAGCCCTCACCACCTCCAAGCCGGCCACTCCGGCCCGCGTCACAGACGTAGTGCAAGCAGCACCACATTTAGCCAGGCCACGGCCAAACAACAGAAGCAGCAACAGCAACAGCAGCATTCGCAGTACTACGGCTACTCTTCTCAACAGTACGGCAGCAGCACCCTCCCTTTCCACAACGACATCAACACGACCACTCCCACCACCGCTGGCTCTATCACCCCGACTATGAGCAACAACACCATTCACGCCAACACCTTCCCGCCACCCCGCATCCTTAGCCATTCCGTTTCCTTCGAAAGCCGACGCAACCACGCCAACCTCGCGATCGATGCGACCCGCCGTCCCAGCGTCGACAGTGTTCAGAGCCTGCCGCAGAGCCCAATGATGGATCTTGTCGTGAGCCATGATGTGGAGGGAAATGAGTACATTGTTGCGATGGGCTTCAACCTGAGCCATGATTTGGGAGATTTCCTGACGTGGCAGGCGGAGCACGCAGAACATGTGTCGGACGTTGGGTTCGGTGGCTCTGCGGAGGAGAAGAAGAGGGTAGAGGGGAGAACTGGGAGGGAGGTTTAATTTTGTTATCCCATCCCGTCATTGTCGTATTACCTTGTATCACTCCAATTGGTGGGTTTCTTCGGTTTGGTTTTGGGTTTCTGAGTTTTGACTTTATCTCTCTCTCTCTCTCTCGTCCTATTTCCTTATCTGTCTCAAATCCTATCCTCACAGAGGATACCTTTCCTACATTTTTCCTTATGTCTCCTTTTCTTCTTCTTCACCCTTTCCTCTTTTATCCCTATCCTTGAACTGGGTCGGTCATTTACAAGGTGTTTGGCAATATCAACAGGCAAGCATTTGGATGGGAATCTGGGCATCTTTTTTTTTCTTTCTTTTTTTCTTTTTTGTCGCTCTCTCTTCGGGAAGCTTCTTTTTGGTAATCTGGGCAGCATCTTTAGGAAAGATCAGTGGCGCAATGAGGCAAGCAAAGGATTGTGGAAGGAATTGGGGAAAAAACCACAGCCCTTTTTTACGTTGTTTTCATTTTTGGGGTCTACTTGGGAACTTGATACCACGTTCTTTTTTTGTCATCAGGGTCTTCCTCTTCCTCTCATCATTCCTTCTTAGTTTTTAGTCTTCTTCTTATCGCCCCCTGGGGCGCTCTATCATTTGGATGGGGGTTTGGTGGCCGTGCGGCGGAGAGATGGATGGATGGATGGATGGATGGACGAAGCATATGCCGTCTTGATGTGGTGTTGATGATTTGGCTTGAACAATGTGTACATATTAGGGCGTTACAGTTGAAGGTGGAATACAAACAAATTATCTATTACCGTACCTTTCCCATTCTTGCCATTCAAGTTCATTTTGTTCATTCCCAACTCCACTTGCCTCTCGCGTCCAAGAAGATATCCACCTCCCGCTAGGATTGCATTTGCATTGCATGCATCCACCTTGTTGTGTCAAGATGCGAATTATTCAACATGGGATGAAATGCCCAGTCTTCCTCCCGCCCATACATGCATTTTCCCGGGCTCACCCTGCTCTCTGCAAAGGAACGATGGGGTTTTCCCCATTTCCCGCTGCGTTTCTGCAGGTACGTATGGAGACGTACACGTATCTTGTTCTATCCGTCTGTCCCCGCTGCGGCCCGCTGCGCAAGACCCGCATGCAAATGGCTCCAACAGGTGAGAAAAGCGCTGGGAAATCTCCACTCAACAGATCAGGTTCGTCACCAATAACTAAGCCTGAGTGACTTCCATTCAATTCACCAACCAACCAACCAACCGAGGTGAATACAGTGTGCGTAATGTGCTGACAGGGTGAGCATTACAAGCAGGTCGCTGTTGGGCAAAGCCGGCTGTACGTATGTGCATACGTGACCGACCTGCCCGAGACGTAGCGGAACATCGAGATCACCAGACGCAGAAGCAGCGCACACATGGACCACGCCGCCAACAGGCCGTTGTTTCTGGCCACACCGGCCATACTGACCGGGCGCGTTTCCTGGCCTCCAACGGGCGGAATCCGCTGCTCACCTGGATGTCAGGCTTTTTGGCGACGAGTTTAGTTCCTCATTGATTAGTTTTGACGTTTCAATTCGGCTTTTGCTAACTCCGCCCACCCAGGCAAGGCAGGCTCACCAGTTTAGAACTGGCAAGTCTGGGCGCACCGCTTCTCGATGAAGGCCGTGTCAGACCCGATGTAACCCATCACCTTGCTGCGGGCCAGGCACCGAGGAAAGGGAAAAAATGGAAAAAATGTGGCTTGAAGTGGCAGTTCAACAACGATCACCAATTTTGGCTCAGACTCGTGATCAAAGCCGCGCTGTTTGCCGGACAATCAGATTGACGGGCGGTTGGGTTGGTTCGTAGTCACCATTCCCAACCCACATGCGCACACACCCACACCATGTTGGCGGACGTTGGTGATGTTGGGGGTGTTTGTTTCTCTCGACTAATCAATCAATCAATTGCCTGCCCCGACGCGACTCCGAGTCCCCTCCACAGTGTATCCCCTTCATGTTCGCATTTCTCGCATCCTCCCCAACAAGGCACCCACAGCGGCATCCCATGCATGCGACGATGAGTGAGTGACGAGAGGAAACCTCATTTACCCATCCCAGCCGAGGTTTTGAAGCAGGCAGGCTATCGTTCATCTCTCCGTTCCATCTGCCACCCCCCTTCATCCTACATTATGTACCTACCCCGCCTCTCAATTCCATCTTCCGCACATACAGAGGACACAGTCAGTAATTCGTCTCGACATCAGATGCAGGTCGTGTAGGTGCCTGTGTAAATTGCCTGGATTCGTCCTTGTGCCTACTCCTTCCGACTACCTTAACCTTCCTTGACCTAGCAGAGTGGAACGACCCAAGACATTCCAATGCAGGAACGCTTGCGGTATGCGCACGTAATCGCAGTCAGAATCATCGGGCCGTACACCAAGCCAAAGCTGTGTTTGGTCAATTCATCAATCCTGACTCGCCAAAGGATGCTTAGATCGGGTTTGGGGATTCAACCAAGGTGGGCTCGTGGGATGGGAATGATGGGGATAGCGCTGCCCCTCCCGTCCTCCACTCAATCAACATTGACGAATTGAACTTCTAATGTGAAGTGGTCTGTCAAAGCAATTGGCCTATGATCTTGCACCGATCCGGGACACCAAATCCTCCCGTTTCTCATTGCCCACTCCCCGGCCACCCGGCTCCCATTTCATCCGCGCTTCGCCACACTGTTCTTTCTGACCCTGGCAGGATGGTGATAGTGATGTCTCGAGCGGGCGCGCCCAGCCTCGCCAGCGCGGCCGGACAAAAAAAGAGGCTATTATTCCTTTGACTAAACCTTGTTCCTACAGGTATACATTTGAACCTCGGCTTGCGATCAGACCGTTTCGGGGGTGGTGTTAATGGCCCGGTCAGAGCCTGTTGAACTTCGCGAACGGTCTTGCCTCTCGCGGCGGCGATTTGGGAGTCGGTCCAGTTGAGGTATTCGCGCAGGGTGCGGATCTGGATCTTTTCGTCGCGTGTCAGGTTGTTTGGAGGTCGCTTACGTTGGAAAACGGGGCCCGGAATTCGCTGTGTTTGAAGCTGGTAGGATCGCTCGGCACAGGGGGAATTGTGGGTGTCTGTGGTGTTGATGAGCGCGTGGATGTCCATCGCTTCGAGGGTGTGAAATGGATTGAACTACAAAGTACCAGGTTTCTAGAAGAGATTGAACTGCGAGAGGCACGAAGATGTAAAACGGGTCGACGATGTCAACAAAAAGGAGGTTTCTTGGTCACACATCAGGACCAGGTTGAATGTATCTACCCATACAAATTAATATGTAAAGTAACATCTGTGGGAGATTAACTATGTGGGGAAACAACCCTTCCTCATCTAGCCTAGCATTTGCCACGGTCACCTGCCAACATTAACTACACGTACTAAGCCCCGGAATAGGTTTACTGCAAGGAGTTGATGTGATATGTAGAAGCGAGAAGGATGAAGGTTGGGGGGCAGTGTACGCACATGTACAGGGGAAGTTGAGACCATGGGATGATTTAAGCGCTGGATCGCGGCTGCGCTTATTTTGAATCACGCAAACTTTGCAGACATGCGGGGTCGAGGGCCGGGGGTACGAATACTGCGATGGAATCACTTGACTGTTACGAATAGCTGTGCACTCAACACAGTTTGGGGAATCGAGGAGGTACGGTGGGATACACTTCGTAGACTTATGTTCCCCGAAGGAGAATCCGGGATTTCCTCGAGGCGAGTCTGGTATCTCGAACCGGCCCGAGTTAGGGATACTCGACAGACAAAGCGAGGGCAGAATGGTTCAAGCCAAGATCAAGGTGCAAATAACGCCACAGGTAAAAGAGAGCGAGGCAGGCTGATCGGGGCTGATGGGCTTGATGGGCTGCCTTCGCTGCGGCTGATCAGCTAGCTGCCTGCCGCCCGACGCCTGCCGGGAATCCCCTTCATTTTTCCCCGATGTTTGTCCGCTCAGGTCCGCCCCCACCTACTCAGCAACCCGTGCTTGGGCCATGGAGCTGCATGAGGGTAAGGGTTCTTGTTCTTTGTTCAATGTTTCATGTTTCATGTGCCTTCGAGGCAACGTTCTGTTTGGGAGTTTGTTTCCTGCTTGGCGGGCGGGGTCCGGGGAGCTCGATGAGGAAGGAAGATGAGGGGAGTCTGGAAGCTGGGGTTGGAATTTGGAATACGAAGACACAGTACAGATGCGTTTTGGACAAACCAACAGTATCAAGGTGATTTGTTGGGTGGCGGGGAGAGGAACCCGGGAACGAGTGAGCCTTGGAGGCCCTGGGAACCATCATACTTCGTACCAGTTCCTAGAATGGAGTAAAGATGCCGAATATCACAAGTACCGTATCAAGATGCGTTGAAGGATGAATCCTTGGGCTCGTGTAAGTGGACTGCAGTGGACTCTAGAGTTTTATCTTGGTAGTACGACAAAAGCAGGAGTCTGCCTCGTCTGATCTCGTGTAGTCGCTAGATGAGTGACAAATGGTGGGGGCGAAGGATTCTGTTCTGGTTCAAAGGAATAGGGGGGGTCGAGACCTCGCCATCCGTCCCTCGTCCATGAAGGGTATGTGATTCCTACCTTCCGGCTTACCTCGGTGGGTAAGGTCTGTGGGCGAGAGATGGTGGATGATGCAAACGGAACACGCACTGAGTGGCGTTCGTTTTTCTCTTGTGACGAAGCCTTTTCTTTGTCCGACCTCGGCAGCATACACAGCATACCCGCTGTTGGTGTTGGACACGGATAAGTCTATTTTCAGCAACTTTTAATTGACTTGAGCCTTACACTCACCGAGCACATTCATCGAGGTCTCACCCAGGTGCCAACCTCATTGCAAAATAGTAAATGTTCAACTCGGCCACCTAAGGATAGATAGCCTGATCTAAGGCCCCAAGGCTATCATTGTCAAAATACTTGTCCCACTTCACCTCTCATATCCAGTTTGTCCTGTTAACCAACGATTGCTTTTTTCGTCCTGTTAAATTCGGCCAAGTCCACACAAATAGGATGCTATCCATCTCAAGTGCATAAGCGCCAGGAAACGGGGCGCTGTGCATACAGATTGCATGCTGCACAGCGGACCGGACTGCCTGCCGACTGGGCAGGGCAGGTAACTCAGTTGTATTGACAACCTTAGTCAGTAAAAGTGTATTTTTCTAAGAAAAGAAAAGAAAAGAAAATCAAAAAGCTCACTGCCCACTTCCTCCGGTGAGGTAGTAGACAGCTACGAATAACCCGGGGGTTTTTGCCTCCTCCCTGAGTCGAACTTAGGAAGGGGAGAAAGCGGGCACGCTCGGTGCTGCCCGCGCCCCCCTAAATACACCATCCGCGGCTGGGCATTTGTCGGATGGGGGTGCTGTTGGGAATTGGTGGCGGAAGGGGGGGTTATAAAGGGTCGTCTGGGGAGGAGGGAAGGAAGATACGTGGGTTTGAGCGAGACGGGGAGTATTTTGTAAGTCGGGGATGAGAGCTGGCTAGCTATTTAAGTCAAAACACTAGATCGACGTATTATAACTTCGAGAAAATAAAGATCATGGGAAAATTAACCGAGTGTTTGAAGGCGGAAGATATTGCGGATTGATTTATATGTTAAAGACTGATGGGTTCGACGTCGTTCAGAAAATCGGGAGAGGGAGGTCTGAGATACCGACACCTCTAAGCATCACTGTAGGGTCTGAAAACAACCCCAAGAAAACATCTCTGCCAAGTCCTATAGTCCTATTCTCTCTCTCCATGAGATGTTTCGAGTATCGAGGGCCTCTAGAAGTCGTATGTCCATGTCCCTTTCTCTCCACCGTAGATAACCACCTAAATAACTACCACACATCGCATCAAATGTCATTATCATTATCATCACCCCCCTTCCTTTCCCCCCAAAACTACTTCTGCAACGGCCCCCCCATTCCACCATACGTAATCATCTTAGTGATCTGATACTCCTCAATCCCATACTTCGAGCCCTCCCTCCCAAACCCACTCTCCTTCACCCCCCCAAACGGCGCAGCCGGGTCCGAGATGAGACCCGTGTTGACCCCAACCATACCGACCTCGAGACTCTCAGTCACGCGGCTCACAAGCTGCACGTCACGCGAGAATAAGTACGCCGCCAGGCCGACGGGCGAGGTGTTGGCCAACTTAACGACCTCGTCTTCGGTGGTGAACGGGAAGAGACCCGCCACAGGGCCAAAGGTCTCTTCGTGGGCGAGGGCCATGTCAGGCGTCATCTCGGTGAGGATGGTAGGCTGGTAATAGTTGGGCCCGAGGTCGGGGATCCGGCTGCCGCCAAGGAGGACGCCGGCGCCTTTGCTCTGGGCGTCTTGCACGTGGTGCTCGACTTTATCGACGGCGCGGGCGTGGATGAGCGGGCCGTGGGTGGTGCCTGTTTCGAAGGGGTTGCCGACCTTGAACTGGCGGACCTTGGCGGCGAATTTCTCGGCGAATTCGTCGTACACGCCGCGCTGGACGTAGATGCGGTTGGCGCAGACGCAGGTTTGGCCGGACGAGCGGAACTTGGAGGCGATGGCGCTTTGGACGGCGAGGTCGACGTCGGCGGAGTCGAAGACGATGAAGGGGGCGTTGCCTCCGAGTTCGAGGGAGAGCTTTTTGAGCGTGCTGGAGCTTTGTTCCATGAGTAGCTTACCGACGGCGGTTGAGCCGGTGAAGGAGACCTTTCGGACGTCTGGGTTGGTGGTCAGGGTCTTGCCGACGGAGGGAGTGTTGTTAAGGGCGGTGATGACATTCACGACGCCCTTGGGGATGCCGGCGCGGTGGGCCAGCTCGGCGAGGGCTAGCGGGGTGTAAGGGGTCTCGCCGGGGGCCTTGCAGACGACAGTGCAGCCGGCAGCCAGGGCGGGGCCGGCCTTGCGGGTGAGCATGGCGGCGGGGAAGTTCCATGGAGTGATAAGGGCGCACACGCCGATGGGCTCCTTGATGGTCACCACGCGGTTGCCGGGCACCGACGCCGGGATGGTGTCGCCGTAGATGCGTGGGGCCTCTTCGCTGAACCACTCAAAGAAGTTGGCCGCGTACGCGGCTTCGCCCTTGGCGTCTGCGATCGGCTTGCCGTTCTCCCAGGAGATCAGGGCAGCTAGGTCGTCTGCGTTTTCTACCATGAGGTCGTACCATTTCCGGAGTAGCTTCGACCGTTCCCGGCCCGTCTTGTGGCGGAACTCTTGAAATGCAGCTTGCGCAGCAGCAACGGCTGCTTCCGTGTCCTTGGCGTCAAACTCGGGACATGACCCGATGAGCTGGCCCGTGGCTGGGTCTAGATAGCAAAGTGAGTGAGTGATTGGATGAGCGAGTGAGGTCTAGACCGAGGGAGGCATATGCGAGGTTGATGAGGCGCACGAGGAGGGTGAGACTTGCGTACCGTGGACCTTGAATGTATTCCCCGACTTGGCCTGTACCCACTCGCCATTGACATAGCACACATTCTCCTTAAACAAGGAGGGGTCTTTAAGCTGGGTAATGGGCCATAACGTTAGCCGCCTGATGCTCACATCCAAGGACAACTAGACATGCTGGAAAGACCAAACGGGTGGTGAGACAACATACTTTAGGAGCCAGGCTAGACGCCGACCGGAGAGACGGGTTGATGATCATGGGGAGTGTTAATCGCCGGAACTGAGACCTCACTGCGGTGGTCCGCGAGGCGGAGACTAGGGTTCTGTGAAGAAAGGACATGCCGAAGCGGGGTGATAACGGGGAATGGTGGGCCAGGAACGCTGATAAAACTCGGTATATAATGTCGTACGCCTCGCAATGCCCTTTCGGCGGATAAGGCGCTCGTAAGCCTTGTTCTAAGTTGTGAGTTGTGACGAGACAAGATGGGCGTCACGGCCGAAGGTAGAGTTCCAAGACACCGAAACTTAGTTGGTACTTCGATCGTCTTAGTGGCCTGAAAGCTATAAGGTTGCTACTAGGAGAGATTCCGCTTATTCTCCTATGGATTGTGACAAAATTGATGATCAAAAGCAGAGATTCTCGAATCCCAAGATTTTTGTTTTGACATGACGTTGTTCGCCGGTTTAGTGGGTTACATGTGGAGAGGCAGCGCCTTGTGTCGGTAATTCACTACCGGCCGTTGGGGAAACCGCCTCGAACCCTTCATGAACCTGAAGCCACGCGCCGTGGCGTCGAGCGGAATCTCCCCAAGGCAATGATCGATGATCTAGATTTCCAGTTGGTAGAATATTCTTTCTTTTTTTACTTTATTTATTGGAAATAGGCCTTTTGTTTCCTCCTTCTTTTCACACGTACGAAGTACACCCTCGAGATCCTCGACCCCTCTCACCCCCAAAACAAGCTACAGTGGGGCATTCCACAGCACTTGTTTTCCCCGCACCGAGGTCCGGTCTCGAGCTTCTTTCGACCACTCTATTTCCGATCTGATATTTCCATCTAGGACATCTTCATCCAGCGGCGGCTATGTATCACAAAATCTGCATCCTATTTAGCGGTCTGTGACAGAAATAAACCTATTCGGGCCTTCTTTTCTTCGTCCAAAATCGTCAAAAAGCCGCTGGCTTCCATTCCCGGGCGCTAGAAGATGCGTGATGTCTCATTCGAACCCGAACCCTCCTCACCAACAAAACCAAAATCACACTTCCAATTGGGAACCACAGCAGGTTTCCCCAATCCCTTCCCGTCCCGGCCCCGCTCCACACCCTTCTTTCTTCCCCGGACAACACCCGCGATGTCACGATGCGCCGATCTCCTCCCTTGAACTTGCAGGCTGACCACTCACCGTGCGCGTGTGTACGAAGTACACCCCAGCTTTCCCGTCTGCGGGCCCTGTACCACGGCGTCATCAACAAGTGTTTGCTGACAGCTTTGTTTCTGTAAGTGTTGCCTAACTCGCCCTACACTTAGCGGTCTTGCCCGCAGGCCCCTGGCATCCATGCTCCTATGGTGTGGGTTTGGCCGAGGTCAGGTCCGATTGATGGAACTCCTGGTCCGAAAAGAAAAGGGGACTTTTTGAGGTAACGTCGTTCGACACGGTTGGTGGGGATATGTGTATCCGGAACGATCTGGATGGGGCGGTTAGAGTGCCTCGGTGCGTTGGGGGATGGTATGGCAAGGTAGGTACCCGGGTAGCTAGGAACGGAATTGGCCCGTGTCATTGTATAACAAGACATCTTTTACCCGGCCGCCTGGGCATTTGTGAATCTTTTGATGTTTTCTTGAGGCCTACTCCTAGATTCCAACATAACCTTCATCCAAGATGAAGCAAGCCAGTCTCGTGTATTCTTTGGCCAGCCCAGCACTGGTGAAAAGTCAGGCTACGGTCGCTAGCTCGGTAGACAGCAACGATGTCCTTGACGGCTACGTGAGCTATAGCATCGAATTCTCAAGCTTCCCAGAGTTTGCAGGTCAGTCTTTCTCAGCTTCGGACTCACAGTACCCCCTTGTTGGTTATTCATTGCTCAATGTCTAAACGTCTTGTAAAGGAAACGATTCGCACCCCAACACCTTCTCGGACACGCTCCTAGATAACCTCGGACAATTCCTCGGGCGCAAGCCATACATACGCGTCGGTGGAAACACCCAAGACTATGCTCTGTACGATGCTTCGCTGCCCATTGCCCTCAACGGGACCGTCGACCCGGACCGGTCGCCGGACTACCCCACCACCATCACGATTGGCCCGTCGTACTTTGAGTCCTACACCACCTGGAAGGACGTCAAGTTCTCCCACGGCTTCAACCTCGGCCTCGGTGGGAGCAAGTCCGAGGGATGGCAAACTCTGCTCGACACTGTGCCCTTGGCCTGCCAGACCTTGGGCGACGGAAAGCTGTATCTTTGGGAGTATGGCAACGAACCCGACCTGTTTTCCACTTCCGCCCAGGGGCCCGTGAGGTCGTCTGATTGGAACGAGGCTCAGTACGTCCAGCAATGGCAGAATGGCACTCGGCAGATCAAGGCGCTCCTCGAGGAGCATTGTCCCGAGTTGACAGAGAGGAGTGTTTACGGCTACTTGGCCCCGTCTTTTGCAGGGACGGGGAACACCCTCAAAGCTGCGGATGCGTGGGCCGAGGGGCTCAATGATGACAAGGACATTACGTTCTTTTCGACTCACAAGTAGGCAACCTCCCTGTTTTGGTTTGTCCTAGGACATCCTACTTGAGGAGAGTGTGATTGAATTGTGTTGCTCACCACACCTCGAACTACAGCTACATCAGCGGCGCAGCCTCTCCCGGCGTGACCCTCCAAGGGACGCTCATGAACCACGCGGTCACAAAACGGTCCGTGGACGCCCACGTCGACGAATACAACGCCATTCTCTCACAATCTTCCTCTTCCGACGACCCCGTGCCGCCCCTCATCTTCGGTGAAACCAACTCGCTCTACAACCAGGGCCGTCCGGGTTTATCCAACACGTTTGGTGCTGCCCTCTGGGGCGTCGACTTTAACCTCTACTCGGCCTCGGTCGGCTTCAAGCGCGTGCACATGCATATGGGGACAAATTACCGGGTACGTTGTCTTTTCGTCGCGCACACACCTCTCTTGACGCCCTTATACGTTCACAGACTGATATACTGACGTCCCTCACTCAGTACGCCGCCTGGCAACCCGTCTTAACCGACCTCGCCACCCTCGGCACCAAAGCCCCCTACTACGGTTCCATCACCGTCGCCGCAGCACTCGGCTCAGACCCAGCAACAGTCGTCTCCATCCCCCTCACATCCTCCTCCGTCTCCTCCTCGTCCTCCTCCACCGCCTCTACTTCATCCACCTCCGCCAACTCATCTGACGACAACGCCAACACCTCCGCCGCCGCCGACGACCTCCAACCCGAAGCAGCCTACGCAATCTACACCTCCCAGGGCACCCACCTCACCCGCCTCGTAATCCTCAACATGCGCTCCTACAACACCACCCGCGACGGCGCCGGTCTCGAGCCCGTGCCCTCCCCGCCACCACGCGGCGAAACCGAGTACGCCTTCGCCCTGGATATCACCGGCGCTTCTTCCGCCAACAAGATACAAGTCGGTCAGGAACTTACCGTGCGCCGGTTGCTTGCGAATGGGAGTGATGCGATCACGGGGATTACGTGGGATGGGTGGAGTTATAATTATGAGTTGGAGGGCGGGAAGCCGGTGAGGTTGGATAATGTGACAGTGGGGGAGACGGTGGTGGTTGGGGAGGATGGGGTGGTCAAGGTTAGTGTGCCGGATGCGAGTGCGGTGGTTTTGGAGTTTGATGTTGGGGGAGAGGGGAACCGGGGAGAGGGAAAGCAATAGGGGGGCGAAGAGGGTTGAGAGGTAAGAGAGATGGTTGGTTGTGAAATAGGTGTTAGTTGAAAGAGTGATGTGATGACTGATGAGTGAATGTTGATGAGTGATGTCTATATTGTTATCATCAATAGGCAAGGGGGGGAAGGAAACCAGTAGTATGAGTAGGGATGCAGCGTCAACAGAGGTAGTCAAATAAAGAATCATTCGCAGACAAAGGTATCCAGGTATCCATCCTTCCGCCATAACTCCGACTGGCTTTGGCCAGCCCATCCAGCTGTCTCCAGCAAAAAAATAGCAAATCCCCGGTCACAGTCTGAGCGGGTTGAAACTAGAGATACATACAAGACATAATGTGCCTTCAAAGAAACTCAACGGTCCAGCGCAGCCTCCTTACCAAGACCCCCAAAAGAACAAAAAAAAACGTCACACTTCTCTTCAACCACTATGCCACCAACCCTTCAGGCCCGCAGCGGCAGTTTCCTCTCCAACGTGTGGAACGCCTGCGTCCGCGGCGTGAAAGGCATCTGCTCGTTCGGCGGCGTAGGCTGCATCTGGACCGTCACGCCCTTATCCCTCGCGGCAGGCTTCCTATAATCGTTGTCCTCGTCATCCGAGTCGTACATATCGAGCTCCTTGTTGGGGATCATGGCCCAGACGGCAAATCCGGTTTGGCAGAGGTAGAGGACTCTGTGAATTTCACTTATTAGTTTTCGGGGTGTTATAAATGAGTATGTGATGTGAAAATCAACGTACAGCATATATGCGGTCACACCAAGCGTCGCCTGCACCATCTGGCAGGTCTGTCCAGCACCGTACCGCTCGGCCAGTTTGCACCCGTACTGGGACCGGAGGTGCCAGGGGACCGGGCTGGGATACCGGGAGTCGGCATAGTCCGGGCCGGCCTGGCCGTAGACGCTGACGGCGTAGAGAACGGTCATGCAGACGCCCACAAAGGTGCCAATGACCGGGTAGAAGACCTTCATGATGATACCGATCATCTTGGCCAGGAGAACAAAAAGAGACAGGACCGAAATGGCAACGTTGTAGTCCGTCAACCTGGTTGATCACGGCTGGTTAGTTCTCCATGTACATACACCATGTAGAGCGGGTGTCGTATTGCCAGGTGAGAGGTGCTGTACTCACATCCTGGACCAGACAAACGGGATGGTAGGAAGGGGCTGGTAGTTGGCGTATGCGTAGAGGATCATGTTGGGGTTTGAGTTGAGCTTGTTCTCGAACCCGATGCGCCAGAATAGCGTCCTGAAACCATCCGGCTGCTGGAAGGCGAACATGACGAGCAACGGGATGATACCGCCCAGCTCAGGGAGCATTCCCCAGAACAGAGGCGCCCTCGCCTTCCACGGCCGGTGCAAGATACGGTATGTGCGTGCCATCTCCTTGCTTTTGCGGAAGTAAGTTCGCGGTGTCGGAAACCAATGTCGTTTCTTTGTGCTGCTCGGCGACTCGATTCTCCTTCTCTGTCCCTCGCCTGGGTGCCGCCTCTTGGCAGTCGTCGGGGGTCCGTCACGAGATGCCGGATATCGCCAAAAGGACGTTCTCACATCGAAATCCTCGCCGATTGAGCGCCGCTCGTGTCGTCGTGCTGTCGGCGACAACAAATATCGCGATAATCACCCTCACAAGTAAGTCTCTTGCTTTCCTTCGACCGCAGAGCGGGATAAAGAAGAGGAGGGGCGCCAGCCGTGAATTAAAGGGCCTGCATCCATTGCGCCCGTGACTGTCACCAGCTCTCCCCTCAGCTGCCGCCCAAACGTAGCGCAAACAGGCATTCCGAGCAGCGCAAAGATGCGGCCGGCAGGTCAATCACAGCCCGATGTCCAATGAGAGCGTGAGATTAGTCTCACTGCAACAGCGTGTAAGCGCCCAGTTGACCAATCCGAGAGCAATTCACAACAAGCGGGGATTTGGGGGCGAGCAGCTGTCACCACCCGGCAGAGTCCCAGACCACCACCTTGAACCAGCTGGCAACTCACCAGCGCAGATCGACCACCGCGCCGCCGCAAGGGGGCCTGTGGGAATGGTGCCGCCGAGAAAACCGCTTTTGGAATCGTCGGCCACTTGCTGCCGCAGGATGCGGGTGCTGCCGGCTGGTCCGGAACAATTGCCGTGTCCGTCCGGGCGCTCGCAAAATTCTTCACAAAGCCGACCCCCGTTTCATCAGGTCGTTGCGTCAACACGAGCAATATCGTGACTTCTCACGTGCAGTGCATCCCTCTCGACCAGACAACACCTTGGAACGACGTTGAACTTCAAAAGGCTGTTGCCAAGGCCCGATAGACTCGAAGCGTTCCTCGCCGGGCCGTAAGCTTCAGGGCAAGCCGAATTCTCCTGGCGCCATTACGCAATCCCGTCGATCGTATTGGTCTCCTCATTGCCGAGCCTGCTGCAAGATTCGTCGCGCCCCGTCCCAAACGGACGCGCTTTTGTTGTGGAAGCTCGAAAACGGTGTCGACCAGCGTCTTCGACAAAGGAGCTCCCCTCGCTCCCTTCGACGACGGTGGACGGCCGCTCGAGGGCCGATGGAATCGATCGATTTGACTTGGCCGGCTGCTGGGGTCGTCGATCAATGGGCAAAACACAGCTATTATGTGTGCACGACACTAGGCGATCAATGCCTTTCTGCGCTGCCGATGGGAATCGCGGAATGCCGTTGTCGTCGCAAATGGCAGTTGTGAACCGTCTGCCGTCAGCCGTTAGCCAGAAGCTCCCTTCGATTGGCTCCGGCCGTCCAGGCCTTCCGTTGATAGGGCAAAGAAATCGACCGTTCCAGAACGCAAGCTTCGCGGCGGACAGAGGGCACACAGCTTTGCTCTGTCATTCAGACCTCGACGCGGCGAATTACAGTGCACGAGTGAATACTGAGGTCTCAAGAGGGTCGCACAAGGAATGCGGGAGGGAGAGATCTCGGATTCAGAATCGGCGCCCCCCAGAAACAATTCTTTGACGCTTCGTCTCCGCCGGGCCGGGTTCAAGCAATCAATCCACGAAGACTTCCACCAAATGCGATGTCAACTTCAAGCACAGTCTCCTGCTCAAGGCCCGGCCCAGTTGGTGACAAAATATGTGCATGCTTCCCGGATGATTGTTGAACAACACGACCAGATAGGCAATCCTTGATGAGCCCTGAGACCTTTTCCTCCCGAAGATCATGCTGCACAGCTCAAGAGATGTTTCGCTTTCGCCAACCTGAGAGAAAGAAACACTTGTCAAGGGGACTACAAGGGTTGTCGGATGCTCCACTGTGGGTCAAAGCTCCAGACCCCCATGGACCGCGGCACCCCTGTCGCATTCTCAAGTTTCGGCTCGCTGACCTCTGTTCGGGGCGACCTTGCCCAACACAGTCCATTGCTATCCGGACCACTTGGCCCATTCGCAAGCACCGTTTGGTGGATCGGTATCACCCCCGCGGTGCAAGATTCAAAGCAGAGCCGTGTATGCAAGCCACGGCAGAAGGAGAAGCACCGGAAGGCAGCGCGTTCCAGCCGAATTCGCCAGCGATTCTGGGGCCTCGCAAGCCCCAAGCCAGGCCCAGTCCTTCTCCGCGATGCCCGCCATCTGCAGACGTCCCCCATTGCGCGCTGTAACGTCTCGCTCCTGCCCTTGTACATGCCAGGGCATGTTCAATGGAGGGCACACAGGGCTCGTTCCTTCCCTCCCATTTTCAATGCAGAACATGCCGTGCCATGCAGAGTGGCCTAGTCTCTCTTTACCTGTTTCGATCTGGAGCGTTGGCTTTCTTCTGCACCGGGCTCTTCCCGTCCCCCGCGTGGACTGCCCTTCTTTCCCGTCCCGAAGGTCGGGTCCGTTGAGATGGCCGTTCTCGGTCAGCCGATTCCATTTTGTTCCCCACGACTTCAACGTTGCACACTTTCTATCCAGCCTCAGCCTAGCTGCGTGTAGAACTCCACCGTTGCTCCATCCTAGGGTCTCTCTTCAGACTAGCCCATCAGTATCACTCTCTTGCCTCATATCGCTTTATCCATATCCCGTCGCAACGGTTGTGTTAGCTCCATACAGAGGTTTCCTCCTCCTGCCTTTCTCTTGCCGCGGGCCGTACTTGACGACACACACATACACACCACCTACGCACCACAGCCGACGTACCCCGGGCAAGCTGGGCAGGCAGCATCGCCCCGAACCAAGCTCCAACCCAGACCCAGCTCTCCGGTCCCAACCATCCCGCCTCCCCTCCCGAAACCCCCCATATTACATAGTGCCTCCTTTCCCATCGTTCCCCTGCCCGCCCGCCAATGGGCCTGCTATTGGGCCACCCTGACGACGACGGGCTGTTGTCTGTTTCCAGCGCCGTTCTGGTGGTTTGTGGTGGACTGTCCCCCCCATTACCGTCATCCCCCCAAGGCAGTTTCTTTGCTAGCCGTGGAGGTTAGGACAGCGTGAGTGCTTCGGAAGCACTCCATCGTCGGGAAAGTGACGAGACACACCCACTACCTAGCCGCGATCCGTCTTAGGCATGAGAACACAACTTCAACCCGAGCCGTGCATATCCCTTCCTGACGCTTCTCCAACCCCACAAGCCCAACTCTTGTCCAACTCTTTAGAATCCCCAACGGGTAGCGGCACTTCTGCCCCCTTCGCCGCTCCCCCCGCTCGCCGGGCTAGGAGCAGCAGCGCTGGCCCCCCGAGCGACGACCAGCAGCACAAATTCGACCCGGTGGCGGCCAGCAGAGGGGACGGGCAACACGGCCCCGGGGCGGAGACGGAGACACATGATATTATTCGGCATGCCGACGCTCCTCGGTCGATAGCTAGTGAAAACGCCGGTTCTGCTTCCATCCTCCCCGAAACCCGAGCCTGTGAAAGACAAGGAGCAGGCCCGTGTGCTTCGACGAGAAACTCTCCAGGCCGCCGCCCCTCAGGCAAGAGAGGCTCAGTGACGGACACAGCCGCAGTACGCCCTTCCGGATCACCGAACAAGAAACCGCGGTTAGCAGTTCCGGGAACCCTTCCATTGCCAACTTTCGAAAGGGGCAGGTTGCCCGATCTGCCTGTCATAGCATCTCCGCTCTTTTTCTCCAGCTCCCCGAGGCACGCCTTCAACCGTACGAAGACTCTCCCTAACCCAGAGGTCATACCGCTCACAATGGGCGACCATCAACCACATGGCGATGGGGTAACTACCACCCGCTTGCCCAAGAGCCAGATTAGTGTTACGAGCCCAGGGCTATCTTCCGGAATGCCACGAAGCCGGTCGTCAATGGAACTTTCCAGTCTCTCAAGCAGTTCAGACGGCTGCCCTCAACCTTCAGTTGTCCAGCTCCTAGGGATTGGGGTGGTTGAGCTCTTGGAGCAGGACGAGCGGCCGACATTTATTCTCGACCTCAAAGACTCGGCACATCTGTATGCTGGCCCTTTGCACATTCTCTACGCTAACTTCGCGTTAAGAACGGCAGCGGGCCTCCTCAACCTGCTACATCTCGATGCCACCAAACTTCACCAGGGCCACGATTATGCCGAATTTAAGGGCTGGGCGACCAGTTTGACACAGGATGTAAAGGCCCCAAATGCCCCGGCTTCGTCCCTTACCTATGCCGGGGTTCCATGGACGTGCTCAACGCTTGGAAAACGCTTTCGGGTTATTCGGGGCTACAGAATCGCCGCTTTCGATCCGCCAGCACTCACAACAAAGGCACAAATCCCACCGCCCTCGCCAGACTCGGAAGGCGTGTTCAATGGACCATGGGCGAGCCAGAGACCAGAGTCTCCCCGGGAACCTCGCGACTACTTTGGGCAAACGGCGCTGGCGCAGGTCCGATCCCACTCGGAGCCTCGGAGCAGAGCCGAGTCGACGACTGACACCATCATCCACCCATTTGATGATTTGGCCCTTTCCTCTCCATTGCGTACAACATTCGATTGGACACAGATCCCCATCGACGACCCGAATCTATCCGCTCATCATCGGTTTGCCCGTTCGATCGACTGGGCTTCCACTCCGCTCGGGCCCATCGAATCGTGGCCGGCTGAATTGCGAATCATGTCTTCTATGATCATGGGCAGCCCATACCCCGCGTCTCTCCATTGGGGCCCAGATTACGTTGCTATGTACAATGAAGCGTACATTACGCTTGCCGGTCGGAAACATCCTAGTTTAATGGGAACTCGGTATCGAGACGCATGGCCCGAGATATGGGACGAGATTGGGCCAGTCTTTGATGCCGCTTGGAACAGTGGGCATGCTACCATGAAACACGACGACCCTTTGTTCATTTTACGCCACGGATTCTCCGAGGAAACCTTCTTCGACTGGGCCGTAATCCCATTGGTTGGCGGTAACGGTGATGTGGTGGCTATCTACAACCCTGCGTTCGAGAACACCCGCCGGAGGATTGTTGAACGGAGAATGCTCGCACTCCGCGAGGTTGGCATCAAGACATCAGAAGCGCGTGATGTCAAGAGCTTTTGGTCCCAGGTCTCCAAGGGTCTAGAGTGTCATCCAAAAGATGTCCCGTTTGCTCTGGTTTACTCTGTCGGCGAGGACAACGAGAGCGACATCGCGTCACTGCAGTCGGGGAACCTGGCTCACCCGCCGAAGATTGTGCTTGAAGGCTCCATCGGTGTGCCCGATGGGCATCCATGCGCTACGCCGTTGATCGACTTACGGTGCAGTGATGAAGGGTTCGCTCCGTACATGAGAGAAGCCATGGCCTGCCCTACTACCCCGGTTGTCCTCAGTGAGGCTGACGGTACCCTCCCAACCGAACTCATTCAGGGGCTTCAGTGGGTAGGATTCGGCGACGCCTGTCGCAACATCGTCGTCTTTCCAGTTTACCCTACAACAGCTGGAGATATGGCGGTCGGGTTCATCGTGTTGGGGATCAATCCGCGAAGGCCGTACGATGAGGATTATGAATTGTTCGTCAACCTCCTTTCACGGCAGTTGGCCACGTCTTTAGCGTCGGTGGTTTTGTTCGAAGAAGAGATCAGGCGCGGCCAAATGGCCGCTCGTCTTGCCGCCCTTGATCGGCAAGAACTCTCGATGCAGCTCCATCTGCGAACCCAAGAAGCCATGGAGAGTGAGTACCGCTTCACGCGAATGGCCGAGTTTGGCCCTGTTGGTTTGTTCATTGCCGACGGTCATGGGCGCATCAACTACTGCAACGAGATGTGGTACAAGATTTCTGGGCTTTCGAGGGGGGCCAACACATTCGCAGCGTGGATGCAGAGTATCCGGCGTGAGGACCGCCTACCGACAGAACTCGCGTGGCGTCGTGTCGTTGAGGAGAAGGTTGCAGTTACGCATGAGTTCCGGTTCAACAATGCGACCGAGCTTGGGGACGGCCATGCGGTAGATTTATGGGCCCTCATGAGTGCGTATCCCGAGAAGGACGAAAAGGGGGAGCTGAAAAGCATATTTGGCTGCATCACCGATATTTCGCAGCAGAAATGGGCCGAGCGCGTTCAGAAACAACACCGCGACGAGGCCGTTGAACTGAAGCGCCAACAAGAAAATTTCATCGACATAACGAGCCACGAGATGCGGAATCCCCTCAGCGCCATCGTCCAATGCGCCGAAGAGATATCGTCTACCCTGATTCGATGCACAGAAGAAGGGATGGGGGTCGAGACCCCTGGCGGTGTGGCCGCTCTAATCGAGAGCTGTGTGAAGGCGGCCGGTATTATCACGCACTGCGTTGACCATCAACAACGGATCATGGACGACATCTTGCTTCTGTCGAAGCTTGATTCGAATCTTGTGCTCGTGAAGCCCGCCGATGTTCAGCCCATCACGGTGGCCGAGAGTGTCCTGAAAATGTTCAAAACAGAGCTCAGTTACCACGGCATCGAGAGTCAAATAGTCATTGACCAGTCGTACCGCGACCTCGCTGTCAACTACGTGAAACTGGACCCGTCACGGCTGCTTCAGGTCCTTACCAACCTCATGACCAACGCCATCAGGGTCACTCAGGCAGAGACATCACGGTCCATTGTCATCAGTGTCGGCGCATCCAAGGACATCTCGGACTACGACTTCCCCTACATTTCGCCTCACCATGAACACCAGGAGGATGTCACCGATGACCCCAGCTGGACCGACGGCGAAAAGGTCAACCTCCACTTCTCCATCACTGACACTGGGCCGGGACTCAACGAGGACGACGCCCGAATCCTATTTTTGCAAGGTAGCCAAGGAGGTCCGCGAACCCATTCAACATACGGCGGCCAGGGTCTGGGCCTCTTCATCTGCCGCACCTTGATCGAACTGCAAGGCGGTCAAGTTGCGGTACAGTCCACCGCGGGCCAAGGGAGCACATTTGCGTTTTATATCAAAAGCCGGAGGTCGGACCGCCCTGTGGCCGACTCACCACTCCACACGCCCATACCGACAATACCCCCGTCCCTACAGGACTCTCTGGCAGATGAAGCGCCATCCCCAGCCCAGCCGGCCATACCAGCCATTGACGCTACCCACGTACCACTACCCGAGTCTCCCAGTTTGTTTTCGTCTCATACTTCCTGCCTCGATGTCTTAATAGTCGAAGACAACCTTGTGAACCAGAAGGTTCTCAAGCGACAGCTAGATCTCGCCGGGAGCACAACATACGTTGCCAATCACGGCGGTGAAGCCCTTGCCGAGTTGCAGAGCTCTCGCTTTTGGAACCATAGCGCGGACAGCAAAGACAACCCCGACGTGCTAGGCTCGTTGGAACTGAAATCATGGAAGAATATCTCGGTGATCTTGATGGATCTGGAGATGCCTGTCATGGATGGAATCAGCTGCACCCGCAAGATCCGCGAACTTGAAGCGGCAGGAATTATCACACATCATATCCCAATCATCGCTGTCACGGCGTATGCCCGGCCAGAACAAGTAGCCAGCGCGAAGGCCGCGGGTGTTGTGAGTTACCTCCTGCCCCCCCCTTTAAACCCACTAACCTGCACCTGTGTACCGATCACATTGACTAACAGGTGATGTTGTCAGGATGGAGTGATATTTAAACCTTTCCGCATGTCCGACCTAATCCCCAAGATGCGAGAGTTAGTACTAAAGTCCATCATGGTGCCGGAATCTCGCTAGTATGCTTGGTGACGCCGGGGCACTGTGACGAAGGGACCTTATTCGCCAGGTGCGATTTACTGACGATGATGAGAAATGTGGCGTCCATTTCATGGCAAGTCAAGTTAAATAATCGGTATATATGAGCAAGGATTGGTTACAGGCAGGAGGAGTGGGGAAGAGCGGGCGTAATGGAGTATATGAATATGACGACGACCAGCGTCTTTTGGGGTGCCCTGTCTTGCGAGGTGTTAGCCACCTGGGTAGGATTGAAGGGATTAGAAGGGAAAGGGGGAAAAGGCCTTGGTGCCATAATTGATGAGAGAATTTTTTCGTGTTTGTCTCGTTGGTTTCTTTTCCCCGTTGTGGCTATCCTATGTTCCGGGAAGGTAGTCGAAGGATCATGCCATAATATTATATGGCAGGGTTTGTGATGGTGGAAAGACGAGACAGAGTTACTTGTAATAAAGTGTAATGTCAACTTAAGACGTTCGGTGGGAGCTGGTAACCGCCGGGAAGGATATCATACGGTTATTTTTCTCATGTATTTCCCGCGCATAGTGTCAGTCGTCACGTTAGGTGTTGCCGGAAGGGGGTTATATCTTGGGTAGAATATGGAACCTGGTTTTGGTATCAATTGATACTTAACCGACTGACATTGAGACTTAGGAATAAGCTTAGGGGCCCAATTGGGGTTGGAGAGCAGCTGTGAGATCGTTTTGTTGTTCAGTTAGAGAGTGAGAAAGACGGCAGCTCGCAACTAAGGACGCGTCTCAGTCAGAGAAATGTAAGTCAAGTATATTAGTCAGCCTAGGAATGGCTAATACAAGATATCTTCAGCGTAAAATGGAAGCATTGGAGGCAAGAAGGCAAGATAGGCGAACTCAACACGCGAGAGGTATATTATTAGCTATTAGCGAGTTCTGGGCCGGTCCTCGCTCTGCCTTCACCCTAAGTAGTGAGAGGCAAAGATGAGAACACCCGTCCGATGATACCCATCCACACCCGGGACTATTACCACCACCACCACTACCACCACCAATTTTTATGTTTATTTCGTGTGCAATTTTTCTTGGTCTCCCGTCACCACCACCGTCCCCGCATCGTCCTGCTCATCAGACAGACAAACCCAAAGCCAACCTAAATGACTGTGCCTTCTCTTTTGCCGAGGGAGGATAGGCGGGTATACTCTGGGTATCAAAAACACGGAAGCAAGACAGGAAAAGAGCAGAACACAAAAAGCAAGAGAAAAGAGAAGCATGTGGCAGCAACGAGAACAAGTCGGCTGATGATGACGCAAGCGTAGCGCAACCTATCAGAAGTTGTTGACCTTGTCCGATGAAGCCAGAAGCTGAGGGTATCAGAGAACCAATCTTGACATGGGTATCTCGAAATGCAAATCCGAACCCGACCAAACCCGAGGGGAGAGGTAAAAAAAGGAGGGTGTTGTGCCTCTCATGGTGGCGTGTGTTGTTTGAGAGAATTCGCTAATTAATTGGGGGGGGTCGTATGTCATCTCTCGTCCGATCCAATCTTCATGATCATGACAAGTCAAAACCTCACACCGCCGGATGCGTCGTTCCCTAGGCAGAGGCAGTGACGACAGGAGTGGCCTCGAGAGGCTTGGCAGCCTCCTCCTCGGTGGCAGCCGGGGCGGCGGTAGTGGCCTCGACCTCGGCGGGCTTCGCGGCCTCCTCAGCAGCGGGCTCCTCAGCCTTGGTCTCGCCCTCAGCCTCGGCCTCGGCAACGGTGGAGATAGCAGCGGGCTCCTCAGTCTTCTCCTCAGCCTTGGTCTTGTCGGCCCTGCTCTTGCCCTGTTTACGGGTTAGTCTCATGTCCGTCTACTAATTAAGGGTGGTTACAGGCCATCATACCTTGATGGTGGCGCGGAGCTTGGAGAAAGCCGAGGGAGACTTGGGCTTTTCAGCCTCATCGTCAGAAGAGACGCCCTCCTTCTTCTTGCCGAAAGCGAAGGGAAGCGAGCTCTTGCGCTTCTCCGCCTTGGCCTCCTTGGTCTCAGTGGCGCTAGCGGGAGTAGCATCCACAGTCTCGGTGGGGACAGTGGCAGGCGAGGCGACCTCAGCGGAGAGGGGCTCGGTAGTCTCAACAGCCGGAATGACAGGAGCAGTCTCAGCGACAGCTTCGGTCGCGGGAGTCTCCTTGGCGGGGGATGCCTCAGCGGCAGCGACGACCTTCTTCTTGCCGAATGAAAGGTTTCCGAAGATGCTTCGGCTGTGTTAGCGACTGAAAGCCATTCTCAAACGAGTGAACATATGCTTACCTGGCGCGCTTGCTGTTGGCGGGGCGGGCCTCAGGGGTCTCCTCCTTCTTCGCCTCCTCCTTGGCCTCCTCCTTGGCCTCCTCGGGCTTGGCCTCACCGGCAGCCTCGGCCTCAACAGCGGGCTCGGTGGCAGCGGTCTCAGCGGCAACCTCGGGGACAGCCTCGGTGGCAGGTGCTTCGGCAGTCTCAGCAGCAGCGCTGGTCTCGGCAGCCGGAGTCTCCGCCTCAGCGGCCTTGGTCTCGGTGGGCTCGGCAACCTTCTTCTCCTCCTTCTTGCCAAGGAAGCTGCTGAAGATCGAAGCACGCTTGCGGCTGGCAGAGCGGCGCTTAGGCTCCTCCTTCTCCGCCTTCTCCTCCTCCTTGGTCTCTTCCTTAGGAGCCTCGGCGGCCGCGGCGGTCTCCTCGGCAGGAGCAGCCTCCTCAGTGGCAGCAGCAGGCTCCTCAGCGGCGGCAGCAGGCTCAGCGGCCACGGCCTTCTCCTCCTTCTTGGAGACGACGGGCTTAAGGCCCTCAAGCGTCTTCTTGTAGGTCTCAGACTCCGTCACAGTGGTGGCGAGCTCCTTGGCCTCGGCAATCTTAGCCTTAACCTGAGCGACCCAGTTGTCGCGCTCAGCGGCATTGGCGGCCTTGAAGGTGTGCTTGTGGCCCTTGGCGGTGAAGTGGAACTTGTTGGAACCATCGGTGGCAGGCTCCGAGGCTTCGGCCTAGCGTATACGTCAGTCATCGCGCCAGTGATGTCGAACCGCTTTCCGTATGATGTGCTTACCAGCTGGATCGCGCCGTTGGGGGCAGCCTTGTCACCCTTCTCGCTGTAGAACAGCAGGCCCTTGCCAGTCTCAGACGCCCACGAAGTCACGTGGTGGGCCACATCAGCGACCTTGTCGGCCTTGAAGGAGGAGATGGCCTTGAGGTCGACGGGCTCCGAGCCGAACCAGAACAGCTGCTTAGTGTACAGGAAGTTCCTAATACTCTGTTAGTAAAACTTGTAGCGAACCATGGTACTCGTCTTCCTGCATTGGGAAACTTACTTGGGGAAGTTAGCACCTTGGCCCTTGTGCTCGAGGTGACCCTCCTCGACGGGCTTGGCCTCCTCCGTCTTGGCCTCCTCAGCCGGAGCGGCAGCGGTCTCGGCCTCGGTGGCGGCAGCGGGAGCCTCAGTGGCCTCCGTCGCGGTGGTCTCGGCAGCAGGCGCAGTCTCGGTCGTCTCCGCGACAGCGGCTTCAGCAGTGGGCGCGGCCTCAACAACAACGGGCTCGGCGACCGCAGGAGTCTCCTGCGGGACCTCGGTGGGTTTCTGGGTGTCGGCCATTGCGATTGTTTTGTTTGGTTGCTTGAAAAGCAGGGTATCTCAAGAAAATTAGAAAATGGGTATCGGGTATCACTGAGAAGACAGAGAGCAAGAAAAAACAGGTGCCTTGAAGTGACGAATTATTATCACGGCGTGGCCTGCACTGGGTTATTGGGGGTATCGCAGAAAAATCTCGGTGACGAGAGACGTGTTGTGTGGAAGGGGAAAAAAGAAAGAAGGAGGGAGAAGGTCTTGCCGCGCGATGGCCGCCTGGGGCTACTTATTTTGGCACGAGGCAGGCCACGGTTTGCTTCGTTCTGTGTGATGGGACGGCAACGGGGGCCTCATGAAAACGGCAACGACCTTGGCCTGGGCGTTCTGGGTGTGCATCCCGCCCTCGGCAGCTTCCCCCCTTCGTCCTCACCCCTCTCCCTCTGGCCTCTTACTGGCTACATCCCGCGCTTGTCCCCGAAACGGAAGCAAGCTCTCGCAGGCAAGAATGGGACGCCCATGGAGACGCCCCAATCACAACCTGAGGGAAGGCGCTGTGGTGCCCTGGACCGGCGAAAAGGGGCACACAGCGGCGGCTGGTCAAAATGGTAGGCCGGAATCCAGTCGCGATCAGAACACGAAATTGCTTCAGACCGTTTCCGGACAGGGTTCCAAGCTCCCCCTTGCACGCACGCAGCTCCGCGGCCCACAGTTGCTGCAGCCCAGTGGCCAGTGCAACTCTGGGGACAGGCTTGTTGCCGGCCCACCGTAGTGAGGGTACCTGGTATGCGAGTACCGACATGTTTGGCTGCATCCAGCTGCTGCCGCTGCAGCATGCTCTGAAACCCACTGATTTGCATTCCACGAGGCTGTGTGGTTCGCTGGCCTCCATGCAATCTGCAGCCAGCCCGTATCGCAGTGACTTTACCTGCTCGTCACTTTTATCCCCTGGGATGCCCCTTGTCCTCCTTCGTCGATCCGTTCTTCCAGGCGACCCTCATCAAACACCGTCTCCATCAACTTCGACTTTCCCCCAATTTGCATGTTACGGCAACCTCGTTTCTTTTTCAGACTTTGCGATGGATAGTCGCCGTTTTCGAGTTCATGCTCAGAATCTCCGGTTCTTTTATGGTGCGCGACACCTCGCCCGATTTCTTATCAAACGGAAATGGCATGAGTAATATCTACCGTCAAGGACTCTGCCAGACAAAGAAAAAAAAAAGTTTCACAGAGTCTCGATCCGTCATGCAAAACCGTGGCCCATCGTCGACTACCGAGATCCACCTGATCCACTCCTGTAAAATTTGGCCCAAGCGGTCTTTTGGGTGTAATCAGACCGGGATCCACCGCCTCTCACGTCCATCGATGAACCTGCCATTTTTCCAATCCACAACGATCCAGAAAGACACCCATGTGATCTTTTGCTGGTTCTTCAGACGACGCCGCCTTCGCCTCCAAAATCTTCAAGACGTCGTCCTCCGTCACGATGGATCACAGCGGCGAGTTTTGGAGGGGGGAGGGGGGGGGGTTGTCTTCTTTTGCATTCCGGGTCCTCCTAAGCCTCACATCGTCTCCCAGTGTTCCTGCATCGAGTTCGATGCAGCACAACCCCGACGGGAACGAGTACATATTCAGGCGGCGGGCCTCCTTATCTGTTGCGGTTGATGACTCCTACCCTGGTAAATCGCCCAAGTTTTCAACATCTGATCGAGAGAAAAACAGTGGCAAACTCTCGAAAAGCTCTTGATCGAAAGAAACACAATCCCGAGGAAATGAGCCGTCTCGGTCCGATAGTAGTGTAGTGTAGGCGATGCGACCACATCCCACACTCAGCCTTTATCCCTGGAACATCTTCAGAGAGCCAAGGATGAACGGCAGCGCAATAACTGCTCAGTGCCAGTTAACTAACGAGCTGACCTGCCAACTGCGAAAACCGTCGCTGGCCGCATCTCTGGACTTCAAGGCCCAATCCATAACGTACTTATCCCAGTACCCCCACCCTCTCTGACTTGCTGCCTTCCTCCCCTCAACAACAAAACAGAGTGACTGGACGGTTCTCCTTGGCCAATGCCTCCCAAGAAGCTCAAGCTCAGGTCCCACATTCGCTGCATGATTTTTCACAGTTGTGCTCTGTCGAAGGCCCCGTGCCGCCCACGAGCTTTCAAGGTCGCCTGCACATAATGATTGGTTTCTGCGGCGAGAAGTGGGTTATCCTGCGGGTCCGACATCCGGCTCATTCTTGCCAAATGGGACATCAAGTCTTCGGAGTTTTTTCACGCCCTGCGAGTTCTTGGACCATCTTTTCGAGTGAGCCATTTCAAAACGCCCCATCAGATCTTTACAGACTCCCGATTCCCAGCCTTCGGTTTTCCGTCCATGCCCGAAGTCTTTGCTCGACTGCTCACCGCCCGTCTCTCGAACCCAAGCGAAGTTCCTCTTTTTAACCCTTTTAATGGGCCGGGGGGCATGCAGGCTTGGCGGGTCCCTCCATGCAGCCTGTCCCTGATCCTCTCCACCCGATGATCCGTGCTTGACTGTTCCGTTTCACACGAGGTCGAAGCTCTCTCGATGCGATGCGATGCGAGGGAAGTCAAGTCAAAGGGGTCGGAATTTTCCACCTTCCCGGCTACTAGTCTGTATAGCTATAGCCAGCCCCCTTGTCGGGGCCTCTTCGACCTCTTAAACAAGAATCGAACGAGTTATCACGTCCACGACAGCCCGACATCCCCGCGCTCAGGTTCTGTTAAAGTCTTTGGAGATAAGACGGGAAACGCCTCCGATGTCTCGGGGCGGTATCCACTAGCCTTCTTTCGTTAGCGTCCCTTAGTGATTTTGAACCAGATCTTCAACATTTCCACTTGCGGGGGCAGCGCGCGCCCCCGATTGCACCGACATACGCATCCGAGAATGGCTGGCCGACAGCAACTCCAAAACATCGGCCGCCCCTCGTCACATCGACCCTCCCTCAGGTGACTCAACTTACATAGTAGGCCTGCGACTTCGCCTTGGGGATGGTGGCTCTCTTTTTCCGATGGCGACATTGAAGCTCGCCATGAGGCCTTTGTCCATCGCGAGAGAGTATTATTGCATCATCATGGAGTACTTGGCAACGGTCCCGATATGTGTTTCGTTTTGTCCGCCTCGTAAAACAACCCCATCAAAACGATGGCCTCCAAGGACACACCAAAACTCACTGAGATTCATTCCGGCCTACCTCAGCCCCTCACGTCCTCCGAACTGGGCACGCAGTACACAAGTAGTAACCGATAACGGCGCACCTGCCGATCATTCTTGATCTCTCCCCTCTGCCTCCCGATACAACACCACACCACACCCACTCAAGCCGGATAACCACCTTCTCGATTCCGCTCCCGCATGACACGGCTCAAAAAAAGACCCGTTCTGGTACGGCACATGGCATGATGGTGGGGGGACAATGACCACACTTTGCGCGACCAGCCAACCGCCAAGGTCCTCGCTTCCCACATAAGGTTGCCCGCCTGACCTCTCGTTCCTCATCCGCCGCTTACTATGTATGCACATCGCTAGGACTGACGACATTCGCAAGGACAGGCTCATAACAGACCTCTCAAAACGCCTCGATGAGCACTGAACTGATACCCAAAACGCCAGTTGCTATTGATTTTACATCCAGTGAGAAGCTTGACAAGAAAGTGGCCAGAAGAGATACCTCGACCCCCCGATGTTCTTCCTCCTGAATAATCACCATCAAACGGCGTCCCCAATCACTTTTTCTTCCCCAGCCAATGCCTCGTCGGACCAAGAGCCCAGAACCAGAACCCAAGCACAACCTTCCCCGCCCTATGACGCGTGCGCCACCATCTCTCAGAATCTCTGAGCTCTCAAAATGTACTACCCCTCCTTACACCGAGCTTCGATTGCGTAAGGAGGGAGGGAACAGATGGAGGGGTGGCACAACAGCCCGTTCCAATCGCGCATCAACCGCACGCGACTCCTTTTTTAGCGTCCCGTGGCATCCCGTGCCCTCCCGTGGCGTTCAACCGGTGTTCCGTGTATTAGTGCATCTGTACGAGGTTTGATTTACATCGCGATATGCATGCCGTGAGGAGACGTTTTCGGCTGTCGGAAAGGTCGCTTTCAGGGTCTTTCGGACTTACTGTGTCCTATGTAGAGACAGAGATGTCAGCGAACGGATTAACTAGTTACACTACAGATTCCTTGCTGCTGTTTAATCTGGTTTCATACTCCGTACATTATTTCCGTTTCGTAAGCCCCAGTTGAGCTAAAGGCGTCAAGTTATGCCATATTAGTTAACCAACTTACCGGCCCTTTGAGAGCGGAGTGTCTCTGCCTAAGTCCAAGTCTGAACCCCATACCTTTCTGCCTCCGTTTTCGTTATCAATGTCGGCGTTCACTTTCCTTTCTTACACAAGCCTCAACGGTCCTGCTCAGCCGAACTGGGGCTGGGATCGCGTCCGAGCAACGCCTGCCTTTCCCCAGACCATTTTCGGCTGTTGCCAAGGGGCTGATCCCCTTTCGGAGTTTGAGTTGCGGTGAGAAATTTCACCGCCTGATGCAACTTCCTAGCCCTGGCACGCACAACCCACATCGCACGGTTGCTCCCTCAACGGGGAAGGGATGGTGTTTCTTTGTTGGAAAATGGGCCTCTCGGGGCGATCTGAATGCCAGTCTCATCCTCTCTGCTTTCTTCTTTTTTCTTTTGTCTTTTCTTCTTTTTTCCTTTGTCTCTCTGTCTCGAAATGCTCCCTCCTTTGGCTGACCGTTGGCATGTCAACAACGACAGATCATAGCTATTGATGTGAACGGCCTTGGTAGGGCGGTTAGCTCAGGGGTAACCGGAGCATTCCAATGTCAACAAAGCCCCTGAGCAAACCCCCACTTGGCGACATATAAGGTCACAGTGCCGCGAGTCAGCGTTGTGGGGTTGGTCCAACGTCAGGTCGACTTTCTTTGTCGACGTCCTCAAGTTTACCTCGCTTGACAGAATGTATGTGGAGGATAAACCTATATGCTATTATTCGTAAACTTCGCTGAAGTGATTCGCCTCCTAGTAGATATGGGCATACCGCTCGAGTCATCCCCTCAAATGCCTGCCCAAAATTTGCAGTCGACTTTCCGCTTTTGTAGGCCGGGAAGGAGCCAAACCTCGAGAACCTCGGCCCCATGCAGCGCAAACGCAGCTTCAAAACCGGGACAGTAACATCGAATCAACCATTCTGTATCCCTCGACCGAATTGCGGCGACGAAGCCAGGGATCGGACCTGAGTATGTGCAAAGAATGTCTCGCGCAAACGACATAGTGGTGTTCGTAAGAAGGTTTGACATCGAAACCAAAGCCCACACAGAGGTGACCATATCACACCAGCGAGCGGCCCGCTGCTCATAGCAAAGGAAACGACAGTACTGACGGCGACACTCTTCTCTGCTCTCACTAAAGCATTCGTTAGCGGCCGAATAGATAAAACCCCTGACACGTACAGATTACAACAAGCAGTTGGTAACGGGGTGTTTATCAAGATCTAGGGGCCCGAGGAGCACCTAGAGACCGACCATCGACAAAATGTGAAGTACCAACGGCCCAAACGCGTAATTATCAGAGGTTATGAGAATCACAAACACTGTCCCACAAGAAGGGACATATTTTAGTAGTTGTTAGCTTGCGCGCTGGAGGGCGGGTGGATGTACTTCGTACAGGAGTGAATCAACCTTCGAAGCTGGAACACAACCATCGCGAAGTCGCATTATACATTAGGAACACGGGACAATCAAATAAATCCCTTGACGGCAAGCGTTACATTGCAGAGAATCCGAGGTGACGAACAGAGCTTTAGGACATAGTGACTGTTCATCCTCTACTCGATGTAATTAGGTTTTTGTGGTGGATTTGTATTGGCCTAGGTAGTGGAGCCGTCCCAAGGCACGCGGAGAATAGGAAGTGTGGTTATTGAAGGCTATTGAGCGGCGTATTGTTGTTCAGTTGAACAGGAGGCTATTCTAGCTCTCATCTGATCAACCCCCTCGGCATCCGCCCCAGAATATTTAATCGCCCTCCTCAATTTCTCTGCTCCTAATAATCCCCTTCCCTCACCTTTCTTCAACCAAAATCTGCTCTTCTGCTGACCCAGCAATTTTCTCTTCATTAAACCATCTGCCGTTTCACTCTTCCGTTCTCTTTCCTCCTCGTTACCCGTCTTCCATCATCTCCTCATTTACCTTCAGTGCCTGGGGCACAATTCGGTTTTCGTTTCTGGGGTCTTGACCTTCACAAGAAACACGATTCGTCCTTCTAGCGACCTTTCTCGTTGCATCGTCCATTGCGATTGCAGACTTACCGGTGCTGGGAAACAACCGTGTCGGTGCAATTGAATAACACCAAGAACACCATCCACTTGGCAGGTTCCAGAAGTCATCTGTGTTTCCTTGCTTGCGACGAGCCGTCTGGTAAGTTAATTCTTCCAATTTTCTAATTTATCTCCCGAGCTGCCCATTTTCGAGTTCAACCCCCCCAAATCCATCTCTCTAGTTTCCGTCCGTCTCTCCCTCAAAGGTTTATCCAAAGTTGGAAACCAGACACAAATGTTGGAGCACCCCAATTCAAACAACCTACCCCTTGCATTACCTAATCCCAAGCAATGGCACGGCCTTCATTTCCCTTATACACAGAAGGGACGGCTTCTCCCCGCGCGGGCGCACCTTCCCGTCCATCTGCAACTGCTCGGATGAACCAAGAATACTCCATCTGACTCCAAGCCCGGGCCCGAGCCAACGGCACTTACACACTGGGCCTTGAGTGTTTGCTTGCTCTTCCACAACTTTGTTGGTGGCCGCGGGTAGTCTTCAGTTTTCTAAATTGCTAGATATCCCACCGTCGTCTTCAACTACTTCCCTAAAACACAGCATACACCGCATTCTTTCCTCTCGTTTTCTTTCCCTTTTTTCCTTTTTTGGTGGTCTCAGCATGGGTCGTGGGAGAAAGAAGGGGTCGAAGGCCCGAGAGGCCAACAATGACCCAGCTCCCCAAGAGCCACAGAAGTCACAGACAACATATCAGGTCCAAGAGTCGGACCCAGTTCTGAGGCCAAAGTCAAAACGACCGAGGCCTAATAAGAGAGGTTCCACTGAAAAGTCAGAACGTCGACCATCCAGAACCAGGGTCAAGAAACCCGATACAGCTGTCTCTCAATTTGCTGCCTCAAGCGTCTCAGTCATCAAAACAGACAACCGGTACCTACCAAACCAGCTAGCTCCTTCTGGAAACCAGAAAGCGAGAAAGAACTCAAAATTCACCAGCAGAGACACTACTAATCCAGGTTCCACACCACAGAAGCAGCATTGGCCCAAGATGTCGGGCCGTAGGGGTAAGAACAAAGCCTCGGGGCAGGCGTACAACAACAATACGGCCGGCAACCACCAGAACGCCGGAAATAACCAGAATGCTGGCCAAAACAGAAATATCAGCAACAACAAGGTCTCCGGTAGTCAGGCGACAGGCAAGGCTGTCGGAAACATCAACACAAACAGGGCTAGCGGCAGCATTACAGCCAAGCTGGAGCTCCCTGAAGGATACTCTGCACCGGCCGGCCCGGCGAAAAGGCACACTCGCAGACGCGGCAAGCGGTCTGGCTTAAAGGTATGTCCTCCCTTGAAATAAAAACTCTTGGTAACTCGCTCGCCCACTTACAATTTTCTCTTCATAGCAGATGAAGCCCTGGGAGATGAACTCGAAATATGTGAGTGCCAGCCTACCGCTGCCGCGTGTACTGTGTATGAGCCGGCACTAACATTTCATTCAAGCCCGAACCAATGGACAAGGACCATAGTTTCAACTATGACCGCGACGTCTGGCGGTCGATGCCCAACATGGACCTTGAGGACGAATACGTGAAGCAGTTCGCCCGACGCCAGGGATACCGTTTCCGCCGCATGCCCATTGGCATGATTGAAGCATGGAAGGAGAAACTGGCTGGAGGGGACAGCACTCGCTTCCTCCGCGCTATGATAGAATCGACGAAGGCCAACAAGAACACCAAGCCGTTGATTTTTCTCGCAGTATGTCGCCTTCTTAAAGATGTCTAACTCACTCCACAACCATGAGCTGACACATTATCTACTAGTCATCTGGGGTTGAGTCTGCCAATATCCTTGCCAAGAATGACTGGACCGGTGTGGTCAAAGTCCTTAGAGTTGCTGAACTTCGTCGACTTATTGCCAGCCATCTCTATCCTAGCGTGGGCGACCTCACCGCGCTGGCCATGTGCTGCAAACGTGTAGCCGCTCTTATGCGTAAAAACAATGTACGTACAGCTCCGCACTATCCCTCGTCCCTTTTCTTCCTTCCCTCTTCTGCAATTTCTTCATCCCTCGCGCAATAGGAGAAGGTATTAATGTGTCTTCTTAGGATGTCTGGGATCTCTGGCGGCCTATTTCACTCGACCTCGGAGCCCCGTTCAATGCAGCCGCCGAAACGGTTGTTCCAGCAGATGACGCCAAAGCCAAGTTCAAAAGTCCAAATTTGGTCATCGCTTCTATTACACGACCGGCCGAGTCAGAGTGCCCTTATTACGACGAGTTTTTGAACGTCGTTCGACTTTGTGAGCATTTTTTTCTTCCCGTTTCCCATCCCTCGCCTAGTTCGTATATTTCCTTTTTCACGGATATCACTAACTCGGCCATCAATAGACAAGTCCATTCAAGACTCAGGCTCGGTTCTAGAATCCATCGTCATCGACCAAATCCCGTTCTTTGATGTTGGTATCTTCGAGATGATGCTTAACACTATGCCCAATTTGCGGACAATCTCTATCACTCGGTGCCTGTTACTCGACATCACCAAGTTGAAGCCTCTCCTGCAGGCCGTTCATCGCCACCCCCGGGGAATCGAGGCCAAGCCCGAAGCTAGCGCGGCCCCCAATGGCGAATCTTCGAAGGACTGCCCGGCCCAAGCTCCCGAAGAGGAAGAAGACAAGTCCTATATTCAGTTGGATTTCTACCCTTTCTATTTCCATGGGCCACAGTCCAGCGGTCGTCTTGGATCGTTCGGCGTCACCTACAACGAGCCAACCTTCCACACGCCCAAGGCGGTCATCGCTCTGATCATGGACTGCTTGGACTTGGCCAAGCAGGTCGGAATGGACTTGTTGAGCGACAGCTCCTCCTTCTGGAGCTTTGTACGTCGCCTGCCGGGCCCTGACGATCTCTGGGCCCTCAAAGCGCGTGAGGCGCTGATCACCCGCGAGTATCATCTCACCAAGACGTCCAAGCCCGAAGACAAGGTCTGGAACGACTTTGCCGACGACCTCACCTTCGCGGTCAATGGCGACAACCAGGATCACCCCACGCCGCCGTCGCGCATGGCATATTTCATGAAGAACGAATACCGCGTTACCTGGGGGTTTTGGCGAAAGTCCCTAAACTGCGCCAAGTGCCATTCCGCCTACCCGGCCTCACTCTTCCACCTACGCCGCGACGTCTGCTGGGGTTGCAAGATGCGCAAGTTTGTTGATCGAATGGAAGACAGCCATCTCCGACTCTGGCTCGAGTCGTGCATGCAGAAATGGTTGGATGGCGTTGACCCGAGCGAGGCCACCTTGCACCACCTGACCGACTTCATTGACCCGGAGACCGTAGAGGCGGCTATAGCCGAGGTGGGGAAGACTGACGGCGTTTGGACTTATTTCACCAAATACTATCTGAACCAGAACAAGCCTACCCCTGTTGACGACCGCTGGGGATATGTCCAACGGACCTATAGCCCACCGCCCCCTCGGGGTATTCATCCAAAGCGGGCGTCTCTGGCACGTTGGCGTTGGTATCATACCGAGGCTCCCGCGCGGTTTGACTACAGGGAGGGAGGCCCTCAGCGGAGTCATCCGTGCAAGGAGCCCCTGAATTTGGTCGACCCAATGGATCTTGAGGTTGGTCCCGAGGAAAATGAGCACTTCAACAGAAGTTGGGCCTGGACCGAGGACAGTAACGAGGCATATTACCCGTCTTGGGCACCTCAGTACACCGAGAGGTGCGAATCGCTCGATTCGCCTGTGGTTCCCCCGGAGCCAAACAGCGAGGAATTTAAGAAAGCATGCGAGAGGGCGAAACACTCAGGGAGAATTAGCGGGCTTATCAGAGGCGTGGAGCGCCGTGCGCAGCACAGGCAAGACAAAGAGGTCTACCGATGGGAGTTTCCCCGCGTTGAGGACTGCTTGTGGTCCATGGGCACGGTTGACCACAAGCCATTCAACCAGGACAAGCCCATCCTTGACCCGATTCTAGACAAAATGGAGCTGAAGGCCTTGAAAAACCAGCTCACCCTCGTCCTGCCGACTTATACTTTCAAGGCCTCTAACGTCTGGTAGAGCGAGACTGAGTCTCTTATTGCGATATCGCCCGCAATACTCTCCTGCTTAGACTCGAGACACCGGGGATAAATGGAATCTCCTGTCCTCTATACTCTTTTTCCGGCTCTCTTCATCCGGCGCCTTTGCTCCCGGACATGGACTGGCGATATTTGGCTTGCCATTGCGCGGCTACGGGGTCGGTACTCATGCTTCCTTGTCTTTTCTTTTCTTTCTCCTTTCTCTTGTCATTTTCTTCTGGGACTCTCGCCTTCGGTACAGGGCGAATCGGGTCTTATTTGGGCCCAAACTGCGACACAGTTTCCTCTATTCTGCAACCCCTTCTCTTCTCTTACTCCCAAGGGAATCTTTGGGGTCTTGCAAGAAGCGTCTCTGTAACGATAGTACTCCCTCGTCGCTCAGAGGGGGGAAATCCCATGAGACAGACGGAACCGCATGGGTGCCATCCACAAGATCTGCTTTTCTTTCTTTTCAGAGCGCTACGGTCGATAAAAGGCTGGTATGGCGGGCGGCACACATCATGCTATCCCCTTATCCAACCAGCCTTTCCCATTCATCTTTGGGACTTAGGACGACTAACTCCGGCGCAAGGTCTCGACAGGACCAACGGACATTTGGCTTGCGGCATTTAGCAGGCACGCACAACACCGGTGAGAAACCAGGCGGCGTTGGAGGAATTTTCGGAAATCCGGAGTTGGATGGACACAGTTAGTTAGTTCACCTTACTGCTGCTGGTCCAATGAGGAAGGATATGAGGAGATTTGGGGAAATTTGGTGGATAGATTGCGAGACTGATGGACGGATGCGCTGGTTTCTTTGGGCCTCGTCTACGGCGATGGGTCCGTTGGGTGGTTGCGTTGCGTTGCGCTGCTTGTCGTTGCAGGCAGATTGCTGGGCCTCGTTGCCTTCTTTTCCTTGTATTTGTGTTTTGTTCTTAGATTCGGTCAACTCCACTCTCTCTAGCTAGATGGGTGAAATAAAAAACCTTCACGGTGAATTCCATGGTCTCCCCTGGGTGGTGATAACGTGAAGTGTGATCTCGCCGGATATGCTCGCTGGTATGGTAAACTTACTTGAGAGGATTGACTTGATCTTTGAAGGCTAAAATGGCTATCCGCGCACTTGATATTCATGTGAGTTTGAAGCCAACTCCAAAAAGGGTAGAAAACGAAACAATTCAGAAATGCTTGGGTATCTCAAACGCTACTTCGACATAATGTTCATAGACACATAACATAATACACCTATACAGATACTCTGAAGACGAGAGGAGAGTATACATGAAGATACCTAGACTACCAACGAGTGCATCAAGAATACTCGTCAAAAACCTTATTCTCCTTCACCACTACTACCGCCCGGCTGATGAGAAGAAGAAGCAAGCCCGTTCCCTCGAAGTTGCTTCGCCTTCTCCATCCACTCCCTCTTCCGCCGCCTCGCCGCAGCCGCATCTTCCTCACCATGCGCGCCAGCACCCCCAACCGCCGACGACATCCCAACCACATTCTTCAGCGTCCCAAAACTCAGACAGTCCGCGATCCGCTGCGTGCCGGCGAATAGCATTACCAGCCGCTCGATGCCACAGCCCCAGCCGCCTGTGGGGGGCAGGCCACTGGCCAGCGCGTGCACGTAGTCTTCGTCGATTTCGAGGTCGTCTTCCCTTGTCTGCGACGACTCTTCGACTTTGCCCTGTTCATCGTTACTCTGTTCCTCCTCTGTCAAGGGATCTAGCCTCGAGGAAGCGGCGATAGCATCACGTTTCGCACGGGCCTGCTCGACGAACTTGCGGCGCTGCTCAAAGGGGTCGTTTTCTTCTTCGTACATGTTGGCTAGCTCTCGGCCACCAATGAAGAGCTCAGCGCGTGCGGCCACGGCTTGGTTGGTGCGCGGGCAGGTGAAGGATTTGGCTAGCGGGCTCATGCACACTGGGTGGTGGGTAATGAAGAGAGGGGCCTCGGCAGATAGGGGCTCGATGTGCGCTTCTGCGAGCTCATCGAGAAGTTGGGCGAGGGATGGTTCTGGCGGTGGTGGTGGTGGGCTATTGGGATCTTGGTCTGCTGATATGGTCTGTTGTTGTGTTAAGGTGAGGTTGTTGTGCTTGTCGTGCTGTTTGAGGAGAGATATGAGGTCGGCGAGAGCAGTGGGGGACGTGAGGTCGGGAAAGGTGAAGCCGAGGGTGGCCTCGAGAGTGGGGATGAACTCGGCCTGTTGGAAGGGCTGCTCAAAGGTCGCGAGGTCTATGGGCGGAAGTGATTGGAGTTTGGTAGTGATAAGGGACTGGCAGTGTGCAGCCACACCGCGTATAAGATCTTCGGTGAGGGATATGAGGCCCGGGAGGTTAGAATACGCCTGGTAGAACTCGCAGATGGTGAACTCGGGATTATGCGTTCGGTCGATCCCTTCGTTCCGGAACGCTGGGCCGAGTTCGAAGACACGGTCGACCCCCCCGATCACGAGACGCTTGAGCCAAAGCTCCGGGGCGATCCGTAAGGAGATATCCCGGTGAGAAACAGCGTTGCTAGAGACCGTGAATGGGCGAGCGGTGGCCCCATTGGCGTCTCCTGCTAGGATGGGCGTTTGAACCTCGAGGAAATCTCGCCCATGGAAGAAATCGCGCATGTACCTGATGAGGTGGGATCGCAGACGCAAGGTGTCTGTTGTCCGGCAGTTAACCAGCATATCAACGTGTCGATTCTGGATACGGGTCTCCTCATCGATCAGCGTTTCGGGCAACGGGACAGCACAAGGGGTCAACAGCTCGGGGAGACGAGTCGCTTGAATGGTAAGCTCGCCAGATTTTGTCCGTGTAGCCCTCCCGGTAATAGATATTGTGTCATTCCTCTTAAGTTCTTTAGCAAGCCACGTCAAGCGGTCGGGCGTGGTCCCATCGGCTAGCTTTGCAAGGTTGCACATGCCCTGCACACGCTGGAACTCGGCGGTCATGTCGAGAAACAGTAGCTTCGAACCGACACGGCGCTGTGAGCCGACGCGGCCGTGCAGGACAATCTCCTCCTCCGCCACAGCACCCTTTTCGATCCCAGCATACTTCTCGAGAAACTCTGGGATGCGCAGGGGCGGCGGCCCGCTCAAGCGGGGGTACTTGAAGGCATGGTAGAAGCGCAGGTAGGCCGGGTTCGGCGGACCAGCGGGCTTCCAAGTGTACGGGCGCAGGAATTGGAGACCCGGGGCTGGCGGCATTGATCTTCTTGAGAAGGGGGTGTATGTTAGCACATGCTGTGAGCTGAGCGCGGGGCAGCAGTTAAAAGCGAAAAACAAAATGACCAAGTCAGAAAATAGGCATTGTGATCATGCGCGCGCAAGCGCGTCAGTCGCAACGGTTCTTTGATACGCAATCATCATGCAGGTTATGTAAGAAAGAAGAAAAATATACAGAAAATCACAATTACTTACATCGAGCCAGTAGTCCTCAACTCAGAGAGTGAGTTGTTGTCCGTCCAAGGCCGGTCTAAAAATGGGCAAGTGATGTGCCGGGAGTTGTGAGCTTGAGCTTGAACTTTTTTTACAGGGATCCAATTAACCCCACTTATCTTACTCCGGGGAGCCAATTAGCGTCGCAAAATGGCAAGCACCACACGTGCCGAGAATTTCCCGCTGCGGTCTTGGTTCAGGATTGTATTTCAAGGACTACACTAAGAGACTGATACCAAAACGGTGGAATCTACACTACATCCTGCCTACATTAACCACCACGAACAATAATAGCCCGGCCCGCGGACACAACGCCCTCGACCTCGATCTCAATACACACCACCGTACCACAATCCCCCCTCCCAACCGTTACCAAAATGTCTTCCTTATTCGGTCTTGGGCGTCCTCAGCCTTCCTCAGCAGAGAAGATTGCCGCCGTTGAGAACGAGCTCAAGGTGATGGCCCTGATGCACACTCGGTATGTCCCCCCTTACCCCAAATACCCCTCTCTTCGTACACTTAGAGAACCAAGGAAAAAAAATACTAACCCCGCCTTCCCTCCCCTCTCCCTAAAACAGGATGCTCAAGATCTGCTCCGCCAAGTGTCTCGACAAGACGTACCGCGAGGGCGAGTTGGCCAAGGGCGAATCGGTGTGCCTGGACCGGTGTGCTGCCAAGTTCTTTGAGGCACATACTACTGTCTCGGAGCAGCTGCAGAAACAAGGGGAAGCGGCTCAGCGTGCGGCTGGTGGCGGTGGTGGTGGGTTTGGGTTTTAAGAACATAGAGGAGATTGGGGAGGGGTATGGTGGATTGGAGAGGGGTATGTGAGTTGAGGAAAAAAAGAAGAGAAGGTTAAGGAGACGAATGTTGAAGGAATGCCCTGCCCGGCGTTCTGGGCAACAGGACTGGGCTGCTATTCCGGGGCCGGTGGAGGCTTGATGATGCCCATCGACTTGGGGCCATGAACAAAAAGAGAAAACGACAATATTTAATGACGGAAAGGGCAAGCTCAGCCCAATGTGTGTATGTGTGTGTATAGATACGGGTTGGGGTTTTTACGAGAGGATGGGACAAGGCAGTGTGCTTGGCAATGTCATTCTTAGACAGGAGGTTATGGTAGGCTCAGTCATTGGCTTGGACTACGTGTTGCATGTACAATAGAACCGACTGGGCAAGGGCAAGGACCAACGCTCTTAGACTCCTGGCACGGCCATGGATGGACAGGTATGGATTGCATAAATCATGGCATTTCTCCCCTCCGTTGATATGCTACATAATGTGACAAATAGACACCCTTGCTTGCTAACCTAAAACTGAGAAAGTCGCCTCGTGATGATGCTGATGCTCCTGGGGAAAAGAAGAAAAAACCAAAAGAGAGAGAGGGGTAGAGCCAAATGTCTCCAGCACCGCACTATAATGCAATCCTCTGTATGTACCCAGATGCGCCCAACACCGGCCCCGAAATCAAACCCCGCTGAGAGTATCCATAGGTAGCAAAGGTACCCAGCCCAACCAAACGAAACGGAAACCCTTCAACATTCCTTTCTAGTTATTTCGCAGGCCCCAACGTCGCTTGTGCAGCCCCCCTCGTAATATTCGGACCGGTCCCGATCCCGGTCAGGGTCCTCACAAACCAATGCAACCAGCTTTCCGTCTCCAGCACCTCTCTTAACTCCTCCGCCCTTTGCTCGACGTCTTCAACCTGGGCCTCGAATTGAGCAACGCCATCCTCAACCTCGTTGACCCGCGATACAAGCGCGCCGATTTCGTACTCCAACTTGGCTGCTAACATCTCAATGTCCTTGACCGCCTCGGCGAGACGCCCCCGCTCTTCGCTGACAAGTTCGCCGGTGCTGTGTCGGGCGCGCTGGTATGCTTCCTCTACTGCGTCGTGGAGCGCGTTAAGTTCGTGTTGCTGGGAATCGAGGGTTTGGTCCAGGGCTGTGACGGCGGATAGTTTGTTGGTGACCCATGGCGCAAGGCCGGCTTGGACCCGCTGGAGCTGGGCGCAGAGGGCATAGGACAACTCGGCCTGCGAGCGTAAACTCGCCAAGTCGTTACCCGCTGTGGAGTTGTCTAGCGTGACGAGATCTTCCCAAAATAGCACTGCCTCCTCGGCCGCACTGAAGGAGAGACGTTGGGGATATCGGGCTTCGTTCGGGGGTAGGTAGAAGGTAGCGGTGCAGTCTGTGCTGTGGCGGCGCTGGAGAGATAGGAGAGGCCCATCTGAACTTCTCTCGATGGCGAGCACGGGGCCTTGGAGATCGCCCTCCGCCACGACAGAGCCCGGCGCAGAGACGTTGATGCTGCGCACCTCCTTGCCCATATGGGCGAGCGCGAGGTCCAACTTCTCTTTCGGCTCGAGTGATTTGAAGGGCTCCTGGAGAGCACCGGCCCCATTCTTCGGCCCCGGCCGCAGACCGGTCTCGTTCTCGTTTGAATTCCTATCCCTGCTCACGTTCCTGTTCCCATTAGCAGCCGAAGTCGAGACGACGGACCCGGACTCGGTCCCTTCGCTGTCTCGTATGGCGGCCAAGTACTCTTCTGGCTTGACTTTCCATGTGAATGCCTTGCCAAGCGGGGCAGGGGCCGTCATGACGCCCGATAATGGTTGACCCGCAGGCCCGACACTGGGGCTCGAATACGCACTGATGGCGGTGTCTGGAGTCTCATCTTTGGATGGCCGGCTGACATGTCCTCGCAGGCCACCCCCCACCGCGTCTCTGATGCGCCCCAGCCCCGAGCGAGCGTCATTGACCTTTCCCGCAACGCTCTTAAATACCGTCTTCCGCAGAGCGTCTCGATCGCTCCCTGGTGTCTCGGCTGTGAGGGGCAGCGAATTCGTGGGCTGTGGCGGCTGGTAGGCGGCAAGCGAGTCCTGCTTTCTTGGTTCGAGCTCATCATCCAGTGGCGCTGAATGAGTTCTTCTGCCCACAAGCTGGGGGCCCAGTTCGTCTTTTAGTTCCCTCCCAAGAGCGGATAATGCATGTTCATGTTCGTGCCCGTGGTCTTGGGCGGTTCTCCTTGGTTTTCCATACCACAGCCACTTGGGGCGTTCGCCCGATACCAGGCTGATTACCTTAGTTAGATCCAGGGTCTCGACGTCTCCTATGTTGGCCTTATCGCGGCCGCCCACCATTCCTATCACTAGCTCGCCGCGCTTGCCACCGATTTCGGCCACAGTAGACTTGACGGCCTTTTGCACGCCCCACCCGCCATCTCCCGCAGCTGCTTTCGCCGTTACGCTATGCAGTTTGAACATGGTCTGCCGGTCAAGTCGACGGGTCTTATTTAGTCTCATGGACTTTTGGAAGGTGCCGATGCCCTTTACTGAGCTTTCGATATCGAACACGTCTTTGGACACCGGAGCACCCCAGTAGCTCAGTCGATTCCTCGACCCCATGATGGTGCCGAGTAGAGCGGCGACCGTGGTGGGGCCTAAAATTCCGTCCGTCGGCTCGATGTTGAAGTACTCGGAGCCGATCTCGGTCCACCAGTCGTTGACGGCCTTCTCTGTGACGTCACATAAAAGGCCGTCGATGTATTCTTGATCGAGCAAGCCAAAGAGAAACAGGGCGGTTTGGCACAGCTTGACCAGCTCAATGACAGCCTGGACGAATGGTATCCTGTCGCTAGTCTTGTACACCTGCATGAACTTGGCCTGCGTTGCCGAAGTGGGTTCGGTGAGAGTGAGACCGGACCGCCCCGAGCACCCTAGCCGTTTCAGGTTTTCGTTGACGATAAATTCCTGGCGATGTTTCCGTATGTCGCCGTCTGGTACGGGAATGACAGTCAAGGCTGAGGGAAAGCTGCTAAGGTTTGTGACCATGAGCTCTCCAACCTCAGTCTCTTTTGGCCGGGCATGATATTGATAGAGGGCCTTGAAGTAGACTCTCAACCTTGGCGACCAGGACTTGTCGTCTGCGGGCAGCTCCAACACGCCCACCACCACTGAGTGTCGCAAGTCGCCGGTGTAAGTCGCAATGACGAGGGTGGGCGACTGGCGCGAGCACGCCCATTGCTCGACCAAGTAGAGTTCGTAACCGGGGAGGACATGTCTTCGTTCGACCACGGTTACCGAGGGATCGCCTTCGAGGAACCTGTGGTAGGCGGTTGTTGGTTAGCGGGTGTCCAGTTGTAGCTAAGGGTTGTCATGGGTAGAATGGGGGCAGAAGGGGAAAAAAGGAGCCCACTTGAAAGCGACAGGGTCCGGGAGGACGACACGGCGCCGGCCGAGGCCCGGACGGACGGTGGGAGCGCTGTCCATGGTAGCGCGATCGGGTGTTTCTCGCGCTCCAAGCGTGGCATTCCTCCGGTAGGAAGCGGTGCGGGCCAGTGTCAGTTCCTCCTCCCGATGCACCCTCGCATCGACGCCTGAGAAGCGGAGGGCCATGGTCTTGGTCTTAAAGGAGAGGCAGCGACAACAACGACGTCAACGGGCTCCAGGGCAGAGCGGGACCCAGTAACGGCGGCCTCACTTCTGGGGGTTGCATCCATGTCAACGACAGGGACTAAGGCTCTGAGGGCGAAACAAAGCGCCCCGGACCCATCGTGGGCCCGCCTTTGGGGGCGGTGAAGGTACTTTGATTTGGCGTATTCGTAGTGTGAGGAAGCGAGACGTTGAATCCCGCAAATTGCCGCTCGAGGCTGTCACAGATCCCAAGGTTGGTGTTGGAAATGGAGGGGGAAGGAGTTGACCGAGAAGGAGGCTGTCGGAACTCCGACAGCGGACATGTGATGCAATAGGTCTCAGCTCAGAAGGACGTCCTTGGTGGGATGGATGAATGGATGGATTCCTTCCTTTTGGCTGCTGGCGCTCTGCACGGAATGAATGGGTGCTAAAATACAGTCTCGATTGCGCGGTGTTCAGTAATTCACACAGTCCTCATCGGCCCACAGCCCCACCCAATTTCCCCACCCTGCCGCATTCATCGCACAGGTCACAGGAGGTCGCGGCCCTGCTGCGGGAATGCGGGTGGCCCGGGGCGGAGCAGCCCAGGTGCGGAAGCTTTGATGTTGCACAGCGGGGGATGTCACCTGCCTGGCGGGCCCTGAATGGTCTGGACGGCGACTGCCATTCCAGCGACACCGAGACTCCAGGGTGGGCAGCGCCGGGCCCAGATCGCCCACAGGCCCCGAAACCGACACAAAGTCCCATTGGGCAGTCCATCACTCCATCAACTGGGTTCTTTCAACGACGTCAGTCCGGCCAGACCGTTTTCTCGTCCCTACTTCCCCTCTGACGGGACCCCTCCTCACTCGACAACACATACGGCACAAATTTACACACACGAACCTGTCCGCCAGCCTAGAAAACATTCGAGTAGGACGATGCAGGGCGCTCCCGGCCCGATACCACCAACGCTTCCGCCCCTCACTTTATAGCATTCTTGCACCTTGCCTGCCCCCCGAGTCCTGGATTTGCGGCAATGGAGGCCAAACAGAAGCTGGAAACGCTCCTAAGCGAGCTAGAGAAGGTGAACAGTCTACCGAGGCTGTCATCGGCAGTTCAAGATGTAGATCAGGTCATCCAGCTTCTCAGCGAAGCTCGGGAACAGATCGCCGGAGGTCAGTTGGGTTTGTTTTTGTGTCTTGGAGAGTCTCGCTTGCTCTCGCCGAGAAACGGGGAAGATGCATAGTAGCATTGGTGCAAAAGCCGTGTTAACATTGTCCGTAGCAATGGATCCGCACACCGCGAGCATGACTATGACGAGACTCCAGAATCCCATCAAGTTCGCCTTCGGAAAGGTCAACGACGATTTGAAGGCCGCATCGTCGGCACACAAGAAGCTAGGCAGGTCGTTGGACAAGGTATGTGTGTTGTCGGGTGCTTGCATGACCGTCGGTCGGTCTGTCGTATCTAACACTGCGTTCTCCCACAGCATTTCCCCCTCAAGGAACTCCCCACCGATAACGCCTGTATGGACGACCACCTCCCACTCATCAACCGCGCGATCGCCATGCATTTACTGCGGGAAGGCCAGTTTTCTGTTGCCGCGACGTTTATAAACGAAGTTCAAACCAAAAACCCGGCAGCTCCCGCGGCGGCGGTGACGAGTGGCCCCACCTATGATGAACCCATGGACGAAGATGAAGACGAGGACGAGGACGAGGATGATTACAACGTCGACGAAGAGGACGATGAGAACGAAGACCACATCGAAGCCGACCCGCCGCCGGCGAACCAAAACAACGAGGATGATGAGTACGACCTAAACTCACTCCACTCTCAAGAACTCCAGGACAAGTTCGCCGAGATGTACAACATTTTGCAGCAGCTGAAAGCCCACAATCTGCTGCCTGCTATCGAGTGGGCACGCTCCAACTCGGCCGAATTGGAAGCCCGTGGCAGCAATCTAGAATTTGAGTTGTCCAAGCTCCAATACGTTTGGCTGTTTATGGGCCCAGGAGTCGACGGCCTTCCCAACGACGCCCAGAGCGGCCGCTTCGGTGCGCTTGCCTACGCCCGCCAGAACTTTGGCCGCTTTCGGACTCGCCACCTGCGCGAGATTCAGGAGCTCGCGTCGGCCATGGTCTTTGCGCCAAACCTAGCCGAGTCCCCTTACCACCTGACTTTTTCTGCTGTTTCCGCCACCTTCGCCGACGTTGCCGCCTCCTTCACCCGCGAGTTCTGCAGCCTGCTCGGCCTGTCTGCCGAGTCTCCCCTTTACCTCGCCGTCACAGCGGGTGCTCTCGCCCTACCGCGTCTCATGAAGTACATGCTCGCCACCCGTTCCAAAGGGACGGAGTGGACAACAACCTCGGAACTCCCCTTTGAAACGCCGCTACCGGAGAGCATGCTTTTCCATAGCATCTTTGTCTGTCCCGTCTCCAAGGAACAGACCACCGAGGATAACCCCCCCATGGTGATCCCCTGCGGCCACATGCTGGCACGTGAGACACTGCAGAAACTGTGCAAGGGTAACCGTTTCAAATGTCCCTACTGCCCAAGCGAGGGTTTGATGAAGGATGCCCGGAGGGTTGTCCTGTAGGGTAACATCGACTTCACGGGGTCCGAAGCGAGCAAGGCCGACAACTCAGAGGAACCTAGTGGGAGAGATACCGGAAACGGTGGCGGCGGTGGCGGCGATGGCAGTGGTAACAGCAGTGACAGCGATGGCGGCGATGACAGAGGTAACGGCGGTGGTAATCTTTGGGCCCTGAGCAACGGCGACGACGATGATAGCGCCCTCGAGGCTGAGCTCGATCGCCTCATGGGGCTGACTGAGAGCGACCACAGCCGTCTAGCCCCCTTCCTGCTCCTGACGGAGTTCCAAGTGAGCGAAATGGACGGGAGCACGGACACAAACCCGGCCGCAATATTCGAGGCCAACCGGCGTCCATTCGCCTCGACAAGCGACCCCGTCCCTCCTCGCGGCCGTAGACACGCGCTAACCGACCCGCTCCCGATGAGTGACCCTCACCTCCCCGACCCAGCGGCCCTGCGGGGCGTCTTCCACGGTGCAGGGAACTCGTAGGACGCCTTCTTTGCTTACCAGCGCGCAAGGGAACCGTTTCTTCGGCGCGCCAGCCATGGAGCGGGCTCGTCCCCCTCCAGCTGGCAAACCCTTGAAGTGATGAGTGTGCTCGAGGCCCGGGCGGCGGGGATCTTGCGGGAGGTGGAAGTATGGGGACGGGGACAGGGACGGGGGGCAGAAACTGTACACAGCACGTGGGAGCCATATTACAACACCTTTCCTCGTCATACCGGCCCCGCATATCAACCCAACGGCGATATTACCCAGCATAGTCAGGTCGATGGTGAAGGGGCTGAACTGGAGCATGTGGAGGACGCGGCTTCCGACCCCCCTCCCTTCCTATTCTCGTTATCCTCCTTCTCCTCCGATGGGGGCACGCCAAACGGGGACAGCGACAGGGAGACCCAAAGCCCGGTTCAAGACCGGGGAGTGGACTCCAGTCTGGAATTATGGTTGAATGTGGGGTCTATCATGAACCCGGTGTGAATGAGAAGTATAAAACAGTGAGACATAAAGAACAGATTGGTTTCGCCCGGCTTGGTTCACTTTACCATAACTTTATATCAGGGTGGTTTCCCTTTTCCTTGGCGCTTTTGGTATTTGCTGCGGGAATGGGGGCTTGTTGGCTTTGGGCAAGGCGGTGATTTATGTTTTTCTTTTTGGAGTTCAGGTCAAGAAGAGCCCTGGTTTATTGGTTCGGTGACACATTGGTTTGGAACAATTCATGAACTGTATCGGTATCGGGAATGCGCAGTGGAACGAACGCTGTGGTGTAAATCTTTCTTAGTTTTGGTATTAGCAGGCACTCGTTCTTCGTTACCTTAGGTCTTGCTATGAGTGAGGTGTATTGAGTGTGTGTAATTATTGAGTCTACGGGGACTAGAGGGCGTTACCCATTCCCAGGGTTCATTAGAGTCAAGAGAGGTGGACAAATAGAAAACGTATGGCATTCTGTCTCCAGGTTCCCGACCCCCCTAACAAACCCATATGGACATACACCTATCTAGCCCCATCCATCCCACCCAAAAGCTCAAAACGACCAAACTAGGAAGCTGAACCAGACAAAGCCAAACCGGATCAACTACTTACTCAACCCTTGTTAGCGGAATACATAGTAAGCCAAGAAAAAATGGACAAAGGAAGATGGAGAGGAAATGAAGAAAATAATCCAAGTTTGCAAACGCCGTTCCCCAGCACCTCCCATTTCCCCTGACTCTAAATCAAGTTGCAGCCTAACCCATGCTGTTCTAGACGATTCTCTCCCCCGTTCCAGGAAAAAGAACAAAAGAATGCAATGGGCCGTGGTGAAAGTACCATAACAAGGGACGTAGGCCAAAAAAATTAAAACGAAGCATACAAACAAAACGGTGTTCAATGGAAGGCGCAATGTATCTGCCGGCATCCATTGTTTGTCGGCCGCGAAGGGCCTGGATGGCAACGTATGAAATGAGATGCAATGGGACAAAAATAGACCCAAAAAAAATAAACCGATATGAAAATCCCTTTGCTCAGTTCCTATGTCTCCTTGATCTTTCCTCTGACTTTGGTATCGCAATTGCTTCAGACTCCGGGGTCGTAAATTTCGTTATATTTCGCCAGCGAGAAAATGCCCGCGGTCCTTTCCCCTGATTCGGGTGGCTTCCATTTTATTATTAAACCCTCCCGTATTTTCCCTCCCTTATAATACCACCACCCAGCTAAACAGCCCTCTATATTTAGTCGATGGTCATGCGGCTTGGTAGAGACGGCTTCTGGTCGTTCAGCTGGTACGAGTTGGCGTCCTCCTTTTCCGGATCCGGACCCGTGGGCTTGAGGATGTGAGCTTTGAGCCCGTTGCCAAAGTTATTCATACAGATGAATGCATTGGTGATGGTCAGAATGATGAGCACGATGGTGAGAACCGCGAACGCAGTAAGGGACCGGCGGACAGCGTCGTAGCCCCGGCTGTAGCCAGGCTGGTAGATGCGGACGAGCTTGAAGAAGAAGTAGGCGAGGCCGCCAAAGTAGAGTAGGATGACGAAGCACACACCGATGCGGTTTTCGTGGCGGGTAAAGAAGGCAGCGCACAGCAGAATCGCAATGGTGATGGGAATGGCGGCGATGTGGAGGCCGAGTTCAACCTCGTTGAGGCCGTTGACGATGACGAGGAACTGTACAGTGAACCCGAGGAAGAAGAAGAAATCGAACTTGAGAAGCGCGATGTAAATCTAAGCATTCCCCTTGTTAGTAACGATCGAACGGTGACGAGTTTTGATTGTCACCTTACCTGGTAGTGCAGGAACCGCTTCTTCATCCGGTAGTCGGCACCAATCTGCTTCAGAATATCCCAGGCGAACTCCCGGTATAGCTGGTAGGCGATAACGCCCATGAGGATGGTGATTACGCCATTCACGGCCGGGACGGCAATCAGGAAGGGTTTGCACAGCTCCCACACATTCCGGTCATCCTCATCTGGCTTCAGAGCGCCAGCACCGAGCAGCCGGGCGATGGAGTTGTTGATCTGATCGATTTGGAGGATGGCGTAAACGAAAATGGCCAGGTTCGCGACGCAGAGGCCGATGATTTGAATGGTGTTCTTGAGTCGCAGGGCGTCCCACGTGAGCAGCAGGATGTAAAGGAAACCGAAAATGAAAAGGGTCAAAAACGTCGGGATCGTGCGGTACTGCGATTTGAGGGCGTCGTTGATGTCGGCATCTTGCAATAAAAGACTGAACTGGAATCTCCCGAATACGTATCTGTGCACAAATTAGATTCCAGCGTCGTGAGGGGGTCGCGCAAGGAGGAGTCAGCAGTCGAGGAGGGGAATGCAATCAACGTACGACTCAAATGCTACGCAGATGAGAGCCTGCAACCCGACGACGAGGAAAAAGAGTTTTGCCCATTTTGAGGCAAGGAACTCTGATGAAAAGAGGCTTGGTTTGCGTGCCGCGCCGGGCGTGACAGCGGTAGCCATCATGGGGGTGTGGTCCCGGTAGTGCGGGCTCGAGTAGGCTCCGTCGAAGCTAGAAATGGGCTGGGAGCCGGCCAGGTACGACCGGCGAACTTCTCGTTGCGAATCCAGGACGGGCAGTTGTTGGGAGCGAGGTATAACCGACCACTCCCTTTCGATTTCCGCCTCGTTTTGCGCTCCTTTCGTCGTTGCCGACCGTCTGCCGGTCGTTGTTGGTCGTCGCAGTCGCGATAGTGTTGGTGGCTGAAAGGAGGCTGTCTAGTTGGTGTTGGATGTGGAGAGGGGAAGAACGAAAACCGTCGGGAACTGGCGGCAAGTGAGTGGCAGTAGGGGCAGCCGCTGCGACAAACTCCTCTCCAGAGACTGGTCGTTGGAACACGCTCGTTGGGGCGCGCGCTTCTTTACCGAATGTCGATCGGACTTGTTACAACGAGTAGAGACGGGTTCGACAGGTGCTGTTGCGTCAAAGGGGTTGGATGGTGAGTGAATTTAGCGGATCGGAGAGCAGGCTGAAACACGCCGAGAAGCTGCGATGTTCGAGCCTCACCAGGACTGGCTTTCGGACACGCTCTGTTGCAACTTGCAATTTGTGGAGTCTAACGGCCAAGCGTTGCAGTAAAACCGCTCGGAAGCGGCAGATTCGGCTTGTGAGTCCGGAGGAAGTTGGAGGTGGAATCGGTAAATACGAGAAACAGAAAAAACAAAACGAATGAACGTAGTTTGGCGATTGCTCGGTTCCCGAAGGATTTGCGAATTGATAAATGATCAGACGACGAAGGGTCAAGAAAAAGAAGAGGGAGCCCAGCACAAATGGGCATCTGCAATGGATGAGAGAGTGGATGTTGCAGAAGGACAAACTTGCCCAGTGAGGAAAGCACGACCGGGGTGCCAAACAGGGGCTAGTTTCTCCCCATCTCTCAGCCCTCCCCCAGCCAAAGCCAAGCTTCAAAACGCTTCGAGGCTGTGCAAGACTGCGCAGCCCATAGACCTTGGTTCGAGACTCGCGGTTGACGTCAATTCTTTGTGTTAGCTAATTAGTAGTTACACAGTGATCAAGACACAATGATTCCCCATGGGCTCACGATTCTGCCATAACTTTTCTCGAACCCGTTTCGTGGCCGGGCCGTGTCTTTCGTTTCTTGCATGATGAGCCGTAAGCTCTTGTCCTGTCAATTTTACTCGTCGGGGGTGTTGGGGACACCCAAAAGGCAAAAGCACTGTACTGTCTCCACAGGGCCGTTTCTGGAATGCAAACGTTTCCCAGCCCTGGGCAATGAGTTCAAGAACCCGGAAAGGCCGTCAACAAAGCCATAGAAGGATGCCGTTCCTTACGCAGTAACTAACGAATTGTCTCTCGTGCATGGCGCTGAACAACACAGCCAACTCAACAACAGGACGTCCGGCTGGCAGATGCACGCTTAATGCCCGAGCTGCTTTTCCTCTCTCATGTTTTACCACGCCTTCACATCGGGACTCGCATTCCGCCTTCCCAGCCCGGCCCCACACGGGCGGACTGCCTTGTCGGCACAGGGAAGCCCAGACATCTGGAAGGCTTTTGTGGTTGGTTCCATGGGTTGATTGCTCATACAAATGACCTTCGGACGAACCGAACGGGTCTTCACGCTCCCGTTGACCGCATTCATTCCGGGATGGAGAGCAAGACAGCTTTCCGCCGAGAGCTTCCTTTAACCCTCTCTCCTATTAATCTGCCTCTTCATAGGTCCCAAAAGCCGGGCGACGATGTTCCCATCTTTGCCGAATGCCAGCCCCTCCCCCGGGTTCACAGCGGGTTGGATGGACCCTGGATAATACGGGCTTGGGCCGGGCTAGGCATGTGGGCCGGATCCTCGCCGTAGGGCTTCAGGCAAACTGCATATATGCTTGGCCGCATTGTGGGATGTTTTCCTTGACTCGGACTTTCTTTCCTTGAGTGAGATGACGCCAGAGGTGCAGTGGTGCAGAGGCACAGGATTGATCTACTTGCTGTGTTGTCCTCTTGCGGTCAAATAGGAGTCTGCAATCGCCTAGTTTTTCCTGTGCAAATTGTTTCTCGTTTGTTCCGCCTTGAGGAACGATCGGAGGGGTCCCATTTCGAAGCTGGCGGGGTTTGTCTCGACACTGGCAAGACTGGCACTGACTGGACAAGCTGCCGCAGGCGAAAGCGGATCATCGCTGACGGCCGTCCTGCAGCGTGCGAGCTAAGTTAGCGGTCGATCGTTTGCTATTCTCGGCCGCAGGTTGCTTTGAGCAAGCAAACGCGGCTTCATTTGCCCAAGACAAGCTTTTACGAACATGTTAGCGTACACACTTGAAGAAATTTTAAAGGAGGCAATATGGAGATTCGATAAGAAGAACTCGGCCAGAGCGTCCAAACTGTCATACACTAGACACATGACTACACTAGATGTAGATTGCCTAGGGAGTTTTGGCGGTGCGAGGGAGAATATGGAATCGGTCATGATGGGTTAGCGGATCGGGAATTTAGTGGGGCTATAACGTTAGAGGCTCAAAACGGCGGCCCAGTGTAACAGCACCACAGCGGACCGCGCAAGGCCCTCGGCTGGGCCCTGACGCGGTTTTGCAGCCGACCACACGCGCCAAAGCTCCTCCAAATCGCATCCACCCCCACCAACATCACCATCACCGACACTAGCGTTTATCACCACCCAATATAGTCGAAATGGAGACAGAAAGTGCCGATGATATTTTGAGAAAGGCCGCATTAGATGGGTCAATGGACTAGTGAGCGCGATCCAGCCCGCGTGACCAAAGACATGACAGACTGACCCTCCTTGGCCTCAGTTCGACCTGGCCCGATTTACTCCCCGTTATTCTAGCGCGCATCGAGAAGGTAAGGATTGGTCGCTGGAACATATACGGATGTACTATCGGCTAACGAATTCAGACTGCGCACACCGAGTTCTCCATCCCCAACCTCAGTGGCTTCTCGCAGCCCGCAAGACCCGCCTCCCCCCGCTTTCTCGCCCCTCTCCCTTCGTCGGACCCTTTCGAAGCTCCAGAACAGACAGAGATATCCTCATCCCAAGGTACAAACAAGGAAAATGCCGACCCATCATCCCCCTCTGCCGTTGCTAGAAACACGGGCGTCAACACGCGAGGAACCGAAGATGCTCCCGCAACACAATCAAACACTACCGGTCTCCCGAAGCCCATTGCCGATATTCTCGACGAAATATTATCCGTCCTCCGCACAGACTTCACCCAATACCCGCCACACACCATACAGCGACTCTCCGAATTGGTTCTGCACCCCAAACAACACTATCGCCACCTCGTGCCTTATCTCCACGCGCTCGATCGTGTGGTGCACGTAACGAGCGGCGCAAATATCTACCCTCTCCCGCCGGCCCTTCCCGACGTGGGCGCCATGTCCCTCCTGGCTAATGGCGTTGGTAACGGCGGCCCATCAGGTCTGTCCATCGACATAGCGGCAGCTAACAACGTCGGGTCGGACGAAGCCCTAGGCGGTGCCCTGTTGACGCCAATCCCCTGGCTGAGTGGCAGGACGAACGGCGGGGGAAGCGACGACGGCAGCGAGACGGGTGGCTCATCCCCACTATCATCGAGTGGCGACAATAGCCAATCGTTACACCAGCAGCAACAACAGCAACAACGGCAAAGCTCCCACATTGAGGGCCGAGTGCGGACCGAGAGCACAGAGACGATCGAGGGGCCGAACGGTATGGGTAGCATCGAGACCGTTTCCGTCTCGGTCAATGGCATCCCGTCTACCGGCGCCACCGGTATGGCCCTGCTTACCCAGCGAAGCGTGACCCAGGGAGAGTTACTACGTCAAGAACAGCGTGCTGGTCTCGTCCCACTTAACCAAATCAACAGACAACAGCAGCAGCAACTGCACCAACAGCAACTACAAGCGCAAGCACAGGCTCAAGCCCAAACCTCGGCACAAAACGACCCTGGCGATCACACCACAACCGGGGCAACAACAGCAGAGGAAGAAGACACTACGATGACCGAGGGCGGCGAGCTGGACGAGGCCGCAGAGGAAACTCCCCATGCCCGCGGACCGGGGGAAATCGGTATGGCCGACACGGGCCCGCAAAGCGCCGCTACCGCAAACTTCATCGCTGGTACTGGCGGTAGTCCCATGGTTGTACAGGGAATTGACGTGGAAGCCGCTGTCGGGCGAAGCCCTGCGCAGCAACAATCAGAACAGGAAGAAACAGCCGCAGGACAACCGGCACAAGAGGGAGCCGGCAGTAGCAGTACCACAACCGAAGGCGGCCCCGCCGATCTCGTCGCGCAAAGTCCTAAGCGCGAGGCCGGCGATGCGCTTGAACCGGAATCTCCAGTGAAACGGAGGCGGGAGGGAGCCGACGGTGACGGCAGCGGTACTGGTAGTGATGGTGATGAAAAGCCCGACCCTGACTCTGGCTCGCCTCAGAAAGTTGACGCGGAAGGGGACGTGGTCCTTTCTGATGCTGCGGCTAGCGAGGAGACGAGTGCTGCTGATCCCGCGCCTGCTCAGGAAGGTGAACCGAAGGACGGGGCTGAGGGGGAGCGTGATGGGGTTAAGGATGCGAAAGAGGGTGAGAGTAAAGCGAGCAAAGATGGGGATGAGTCTAGTACCTTGGGTTCCGGGACCTAAGCCGGCCCGCGAGGCCGAGAGAAGGGGGATGGTTTGCAGTTCATCGTACTGTTGTATTCTTGTCCAGCGCTTGCCTGTTGATTTTACCCTGTATCCCTTGTACATACAGGTAGGGTGTTAAGGTAGTTTGGATTCTTTCTGGGACCAAGGGGGCGGATGGAGTGGGGTTGTTGGGTTTTTGTGTTCACGACTCAGTGGTGTGTTTTCATCAATGTCTGGATTCGGGATATATCCAACGAGGTATGAGATACGAGACGAATCAATAGCCAAGACAGACCACAACAGCCTCTTGAGGAAGACGAAGCGGGTGCACTGTGTTGTTGTACTGACCGACTGACGAGTTGTGGGATGATATGTTGTATTATTGCAATGCAGACGTAGCCCCAAAACACCAAAACGACCTAGATTCCTTCCTCTTTTACCCCTGAGATACTAGAGTAAGCCCCAAATTATCACGCTAAAAGGCCCCTCCCTCACTCCATAATCCGGGTAATGCTCTCCCTCACAATCACACTATTCTGCTTCTCGTCCCGCTTCACCCGATAGAAATCATCGCAGAAATCACTGCACTGCATATGCTTCAAGAACTCCTCGTCGTGCGTAATCACAATCAACTGCAGATTGCTCTGCGCGCGGCGCGCCTTGATAATCCCGTGCAGGCTCTCGGCCAAGCTGCGGATATTGTCACTGTCGAGGTTCGTCGTCGGCTCGTCCAGCGCAATCAGCCCGCAGTTGACGCCAAAGGACTCGGCCAACGCCAGACGGATGATGATGCTGGCCAGCACCTTTTGGCCCGCGCTGCACCGCCCGCGCATGTCCATCTCGGTGTCCCCCTTCACCATCGAGACGCGGTAGTTGTAGTTGCGCTTGCCCGTGCCTGAGCCGGCGCCCGCCTCGACGTCGGACCGGATCTGGATCGTGTCGATGTCGGTGCCTTGGTATGTGCTCTGCCAGAGCTCGCCGATGGTGCGGTTGATTTCTTCCATCTTGAGCGAGTGGAAGCGCATGATGGCGTGGTCGAGCGCCGCGGTGCCGCGGCCGAGATCGTCGATGGCTGCCTTGGTCGTCTCGACTTTGATGTGGGACTCCTTGAACTTGGCCTTGGCGTCTTTGAGTTCGATGCTGTACTCCTCATCGAGCCGCTTGAACTCGCTGTCCTTGGTGGTGAGGGTCCCCACCAGCCGCTCGCGCTCGGCGGTCAGCTTGCTCCGGCGGGTCTCGAGATACCGTGCCTCTTGCGTGAGGCGGTCGTAGTCCTCCTGGGCGTTGCGTGACTCGAGCTCGGCAATCTCTTCCTCCAGCGTGTCGCATTCGCGGAGGTTCTTGCGGTAGGTCAGGTTGTCTGCGATGTTTCGTTTCTTAGCATCGCTGTTGTCAATCTCCTTGTTGAGCTTGTTGATCTGGACCGTCAAATCCTTCATCTCGCTTTCGAGGTTCGCGATGGCGGACTCCAAGGTGGCAATGGCGCGCTGGTTCGAGGCCAGGTTGGAAGGGCCGCCGCGGTCGAGGTACTCCTGAATCTCGGTGTTGACCATCTTGAGCTCGCTAAACGTCGTGGCAATCCCGTCTCGCTCTTCAGCCACCTTTTGCTCCTTTGCCCTGCCCTGCTGACGCACCTCCTCCAACGCAGCACGCGCGCTCGCGATTTCTGGTTCTAAGCGTTCTACTTCCTTGTCGGCTTCCTGAATGGTCTCTCGCAATTGCAGCTGCTCCTCTTTACACTTGCGGATGGATTCTTGGAGATTCTTCTTCCGCTCCAGCTGTTGGGCAGCCGTGCTGATCTTGTTTCTCAGCTCGAGCCGTTCCACCTCCAGCTGCCCGACGAGGTCCTTCAACCGCTGCCTCTCGCTGGTGAGCTTGCTAAGCTTGGCCTGGGCAGCCCGCGTCTGCTCCGCGCAGGCCGTCTGTTCCTCGTTGATCTCGTCGGGACTTCGCATTGAGACGCTTGACGACTGTTGTGACCTTTCCACCTGCTTCTCGGCCTCGATGATGTCCTTATGTGCCTGTGATATCTTGAGCACGTTCTTCCCGAGCCCGTCGACTTCCTGCTGCTTCTCCTCCGCTTCCCGGAAAGCCAAGTCCTGGTCTTCCAGCCGACGGACCAGCTCCTCCCTCTGAGACGAAGCCGAGTCGATATCCTTAGTGATTGACGGGAGCTCTGCCTCCAGGCGCTGGTAGCTGTCGTACTGTGAGCGCACAGCTTTGAGAGTCTTGATCTGTTCCGCAAAATGAACCTGGTCCTCCATCAACTCCTCCTTATCCTCGTCGGTCAACTTCTTTGCGATCTTGTCCAGGAGCTTCGACTTGGCTGTCTGCTGGTCCTTGAAATCCCGCTCGCAGTAGTAGCATTTGTTGAACCGTACGGCCCGATCCTTGATGCTCGCGTAATGCTTTTTCATCTCGTCGTACAGTTTCAAGTCCGTCTCCGTTTGGCTAAGCTCGGTCTCGATGCTCTCCAGCTCCTTGGTGTAGTCCTCGATGGGCGGCGAGTCGGGGTTCCGCACATCCTTAAGTGCCTTCATGACCGCTCGCTTGCAGTTCTCCCTTTCCGTCGAGAGTTTGCTCTGTCGATCTCGCGCGTTGCTGAGTTTGTACTCGACCTGCTTCAGTTCTTGCTGGGTAGCGTCTTTCTGCTTCCTTCGCTCCGCAACGACGCTGTTCTGGAGTTTGAGCGCGTTCTGGAACTCGGACTCGATGGTCTCTGGCTGCCAGTCCTCGCCGATCAGAGCAGAAAGCGGCTCACTCCAGGTCTTTTTCAGAATGTCCAATTCCCGGCGCCGTTCCGAAAGCTGTTTCTTCCGCAGATCGAGCTGGGCCCGCTCGGACGCCAGCCTCGTACACTCGACGAGTTCTCGCGCCAGTTTCGCGGATTGTGCTTCCAGGTTCCAGATATCGTCGTTGGCCTTCTTGATGTGCGTATCTAGGTCAGCTCCTTGTTCCTCGGTCCTTGCAGTCTCCATCCTGCCCTCGAGCTCCTTCATCTCAGTCCGTAGCACGGCCTCCGCGCCTTCGTCAATATCTAGCCTGCTCAACTCGCCCTGAATCGTGGCCGATTCCTTGCCAACCGTAATGATGCGTTGCTTCGCGGATGCGCGGTCCCGAATGAGCGAGGCTTTCCGGCTCTCGCGCTCCGTGATCACGGCCGACTTCTTGTCGAGATCCTCAGCGTTATCACGCTGAAGGCGCTCCAGCTCTCGTTTCTTGTCGTTCAAGGCCTTTTGAATCCGCTCGTTGAATGCGGTGATTCGTCGGTCGTCCAAGTCCCCGTCGTAGCCTCGGAGTTCGTGGCGAGTAGCTGCCTCGTGTATCATGCGGTCTCGTGTCTCGAGTTGGCGCTCATATTTGTCCTTGTCGGACTGGTGCTTGCCCTGTTCGGACGCCTTGGCCGTGTGCTGCTCCCGGGACGACTTGAGATCCCCTTGAAGTTCGTGGAATTGTGACGCTTTCCTGTCCCGATCAGAGACTGTCTTCTCAATCGTTTGCTCGTATTCATCGAGCGTATTCCTCAGAACCTGGTCCGTGTCTGACGATTCTTCAATCCGACTGCGCAGCTCCTGAACGGCTTCCTTCTTGTACTCGAGCTTCTCCGTTTTCGTCTGGAGGTCGTTCACGATCCGAAGAAAGCTGTTTGCCTGCTCATGCTTTGACTTGATTTTCGCCTCCTCTTCCTTCATTTGCCCCGTGAGCTCGTCCCACTTGTCCTGGCCCTCTTGAATATCCCGTGTCAACTGAGCCATCAGCTTGTTGACCTTGTCTGCCCGCTCCTTGTTTGATTTATCCTGGCCTTCCTGCAGCTTCAGTTCCCGCAGCTCTTCGCCCTTCTTCTTGCGCAAAACTTTGAGGTTGTCAATGACCTTGGTGTATTTCATAGCCTCGAAAATCTCGTCAAACCGCTTCTTGAGAGCAGCAGGCTCGCTCATGGGCCACAGCGACTCGTCCTGGTGGCAGAAGATGACAGTGTCCAAAACAGCCGGGGAGACGCCAAGCTTCTCCGGAGCCAGTTTGTCGAGCTCCATGACCCGGGTGGAGATGACGTGACGCTCGCCATTGTTGCGAAGCAGCAGACTGCCTTCCAATGTTTTTTGCGACCTTGTGTTCTTCTTCACCATCAATTGTATGTTGCGTGTGATGACGTAGGATTCGCCGACGGTCGATCGAAACGAGACCTTGACCTGGGCGCGGACATCTTTCTCGCCAGCGAGAGTGGGATCGTGGATGAAAGCGCCGCCCTTGCTGTTGGGTGGGAGCTCGCCTGTGGTCGCATACTTGAGGCATTCGATGATGGTCTACCAGAGACTGTCAGCGACGATGGGCACAGAACTAATCCACTTGATCCCCCTCCTCAAGGCAAAACCTACCGTCTTGCCTGAACCATTGTACCCGACAATGAGGGTGAGTGGGGTGTTGAACGCGATAGTCTCTTGGTGTTGGGGCCCAAAAGACCGCACACCAAGAATAGAGAGCTTCTCAATCCGAGACATGATGATACTGCGACGGGAACAAGCCCAGGCCAAGGGCAAGTGAAATCAAATCTTCCATGCGATATCGGTTGGCAAGGGAGGCTGATTGCTTGATTGAAGGGAGCGAAACTCTTCAAGCTCTGTTTACCGCGCTTACTATCTCAGAGAGTAGTTCCTATGAGCCTCAACAAGGGTCGTTTAGCTACCGACGACTAAATCCCGAGTATCGTCGATGCCGATCTCAAGGGCGCGTCTCGTCGCGGATTCGAGTGGAGGCGGGAGAATGGCACAGAAGTTGTCGCGTGGGCACGTGCAGTAGATGGCCAGCGGCTAGGCATCCAAAGTGGGGCACGATCGTTCAGCCCATGTTTCCACTAGTGCCAAGAAAGCCAAGAGGAAGCCAAGAGTTCAGGGCCCTGGCGTGCGTGGGTTCTGGTTGATGAAAGCCCGAAACTCCACGACTTGAAACCAAACAACAAATATCAACAAAGGAAGCCGGCATGTGATAACTATCGCACCTTGGGAGGAACTAACGCCCCACAATCCATTTCTGCTTCTTATATTTACTACAAGACGGGCCGATGATAACAAGTCGGCCCTCAAGCAAAGCACGATGGTTCATCAAGGGAATAGCGAGCCTAACAGCCTGTTGGAGATCCCAACGCAAGGCGCGAGACAAGCACAACAAATCATCGAATCCCGAATTGAACCGACGCCCTCGCTCAAAGGAACTTCGACGCAAGCCCCAGCAACCCATCCAGGCCACCACCCGCACCCGCGCCAGCGCCAGCCGAGCCGCCCTTGCTCTTCAAGTACAGCTTCAGCGCCGTCTCACCCGCCTTCTTGACAGCGCTCTGCTTGTCCGCGCCCGGCTCGACATTGCCCTGCGACGCCTGGGCGTCAAACAGTTTGGCGGCTTGGGCCATGGCCAACCCGACAAAGGCGTTCTGGCCGCCCTTGCCCTGAGCCTGGCCTTGGTCGCCCGAGGTGAACAGCTTCAGGGCCTGCAGGGCGGCTGCGCTGCCCACGGAGGAGGACGAGGCCGGGCCCTGGGAGTCGCCGCTACCAAAGAACTGTTTGTGGGATTCGATGGTGTCTGTCGGGTGTTGGGTTTCACAGCGTGTTAATAATAACCGCTCGAGGCACCTCAAGACGGTGGTGGTCTTGGAATAGGGAGGAGGGGAGGGCAAAGATGACGGGGGCAAAACTAACGCTTCTCGTCTATATCCTCATTTCCGATCTGTGCCTTGGGCTTTTCCTGCAGCAAGCTCCCTAGAACGTCCTTAAAGAAGTCCTGGTCCTCGGGTGCATGGCCGGCCGCTACCGAGGCGGCGCCTTGGAGGTCTTCGTCATCGTCGTGCGAGGCACCACCGCTCGGGGGGTAGGCGCCTCCGTGGGTCACTACGAAAAACTTGTTATCGAAGGAGCCCCGGAGTAATGGTCACCCCCGCTCATCGGCGGGGCGCGCGTGTGTGTGGCAGATAGCTCAGACTCTCGATACCCTGACTACGAGGCCCGCGGGACGAGAAGCAAAGGGGGTATGGGCATGCGTACCGTTGCCACCTAAAGACACGGGAACGAAACATTGTTAGCAACCCATGAACACCTCCTGGTATGCACGCGAGTACAACAGTGCAACAGGTACTATTACGTAGGCCGTCAGGGGTAAGTGGAAGGAGGGGTCAGCCACAACCAACTCGACTCACCTTGAGGACGCTTGTCGTCGTCGTCACCGAAAACCTTGTCGACGGCCTTTCCGAGAAGCTTATCCATGTTGATGACAAGTCAAACAACCTTGATACTTTGGTTCTGCGACGTCTGCCACGGGTTTTGGGTTAATTGCGACTCCTCAATGTAGAACCTCTAAGCCTCAGCGTCCCACAACACGCTTTGGCAAGCTTGGCAAGCTTCTAAGTTGGCAGGGAAAGTATCCCTGCTACAGGGTGGCGAGTAGACTGGCTTACTAATTTCCTTGGTATTGGTTTCAAGATCTTAGATTCTGTTGGGCAAGTTTCCGACAGGAAAGAAGAGGTAACAGTTCAATGCTTCTCCATCAATGAGGGGATAATGAGGAGAGAGGGGCAAACAGCATGACGGGACTCGGGGTGCGCGGCAACGCGGCTAGCGCCGTGGTGTGTGGGCCCAGTGACGCCAGAACAGCTAAACTGAGGGGCAAAGTTGGACAAGCACAAGCTTCCATCTCTAAACTTACACTAGCTCGAGACGAGCGAGGCGAATTGCTTTCACCCATTTCGAGCCAACCAGTGGTGGCGGCGGTCACAGTTTCAATGTAGTGTATCAATACCGAATGACGGGACTTGATGAAGCTAAAGACAAAAATGATGCATAACTTTTTTATTGCGCCGTCCATCCAGTCTGCTCCCACTGCATGTGACAAGGCGGATGAGGAGACGGCCGTTGGGGCAACACGCCGGGCCGTCGCTAAATAAAAAGAAATACACACCACCGTTGATGATGCAGCCCAAACGTGGGCTTTATGCAAGGGGTCGTCCAAAACTGGTGTCCCAAAATGCTACATGTTTCCAAGAACGTTGAAGGAAGTCGAAAAGAGCGAAAGAAATACCAACCTGCCTGAAGCGCCCCTCGCCAAAAAAACTGCTAAAAGAAACACTCCTGAGTCCACCCCCTTAACCCCCCTTTCCGAGAACCACCAAGTATGAAATATGATTGTAACCTGATCCGAACGTTTATTGAGACCCGGAAGTGTATACAATGGATTTTGGGTCGTTTCTTGTCATAAGTATCGTGCGCTGAAACGTATCCTGCGTGAGCCATCCGGTAACCTCCCCAGCCAGAAGTGTGTCGAGTGTGAGTTAAGTAATTGTGTATGTTGTGTAATATCCATAGAAAAAGATGGCCTCTGCCTCCAATATCCCATTCCCGCTTGATTTTTTATGGTCTTTCTCCGTGCCCGAGGCTGTAGTTGAAGGAGAGTTCGTCTCGCCAGGAGAGAAGCGCGCGTGTGACTTTCGTGTTTGTCTAATCGGTCACAATAACGGAATTTTATTGTGAGCCCCCGACTAAAACGGGAACGGTTAGCATAATGCTCCAACCTAATAGACCTCTCTCCCGTAAACACAGGGCTCGGAGGTACTAGAATGGGGGCTTCGCCATATGTGGGACACCCGGGCCAAAAAAAAAAGAAGGGGAAAAAAGACTTACCAACCACACCAAAAAGAACACCATCCCCTTCGTCGGCCACCTGTGATGCGGGTGGGGATAACCGCACCTGCGAATTCCTATGACACCGCATCGGCCGCTGCAGGTGCGTGGTCCGAAGCTCCCGTGACGGCGCTCTTCTTTTTCTCTCTCTTCGCCCACCGCAGACCGCAAGCGTTGCAGAGCGTCTTCGGGCCACCGGGACCTTTACGCCATTCGGGAGATTCGAGGGTACCTAAGGTAATAAGTAGAGGAGTCAGCCCCTGCCTCTTTTCCTCCGCCCATATACATGCTCCGGGCGTATATCCAACTTACCGCAGTCTGTGCACACGTATTCTTCGGCCAACTTAAGTTTCTTCTTCTTATCACCAGTGCGATGGTCCCTGTCGACCGGGATGGCAATGCCAGCGTCACCCGTAATGAGAGCTGGACTGGGGTTGCCGGTGGTAAGGCCGTGGCTGCGTTCGCCCTCTTGGTAACGCAACCCAGTGAGCATCTCGATGGTATCGGCATGGGTGTTGCCGATGGAAGCCCGCCGAGTGCTAGCGTTACTCTCCGTGCGGCCACTATCGGCCGAGACGCGGGCGTCGCGGGCCGCGGCCGGGCTGTCTGGCTGGAAACCCGCTCCGCCGAAACGCAGGCCTTTTTCCGATGGCGTGGTCTCCTGGCTTTGCTGCCACGACTTCTCGGATTCCTCTGCCTCCTCCTGTTCCTCCTTTCGGAGCTCGGCAATCTTACGACGGAGGCGCTCGTTCTCCATTTTATGTTCTAGGAAGGAATCGAGCAGCGCGGCATTCTTAGTCGGATACGGACGAGCCATCATGAAGACGGCCTGGCAGAAGGGCGTCTGGTTGTTCGGATTGGGCGCAAATTTAGCTGCCGCGATGTGGGCGTGGCCGACCGACTCAAACACGGCGTAGGCGCCATCCTTCCTCTTCATGCGATAAAAGACACGGAACGAGGCGCCCGAGGCGATGGACGCATTCAACTCCGAAGTGAAGACACCCACGTCGTCCGGGTGCAACAAGTCCTGCATGAGGAGGTCACGAAGCTCGGCTGGCTTGTAGCCAGTCAAGTTCTCGGCGCTGGGCGAGACGTGCTTAATCCTCCCGTTGGCATCTAAAATGTGTAGTAGGTCCTTGAGCTCCTCAATAACCTTGGCGGCCCAGTTACGCCGCTTTGTGAACTCGGTTAGTGCGCTTTGGTCCTTTTGGGGCCCGGCACTAACGGGGTCGCGAGACGGGTTGTTGGCAGAGCTTTCATCGTTAGGCGCGGGGTATACGGCCGCAGGTTCGCCGTTGCCCTCGTCGGGGGTGATGGCCGATGTTGGAACATGGTTCGGCGGGGCATCGAAGGGAGGGGCCGCACCGATGGTGTCGATTGGGTCGAGGGTCATAGACATGGTATCGTCAAACGAGTAGAACAAGTTATCTAGAGGGATAAATGGTTCCTCAGGGTGCATCTGAGTGGCCCAGTGGCCTAGTGTGTCAGTAGCCGGGACAGGCAAGAAGAAAGAAAACAGCAGACCTGCAGGGTGGACGTTTCTGAGGCGGTGCCTATGCCTAAGGGCATAATGAAGCCCATGAGGCTAGACGATAGAGAGCGTTGGTGCGACATGATAAACGAATAAAGCGGGGGAGAAGAAGGAAAGGGGAAGGGGGGCTAGGGGAGGGGGGAAGGGTGGGGAGGTCGCGATAGTCCCAAGCAGTATGAATATGTCGGGGCAATTGGGATCGAGAGGTGTCTCGCTCTAGGACAGGCCAAGAGGGGGTTAACGGGGGGATGGAAGAAAGGGTCTATTTGATCTCACGAATATTAGGAGCAATGGAACTACGGAGTCGAGGCGCTGCGCATTGTTGGTGGCGAGTTGTACCAGGAAAACGGATTCAAAATAGACGGGGGGAAGGGTAAGGAGGGCGTAGGAAGACGGGAGTGGAAGGAGGAGGATTGGAAGGGGAGGAAGACCAAAAATCGTTCCAGGTTTGGAACACGGCGGAGAGAAAAAAAAACGCTGTCGTACGTTGCCCTAACGGAGCTGGGGAGCTGCCAGTAGGAGCACCGAAGCGGGAGAGCGGGTAACAAACAGGGTGAATGAGCTGCGGGTGACGGGAATTGCGGGTTGAAAACGAACGGGCCAAGTGAAAATGGATGGTGGGATGACGCGAATTGGGGGGAAGGACCAGCTGGCCGAATGCGTAATGTCCATAGTAGACACGGTGGGCATTCGTTTCGGCGGTTCAATACTATGGTATTCAGTCATGGATGGGCTGGTTACCCGCTTGCGTTGTTCCAGACCCGTTGCTAGTCGGCCGCTGCGACGATCCTAACAGGATGGGCGGGGGCGGGGTGTCGGAAAGACAAGGAGGGGATGGGATTCCTGATTTCAACATGGGAATCTTGCGGACCCACCTGCCAAAAGTCCCTTGGACCTGGGCACTCCTTTTTGGGACTGGCTCCTCGGCAATCACAGGGGAGCAAGGGAGCCACACAGGGGCCCTTGTCTTGAGACCCCCCCGGCGCTATCACGCTCGGTGACTGGCCAATTCGGCCAGCGCTTGCGAGTCTCTGAGTGGGCTGCGAATTCCCAGCGGTACCGTTGCATCTCACCGGAGGAAGAGTTCCAGACGAGACTCGGAAGGCAGGAAGGAGGTATGGCTGCATGACTAAACCGCCCCAATGGGCAGATGTGTAAGGTCAATTTCTTCTCCCTATGCAAGTATCGAACCATTTCCCACTCTTTTCCGGGATGGGAAAGGAAAGAGTGGCAAAGACACTTGACGGTACGATGTGGACATGCATACATGGCATTTGAGACCACCCTCATCCCATTCTTTTAGGGCATACACAGTACAGCCATAACCTTGTAACCGGGGTTCCCCCTCGATCCTTTTTTTACGAGACGTTGAGCTGAGAAGATGAGGTTAACATCAACCACGAACTGCCGTATGTACGCAGTATGTACATACACTATGTGCATAAGCCACCAAAAAAAGGGGGGGTTCTCGAGGACATGAACCGAAGTTTCTTGCGTTCGACAAAATCGAAAACCATTTAACTAATGACAGTCCCGCCAGCACCTCCTACAACTGTTCACCCATACCGCTCACATCTTTGACCGCCTCAAAGTCGCGCAACAGACTCTCGAACTTGGCCGTGCCCATCTTCCATGCCGTCGCACCCAACGGCAGTCTCAACGGGACGCGCTCCCCGCGGCTAGCGGCCAGGTACAGCGCCTCAGCCACCGCCGCCGGCCGCATCATACCCACGCCCGACTGGATGCCCATGTTCACGTACGTTTCGAGTCGGCGCGCCGGCATGTCTGGCGCCGCGTAGGCAGGGTGTGGCCTTATGCGGGCTTTGCTGTGGCCCTCGAAGTTGGTCTTGACGCCGCTCGGTTCAACGATGCATACGTTGACTAGTTTTGGTTGGGGTCTTCGTCAGCGGACCGGTCAATAACTAACGGCAAACACATCGACGTTCCTGCGCATTGAGAAGCGCAGCGGGGTTGTTGACGTGGAGAGTATTATCGAGGGAAGCGCTTGTTAGGAAAAGGGCGGGCAGCAGCTGATCCGACTCACTGTTCCAATCGGGGTGCACCTCTCGTGCAACACTCTCAGAAAAGCCCTCAACGGCATACTTGGCGGCATGGTAGTAGGCGTGTCCTGGGAAGCCACATAGACCAGCCAGCGACGAGATGTTGAAGATGACCCCACCACGGCCGCTGGAAGGGGACGGGCGCATGGCCTCCAGGGCACGCGTGGTGATGCGAGCCGTCCCGAAAAATAGCGTCTCCATTTCTAAGTGCGCCTCCTCCTCGGTTGCTGCCTCCGTATCACCAGACAAGGAGTAGCCCGCATTGTTAACGACAACATCGAGGTGGAAACCGGCACCAAAATGCTCAGCAGCAGATGCAAAGGCGGCGTCGACTGAGTCTCGGGAGGTGACGTCCAACGGGAGCTTGAGGATGTTGCCGGAGTTGTCATCCGGTAGGTAGGACAGGTCAGCTGGGTTGCGAGCAGTCGCAATAAGTCGGTGTCCAGGTTTGCTAGCAATGAGAGTGGCGAGCGCACGACCGATCCCAGAGGAGCAGCCGGTTACTTGGGCATATCATAAGCTTGTGGTTCCCGCCCGAAGCGTCTTAGATACGGATCTCATGGTTCAAGACTTACTTAACCAGGTCGCATCGTCTGGGAGTTTGTAGGGCTTCGTGTTGACAGGGTTCATCGTTGTGCTGCGAACTATAGCTTGTTCTGTACTGCTCTCCGTCGTTCATTTTCACAAACAAGAGCTGAGAGGACAGGTTGAACAAATATAACTACGACCTATGCATCCTACGTTCAGTTCAAATCACCTCTTACCACAACTATTTTGATCTCTCTGAATCCTTTCGCTTCTTCATGAAGCTCACCGGCGTTTCAATCCCTCGGCCTACTCAATGGGGCTGACCGTGGCGGCACAGACAAAACCCACCGCGAGTCGATCATCCAGTCTCCTGGTCGACAACGCCAGCTCGGTTTCCAGCAGATCCCTACCTCGCATTCCTTCCAAAACTTATCTCGTCGCCCTTGACGCCATTTCAAGTCTCCGGATGGCCCCTTTCCCGCAGGCCGGGCGTCATGACTCATACGGCCCGGCTCGTTGAAACAGCACTCTCATCAAAAAGACCTCAAGAAGAACCGGGGAAACGGAAAGGGAAAAGAGAGGAGGAAAACGTAGTTCATCAGGAATGAACGGAAATTGGTCTATCAGGAGGCCAGCTGACAGATGCATAGTAACAAGAGCGACGGAGATAAAATCGTAGTGATGTCTTGTTTAGCTTCACCATCTACATGTCTTGGCAAACCACGGGCAGCTGGAAACCCCTGCCCTGGTGCCCGTCGTGTGAGACATTGCCGATCTGCCAAGCCAGGCTTCGTGAAGACAGCAAGCACCCAGTAATTAGTTAACGATAAACTTAAAACTAAAATAATACGTAAAATCACCTAAGCTAAACACTGTCGACAACACCAATGCATTTATAAATAAACATCACGTATACTCAGTAAAGGGTATGCAACTATCCGAAAACGCCGCCTGCAGCAAGCATCAGGCCGTTACGCACCATGCGTTTCGCCACCCACTAGTGCAGTGCAACAAGCAAGAACAAGGTCACACTTCCTCAACTCTGGTTGACAAGTCGTGCATCGGAAATCCGACGCCATACATGGCATTAAGCCGTCTTGGTCAAGTTTTCGGTGAGCCACGTTTTGAGGTTGCCGCGAGCCCCCTCCAACGTCCAACTGATTGGAAAACAACTGAAAACGCACCCGCGGAGATTCGCGTGCTCGAGCTTCACCCCTGGACCTTATCCGATCCCTTATGTTTTCCTCACTGCGTGGGAAACTGGGTCGGGGGAATGGATGGGGGAAGGGGATTGGGTGTCAAAACCGGTGAGCAAGGAATCATGTCTTTAAGAGAGCGTCAAATGCGTGTCTTGGATTGAAGCAGCTGGGAAGGGGGGGTTGGGGTGGGGCGGAGAGACACAAACAGGACCTGGGCCCATGAAAAAAATAAAACTGTGGTGGTTGATATCGAAATCAAGAATAGAGGGTTACCCTGACACATATGCAGCGGTCCCTGGGTGAGGTACATACGCAGTCGACATACGCAATGTACACTACAAGGAAGCTGGCGGTAATTCATCTCGGCAGCATCAACCAAAAAAAAAAAAGGCGAGAAAAGGCAATTCTCTCAGGTTTCCCATCCTGGGATATTCAGAATCCGATGATCTATTCGTAGTGTAGTGTCATCTTGCCACGGCCAAGGCCAATTCTTGCCAAACTGGGAAGATGGGATTTGGGGAATGGGAATGCCACACATCCCGACAAAGAAACAAAGCGGATTTCAAGAAACTCGGAACAAAAAGTCGCCCCTCGAAAAGTGGGGTTACTTAACAATCTGCTGGCATGATTGGGGGTTTGGTTTCAACCGTGATGCCTCGTGGAAAAACTTGCCCCTCATCACTCAGTCAGCGGTTCAATTCAATCAATAGCAAGCGGAGCATTTCGCCGATATCGGTTAGGCTCGCGGAAGCTCTCTCTTGCTTTCTCAAGAGCAAGCAAGGGACAGGCGACAATATCCTGAGAGCTCTCCCAATCGAGCATTTTCATTCGCAGCCAATATTCAGGGTCCTGGAGACTACGGCATGGACGGGAATCTCTGATCTGAAACCTGTAACTCTGGAGCCCACTCATCTGGCCACAATAACGCCATTGTCCACGCAATCTGAAAGAACTAGCAGCGTTTTCCCACATGCCTTGTCGCCCAAACACCCTTGCTGCCCCACGCTCAGGTTGTCAGGCTCTGAGGGTGAGCGACAGGGGAGATGGCAGAGAAGCAGAGCAACATGTAACAGTAACATCCTCAGTTGGAAGGGACGTGGGGCCCTTGCCGATATTGGAGACGACACTAGCGATTTCGACTCGAAACATCTGGGAACAGCCTCTCAAGGGTGTTTTGCTCCCTGAACTTGCTAATCCCGAGGCACGAGCAGGAGAGCAACAACAGCAGAGGGAAAGCCCTGAGAGGAGAAGGACGAGTGGCCAAAAGTGACAGATGACGTGGTTAGATTGGTACATACAGATATCCTCAGCTGACTTTACATGACCTGCACATGGACGGCGACAAGCAGCAGCAAGAGCCTTCCTTTATCACACAGGTTGATGAACACCCGCTGGACAAGCCCACATCCCCTACTGACCTAACAGCGCCACTGCAGTATGAGAGTGTCCAACCACCCTGCTGCTATGCACGGGAAGGAGACGGTTGGATCCGACCTGTCGTGCCTGTTTCGACGGTCCAGACTGCGAGTGCCTGACCATGGCATGGGGGCTTCACAAAGCGGTCCCCAACTTTTCCTTTTTTCCCCTTACCACTCCTTGATTTCCCCTCGCGCCGGCTTATGCACGCGCACGACCTTGTCACAGTTCAGCAGGCAGAGCGGGTCGAATGCTGCCTTGATCTGCACAGGAATTAAATCATTAGCATCTGACGTTGGGTGTTGGTAAGCCGATGGACCGGCTAGCCCGTTAACGGGGCGAGGCGTGGTGGGGGGTCGTGGCTAAGAAGGGCAAGGTGCCAGGGGGTGGTTCCGCCGCGTTTGCTGCGGAGTGGCCTTTCTCTCTCTGGCTCTTGTCCGTATCTCATTCTCCTTCTTCCTCGGAGGAGGATAGGAAACGAAAAATAGGACAAAACGAGGCTGGGGATTGGAGGAGAAAGCCGAGGGGAAGTGACGAAAGAAAAAGTTTGCTTTGTGCTGCTTACCCTTCTCATAGCATCCACGGTAGTCGTGCCCAGCTCGTGAGGCAGGTAATCGCGCTTGACAAGTCCGACACCATGCTCGCCCTGGGATAGATCGTTAGTCAAGGTCAGAAACGAGTACCACCATTGCTGACTTAGCAATGGAAAGGGTTGGAAAGTGTGAGATCCCATCTTGCAGGACAAGAAATCAAGGAGGGGGAGTGTGCATAATTATGGCCTGAGATATCTGCACTGGGCTTTGGTTTGCGATTGCAAATTTACGACCCGACGTTGCAGATATCACATTCAGGGTCCCTCAGGGTCCCTCAAGGTCCAACGTACCGTTACAGTGCCTTCCATCTCGACCGCCCGCTTCACCATCCGATGGACGCAGTCTTCGGCTAGCTCGCGCTCGACATTGTTATACAGGAGGATGACTACATCGGTTAGGTAAAAGTCCCGTTAGTTTGTGTTTCGTTGTTTTATGCATCCAGTATTTTCCGTATCCCACACCCCGCATTTTGCAAGTCACTCTTGACTGCGGTTGATGTTGGTTGGGCCGGGAGCGAGTGAGGGAAGAATAGGGGTTGGGGGGGGAGAGAGTGGAAGAGACGCACTATGAAAGTTGCCGTCGCCAACGTGGCCGACAATGGAGCTAGTCAGTCCCGACCTCTTGAGATCACGCTTGGTCTCCTCAATGATATCCGGCAGGCGGCTGACCGGCACGGCCACATCGCCGGTCCAGACATGATCACCTTCACGGCGCTGGCCCATAGTCGCCCAGAGCGCATCTTTCCGGGCGGACCACAGCTCGGTCTGTTCGGTCTCATCACGGGCAAAGTCGAACGACTGCCCGCCCGCGCGGCGCGACATGGTGCGGACCAGGTCGATCTGCTCCTTCACGCCCGCGGCGGTGCCGCTGAACTTGAAGAAGATGGTGGGCGCCTCGCGCCACTTGCGCGTGGTGTTGCCGAGCGCGTTGATGAAGCGCATCTGGTCGTCGTCGAGGATCTCGACGGCGGCTACGGTGACGCCGTCGCCGACGACACGCGCGACACAGTCAGCCGCGTGGCGGATGGTGGGGAAGCTGGCGACAGCGACGGAGGCCGCGGCGGGCTTGACACACAGCTTGAGCGTGGCCTCGGTGACTAGGCCGAGGGTGCCCTCGGAGCCGATGAAGAGGCGGGTCAGGTCGTAGCCGGCGCTGCTCTTGCGCGGGCGCTGGCGGGTCTTGATGACGGTGCCGTCGGCGAGCACGACGGTAAGCGAGAGCACCCACTCGCGCATGGTGCCGTAGCGGTAGGCGTTGGTGCCGCTGCAGCCTGTCCCGATCATGCCACCAATCTGGGCGCCCGGGCCCGGGTCGGGCGGGAAGAAGAGGTTGTGCTCGGCCAGTTGCTCGTTGAGGTTCTCCCAGCCGACGCCCGGCTGCACCACCACATCCAGGTCCTCCTTGTGCAGCGCGATGACCTTGTCCATGCGGCTAAAGTCGATGCAGATCCCCCCATGCGTGGGGGTGTAGTGGCCCTCGAGGCTGGTGCCGCCGCTGTAGCCAACGACGGGGATGTGCCGGGTATGACAATTCTTCATCACCGCGGCGACCTGCTCGGTGGTGGACGGATAGACGACGCAGAAGGGCTTGTGCGCTGGATCGGACTGGTGCGACGACCAGTCGGACGTGGCATGCGCCTTGATGTCGTCCTCGACCGTGCTGACATTGTCCCGACCGACGATGGCCACAAAGTCGGCCCACGCGGCCTCCAGATGCGCCGGGTTCATGTTGTACTTTGGTTGGCGGCCAGTACCGAGGGGCAGGGTTGAATCGGGGTCGGGTTCGCGGGGGTATTTGAAGCCGAGGTACCACGATACGGAGCCGACGAAGAAGAGCACTAGGCGCAAGGAGACAGTTAGTTAGAGAGACGCACTTCCAGAGCAGCCGGTTGACCTTGTTCCGTATCATGTAACCCATTTTTATATCCTGAACCCCACGCTTTGTATTGAACTCAAAAAATAAGACAAAAAACTCACTGAACGTAAGACTAAACGCCCTCGCAAGCGAACTCTCCGGCCGCACTCTCGCCAACCTCTCCAGATCCGCCTTCTCGCGCGCCAGCCGTCTCGTGATACTGCCCGTCAACTGGCCCGAAAACGACGGGCCTTCTGGCGGCGGCTTTGGCAGCGGGGCCGGCTCGAACCGGTTGAGAAACTTATTCCGCGGTCCTGTCGTTGAAAAGTGGGCGGTTGTCGTTGCGCGGGATACAGAAGAAAGGCGGGGCAGGAGAAGGAGACATGCTGGGCGGTTGACGGTCGCGGTCATTGGTGTGGGTGTGAGGAAGGACGTGGAATATGAGGTTGTTGATGTCTTTGCCATTGACGTCGTTGTCAAGCAGCGCGCTGTGCCCATTGTCGTCGTCGTCGTTGTCGTCCTGGACGTCGTTATCCGATGTCGTGCCAGCCCGTGGGGCATTTTGCCCGCGAGCCGCGACATGGTCGCACGGGGAGAGGGTAGTCTCAAGTGTAGTCTCAATTGACCTGGAGATTGAGTTCTCGGAGCCTATCTCGGGGAAGCCTCATGCCGTCGTTGGAGGTGGTGTTCTCGGATCTGCCGGTCGAGAGAACGCCAAGAACTGGTTTTTGAAGTTCGATCGGATCAATGGAAAAATGGTCAGAGCTCCCTCGGTGATGGTGTGGAGCCCCGCAATGGAGTGCTAGAGCAGGGGTGTCTGATGGACGACCCCACGACGATGACATTTCGAGATACGGTACTGGGTATTGTACCTACTGTGAAGGAAGACCGAGGAGTGTCGATTCAAGAATAATATTATATTGATATATTGCTACCGAATCTCATCGCTTGCGCCATGACTCTAAACGCAGTGCCCGTTGAACGACCCAGTCCCCCGATACTCCCATACTACCTGGAGTGGAAAGGAATACGGAAATAAAACGCCGCATGGTGAATAACCAATTCCTCGGATCGGGTATATTTATCCTTTCCACCATCCACCATCCACCAAACACCCTAAGGCCATCTTGCATCATCCCCCGGCACAATGTGCACCACAAACGTCGGCGCCCCCTTGCCCTCCACATGCGACAGGTACATGTCCAGTTCGTCGTCGTCGCTCACCGGCAGCGGGAGCTCGCCGCCCTTACCGTCTTTGACCATCCCCTCAATCTTATAGCACAGCCCACCGCGCGTTTTTTGCAGCGCGGCACTCTTGAGCGCCGTCATCGTCCGCGCCTCGAGCGACCCGATCCACTGCCGCTGCACACCCTGGAACATCATCACGGCCGCCGGACTAAGGCGGAAGAATGCGGCGAGCCCAGTGACGTTAGTCGTGTTGGTGGTTTCGGCGGCTGGGACTGGTTCTGGCTGCGCTTGACGCTGGGCCTGAGGAGGAGGCTGAGGATGAGGTGATTGGTGTTGCTGCTGTTGAGGACGACCTTGAGCCTGTGTTTGCTGCTGTGTAGTACCAGGTGTCTTAACACCCAACTGGGCATCGACCATTTGCTGATCCGGCTGCTCGCTACCAGCCAAGGTCAACCGTGCATTGACAAACGGGGCTGGTTGCTTTTTCTTGGTCTTAGAGCCAGGCGGCCGGCCGCGCCGCCGGGGATTCGTTGACGGTGGCAGTGTCAGCCCCGGTGCCATTCCCGGTTCCAATTCTTGTACCGGCGCGGGAGGCGCCCCGGATGCAGTCTCCGACACGGTCATCGCAGAGGTGTCTGCTGTGTTCCCTCCTCCCCCTTGCGCCGTCGCTGGCCCCTCCGAAGACGGATCTTCCATCACCGTGTCTTCGGCCCCCGCCTCGGCTCCCTCTTGCTCAGCGGCCGCCTCCGCAGCCTCCGCAAGCTGCTTCCGTTTCGACTTTGGCTTCCAGACTGGCGTCTTCTCCGGGCCCAACACGATCGGTGGCGGCGTGGTCCCCAAGCGGCACGCGTCTGCCCGGTACCGCCTCATGGTGTCCCGACAGACGGCCTTGACCGCCTTGATCTTGCGCTCATAATCCGGATCGTCTGCGGCGACCGCCATGATTTTGCTCATCTCGGGTGACTCCGCAAGCCAGCGCTGCCGGAGCTCTTCAAAGAAGTCTGGCCCTTCCTCTAGCTTCGACGTGAACCGCTCCCGGACCAGCATGTTGTAGAGGTGCGCGCGGACTCTCCGGCCCTGGGACGGGTTCAGGCCCAAGATAACTTTTGCTTCGGCAATCTTCATCATGGTAGCCTCGGTGCGGATCCGCTTGGTCACATCGCACGCGATGATCTCGATGGCCAGCCTCTTCTTGTCCAGGTCGGTCTGGTCCCACATCACGGAGCGCAGGTGCATGCTCTCACGAATCAACCGATCTTTGAGCGCCTCCCACCGTTCCGGTCCCACCAACGTTTTCTTATACACCCCCGAGTTCACGCAGATATTGTAAAACTTCTCTCGCAGATCCAGGTACGGTTTCTGTTCCAGCTGCAATATCATCTTCGCCTCGCCGAGCGTGGTCTCCGAAGGGAAACGGGGCGGGCACGGTGGATCCGGGGGCAGGCCCGCGTACTTCTTGGTGTGTCGGCGCCGCTTCTTAGTCAGCCATCGCTCCTGGGCTTGAGTTTCGTACAGTTGCCTGCGGTAATCGCGGCGCGCCTCGCGCATCGCGTTGAGCGTCTCCTCCTGCACCTGCGCATCAGCTGGTTCCAGCCCGGTCGCCCCGTAGTTCCAGTAATTGCTCTGGTCCTCTTGCGTTCCGGGCTCCTGAGGCCTGCTGTCATCGCCGCTGCCAGTCTCATCGTCCTCATCACCACTATCCGCCTCTCCATCACCGGCCTGCCCCCCTTGGGCCCCCGGCCTGCGCGGGGCAGTCGCGAGATTGAAACCGTTCAACTTCCATCCGTTCTTGTGCCGGATGCGCGACAACTCCCGGTCGCCGCATTTGAACCCTTCCTCGGTGAGCATAGTGAGCATCTCCTTCTGGGTCAGGTTCCGTTCCCATAGCTCCTTGACCCGTGCCACAAGCTTCGGATCTTTGTAGGCCGGGTTCTGTTTAGTGGGGAATCCCCAACGGCAAAAGGCACCTTGGAAGGCACGTCGACTGCGACGATGGGATTACAGTTAGTTCTATCGACGTCCCTCTCATTTTGTTTTCATCGCTTCTCGCAACGGGGGGCCAGCGGTGTTCTAGGTTAACCATTTTGACGGTTGTCAATAAGGCAAGATGGGATAAAAATAACAACAATGACGATTGAAGATGCTTCAGCGTCACAATCCTCTCAGCCTTCAACCAAGCGGAGGCAAGCAACCGGCTTTGGTCGGGCAAGGCAGGCTGTCAGGGGGTAGTACGGTGATCAAAAATACAGGATGCGATTGAAAATATATGGGAGAGATAACTAGATGGGTGGGTCGGCGGATGAATGGATGGGCGGACGAGAGGAGTGGGAGCTCAAAGTTGGTATGGGGCCGGGGGGTGTGGGCGTGATTATGGTGGGAAGAAAGGCCGCTACGGCGGTATCAAAAACCACAGCGAAAAGGAAACCCGATCTGGACTTACGACGGTGTGAAATTGTAGTTGACCCGCATGTACTCAACCACCTCCGATATCGACATGTCCTGCTCGACGTACAGTTGGCGACATGTTTCACGGTGCTGTTCCCAGCGAAAACCCATGGCTCTTATTATTGTTGCGCCGCCCGCGCGTGCGATTCATACAGGGTCGATGAGAGTTGAGCCGGATTGTTGGCGAGTTTGGGAGGTTGAGAGTTGTGGCACGCCGGAGGAGATTGCGCAGCTGGTAGAAAAAGCACTCTGCAGCGGGGCAAGATGGTCCGTGCGTTATACACCGTTGCTTGACAGTCATCTGCACTGTGCTTAGTACGGTATGCTGTTCTGGCGTTGGGCCCCAAGATTTATTGCACGTAACTACTATGGACAATAACTACACTAACTTCGGAAGTCAAGTAAGGAGGTAAGCGTACAACACCTCAGTATTCATTTCCTGATCTATTTGTCCATTTTATGATGTTCATGATCTGAGGTTGTGCAACCCATACTCAAAAAATTGACTCCATTACTATGTACACTTAACCCCGAGACTATTCGGAGGGAGGACTTGTTGTGGACTCGCTGCAGCTCGCCCTTGCCAAATACGACGTGCTACTCATACCTGTTGGTTGGACCACGTTCAAGGGGAGCAAGACGCAGACAAGGCTGCAGCCAAACCAAAGATTCAAATGCAAACGTGAAGAATTAAAAAAGCGCTCTTCTTCTTTCCTACCCTGGCGCGGCTCAAACGCGAACTCGTTGGATTTGCGAGCCGTCCATTCTCATCCTCAAACAGCCCAAAGGTACCCCAGGCACTCATCCACCTTCAGATCACGGGCTTCTTGTATCCCGTGAGTGGCATATATTGTCTCACTCGTCCATTCTCGTCTCAAATCCCTCCTTGCTGACAATTTTTTTCCCCGCTCTCGCTCCCCTTCCTTCACATTCGTGAGGACCTCTTAACATCCGTTCTCTTCCATGTCTGATGAATCTCTCGAGTTTTCTAAAATCCTTCTCCTCTTATCAACCCGTTCGATCTCCACCTATTCGTTGGTTACACATCTATTCTGCCCGTTCCTACTCGTCCTCACTCGACCCAATGCTCCCTCCCTTCACGCCCTTGCCCGCCTTACCTTTGGTTTTTTCCCTTATGTGGCGGCCAACTTCCGCTGCTTTCTGGGCGGCACCCAACGTATCGAACCACTCTTCTGGCTTAAGCCTCCCACCGGGATAAACCTCATTCAAATACGCCTCCCGCTCCCTCGCAAACCCTAGAAGTTGTTCTTCGGCGCCCCATTCACCCATGGCCATCAGCCCGACCGGTAGCTTCCCCTCGCCTTGTTGTGGATCGACATACCCCGCCGGGAATGTCACGGCAGGACACCCGGTCATGTTGGCCACCCACGCAAAGCTCATGTTGCGGATTGACATATTTCCGTCGAAGCAACCATAGGCTTGGTCGCCTTCAGTGATGGGCCAGCCCGCGATGGGCGTCGTGGGAGTGAGGATCAGCAGGCCGGGATACTTGGCGAACAGGTGTGCCACGTGCTGCATGATAACTGTGCGGAGCTGGCCATATTTAAGGAAGTCGACGGCGGGGGTATGGGACCCAGTGGCCACAACAACGCGGTTGGGGTGGTTGAGCAGACCGAGGTATCGGCCCGGGTCGTTGGCGCGGCCACGAGCGTCAGCGGCGGCTTCAGCGAGGCAGATGGCCGAGTGCGCGAGCTGGCCCTCGCGGAGGAAGGGCAGTTGGATGTCGACGACTTCGTAGCCCGCGCTGACGAGGTGGGCAAGGGACTCGTCAAAGATGCGAATGACATCGGGCTCGGCGATATCCGTCCAAGCACGGCAGACTCCGACGTATTTCTTGCGGCCGGCGTCGGGAGTCGTAGAGATGGCCAGGAGGCTTTGGACGGGGTCATCTGGGTTTGGCTGCGAGGCGAAGCGGTATGCAATAGTCAAGTCTGCGGCCGTGGCTGCCATGGGCCCGACCACACAAACAGACGAGCTGACATGGCACGTTCGATTATGTGTGGTTTTGATGCCATACACGCCGCAGAAGGCGGGCGGAATACGCATGCTACCACCTATGTTAAAGTTTCCCAGTAAGTAATTATGCCATCAGGTTCGTTGTCACTCATAGTTCGCCACAGATTCGACAACTCACCAGCATCTGTTCCGAGAGCGATTGGGATGAGACCTGCGCTGAGTGCAGAGCCCGCACCCGACGAAGACCCTCCAGGATAGTACGACGTATTGTACCAGTTGACCGCGGTTCCGGTCGATGGCTGCCTCTTTTATCAGTTCGTCTCTCCAACAGGCTGATTAGGCAATTGTAGCCAAACACTTACGTTACATCCGGTCGTGTCTACCGTCTTGTTAGTGAACGAATTATTCGTGGAATAATCGGAATCAACCCCAACTCACCCATCCCAACCTCATGCTGGTTCATCTTGCCAAGCATGATCGCTCCGGCTTCCTCCAGCGCCCTTACCGGCCAAGCCGACTCTTCTTTTACCTTGTTGAAATACTCCTCCGACCTGTCCACCTTCATCCCCATCCTTGACACAAAGCCCTTGACGGCGATGTCATCCTTCACACCAAACGGTACGCCGTCCAAGATGCTCAACGGACTCCCGTTCTTCCACCGCTCGGTCGACGCGCGCGCAGCCTCCAGCACGTCCATTGCCTTGGTCTGCGTCCAGGCAGCGCTGTACTTTGACTTCGGGCGGTAGACCAGGTCGACCTTCCCGAGCAACGCCTCGGCGACCTGCAACGGGGTCACCGCGCCGGAAGCGTACATTGCGTGGTAGTCAGCGGCGGAATAGAAACGTCCGCCGAGGTCCTCGGGCTGGGGCTGCGACAGCTCTGGGCCGATAGGGAGCATGTTGGACGTAGAAGATGAAAACGGGCTATCTGCGAGGGGGATGACATCGGGCTGAGGGAGTGGTTAGTAGGGGATATGGGGCCGGGACAACGACGACCACACGAACCTGAATTCGCCAAGGGACGCCATCAAGGTCAGGAATGTACTGCGCCTGTCCAAACTTGGCGTTGTTCCACAGCAGCTTTTGCACCAGTGGTAACCGCTCGATTCTACACAAGAGTTAGCCATCATCTTCATCTCCACCTTCACTCCCACCGGCCACCAAAATCCCCAAAACACATACATGATCGATGCAAGTGCAAGCGGCCGACCTCGCAGGGCCGGATTCTGGTCCTCCTCGACATGATACTCCAGTGACGAGGCAGGCGCTTCCTTGGCGCCCGGGTGGTTGGCGAATCGTTGCTTTGAGATTGCCATTTTTATTTACGGCGCCGGTACACGATACGGTCTCTAATGGCGGTTTAAGGGCGTTGGAGCGAGTGGATGGCGTTGCTCTTTGACTCGAGAAGGTTTGTCTTGGGTGGGTTTGCCGAGGTTCCGACTCAGTGGTTAAGCAACAGCCACCGTTATTGCTGACCCCAGAAAGTCGCACTTGGCGTCAGCGCTAACTAGCCTTAGCCGTCTTCGAAATGGGCACCCGGTTTTGGCAACAGAAGACCGATCCTTCTTGTTATGCTGGATTTTTTGCACTCAAGACTCGGAGATGGTTTTACGAAAACTGCCTCTTCCTTTGAAAGCTCCAGAGTTGTTTGCCAAGGGACAATGAACTTGGATTGTTTGGTGTCTGGGTAAGGTCGGGTCCCTCGATATCCTGTTTGATGGCGAGCTCAACCGTCAATGGAATGGAAACGTCGTCAAGAAGCCGGGCAGCAAGAAGCTCAATTGAAAACAAAAGGTTTGGAGAAAGAACAAGGCGATGGCGAAAGCTAAGATCTGGGTGATTTATCAGGGAGTTACAACGTTCAGACGCACCTTCCCGAAGGTGCAAGTATCATTCCTTCCTCTCAGCTATCGGCTGGGATCTTGGACTCGGTTCCCATCCGAATTGCGGGGCTTTCCTCGAATTGCCTAGGTTCGACAAGGACAAGGGGATATCGGGAAGAAGCCGAGGAACGAACAATGCGGGTTCGGGTCCACGATTCGAGATATTGATTAGTTTTTGTAAGCTAACGTTGAGATACGATGTATTGTTGGAGATGGACCCCCCCAGCTATGGAAGAAAAAGGGGCTTAGACAAACAAACTTGACCTGCTACTGATACTAAGTAGCGTTTTACAAAAGAAAAAAATTTAATTCCAACCGTTAACAGCTCAAGGTCACCCTCGGGTCCTGCTCGACCGCCACATCATCTTCGGTTGTCTAGCGACTGGAATGTTGGGGACACACTACATCCAATACACGGGAATAAGTATTTACATCTTTTGAGCCAGTGGTGGTCCGTAACCAACACCAGACACCGCACGTCACAACGCAAGATAACACACGGCACAAATGCGTCGATCTTCACGATTGGGAAAACCACCATCAGATAGATTCTAGGGAGGCGACACCAAAGCCGCGCCCAATCTCTCTACGTAGTTTGTGTGACAGGTGATACCACAGGCAGATTAACGCACCCCACCATCCATCATCTGCCGGGCACTCCGTTCAAGCCATCCACGACCCAGGTTATGCGATGCATACCAACCACCATTGACTCCATTCGTAAACGAGAGCACGAAGGGGAAGTTGAAGAACGAGAAAAAAACATCTCGCAACGGGAGAAAAATCAAACAAGATTCTTCCCGAAACCTTCCGTTGCCCCCCCTCTTCTAATATGTACAATCCCAATCCCGAAAAACCCCATTCCGGAAAACATTGTCTGCCGTGGCGCGTGACCATGATGCATGCTCCAAGAACCACCCCTGCCTTCGTCATCAAAAAGGCGTGGGTATCAAGTAAGCGTAAAAGAGAGCAAGAAGACGAAAAACCCCATATCACTCCTCCCAATGTATCCGAGAAATCCATAAGACACCCGATATACCGTTTCCTTCAACTCCCACCCCCAAAAGCAAGTGAGCGCAGGGGAAGAGTCGTCGAAAACCAATGCCCCAAAATGACGAGAACGACCGTAACGAAAAAAGAATCCGTTCCCCCCCGGGAATGAACATCCATGCGGGAAAAAAAAAAGATGCAGGGAATAAAAGACCGAAGAGGGAAAAGTCACCCGGGAAAGTTCCCGCCCCCCGAAAAATCAACGCCTTCCCGAAATGTATGTTGCTTGAAAGAAAATGGTAGAAAAAACAACCTCAGCCTTCAGTTCCAACTCCTTATTCATCTTCCCAGGAAGAGAGTCGGTCCAGTTTGAGGCGGTGGTGCACTGTCACTGTGTGGGTGATGAGTCGGTTGGCGTGAACAGTTTTGGTATGTATGGCTGTTTCCAACCGGAGTTGGCTTGAGGCCCGGCGTCGCCTGTTATGATGGTTGTCAGAGGGCGCTGTTTTACCCCCCTCGCCGCTTGGTCCTGTTGATAAACCCAAAGCGGACGAATGATTCTATGAGAATGAAAAAATTCCGATCCAACTCTATTTCTTTCAACGCGTGCTCATCCGGAGCAGCTTCGTCCTGAGCCAGAGAAGGAACCCATGCCAGTAACCCTGGGTTTTGCGTTTGGCACCACTACCTCTGCGGGGTGGCGCCTGATCAAAGCACACCTCGTCAACGCCAAAGTTTGGAGGGGTCTGCGGCACCATCGTCACGCTGTCGTACCGGTGGGCCGCAAAGCCCATGTGTTTCTCAGGCTCGGGAGAGGATATGGGGGAGTCGGTATGCCTGCGCCTGCCCAACCCCGGGACAATCCCGTTGCTTCCAGACGATGATGAGAACCCGAGGTTGGTAGTCGATTGGGACGGTCGCGAGTGCTTGCTATCTGGCTCAGAAACCGTCGACAGCACGGTGGGGGTCTTCTTGCGATGCATGGAGGGGCGACCTGGAGTCTCGCCCTTTTCGATGCGGCTGGCCTCCTTGTTGTCACGGCGCTCGCGCTTGCGAATCATTTCGCGGTCGTATTTCTCCTCCTTCTCGCGTTCACGCTCCTCAAATTTGCGCCGGGCCGCTCGGATGTTCTCGACCCGTGTGGCCGTGTCCATCTCTGACCGACTCCGAAGGCGGGGAAATCCAGCCATATCGAGCGAAGTTCGAAGCGGTGATAATTGCGATTGTGGTGGTTGCTGTTGTTGGGGGGATGCAATAATACTGCCAGCACCCAAACTGCCCGTGGGCGAATCGACCGTGTTGGTAAAACTAATGCTCAGGTTGTTGTGGGAATCGATGTGCAGGTCGGATTGGCTGGGAGATGGAAGACTGCCGTGAGCGAGGCGCGAGGAATTTGCAGTAGTTGTGACAGAAACGGATCGCCCAGTATTGATACGCAGAGACGGAGGTTTGGATGCTGGCGTTTCCGGGAAAGAAGCAGTGCGCTGGCTGTTTAAAGACGGACGGCGAAGGTTCGAGTTCAGGTTAAGGTTTGACTGAGACGAGGCAGCCGGTAGAGGCTGCGAAGAGGCATGCACGAGAACAGAATGCATGTGCGCGTGCCCATTCACAGCATGAACAGCGCCCTCAGCATCAAATCCGACGTCGTCTTCGGTTTCGGTGATGGTAGGCGAGCAGTCCCGCCCATTGTCGAAGGACGCAAGAGAGTTGGCGTACGACAGCGGCGGCGTCGACGTGCGTGGTGTTTGCGCGAAGGGATGCACAAAAGCCGTACGGGGACCGCTGCCCGCCGAAGTTTGGGATCCCGAGCGGCCGTGTTGAAGCTTGAGACTGGACCGAATAGTGCTGGGCCCGCTACTCATGCTCGGAGTCGAGTCTCCTCCATGCCCCGCGGCTCCAGCGGTCGCTCCTGCCGTAACCGTTCCGACAAGCCCGGTAGGGCCTCCAAACCCAAAACTCACATCTCGCGCCTGCCCTGAATAACCCATTCCGGTCTCCCACGCACTACCTGTTTCCAACTGCCCAATCTGCTGTTCATCCCAACCCCGATCCAGATCCAGCGAATTCCTCTCTGAGTGCGACAGCTTCTTCAATATTGGCTTGACCATCTTTCCTCTCGCTTTGGTGATTTTTGCTGCCGACACCGACTGCCCGTTAATCAATGACGCCATGTTGACAGTCTTTGCCTATTGATTCCCAATCAGGACCCCAATCAATCCAGCCCACTCGGACCGCAACACCACCTCCAGTACCCACTCCAACAACAGGCGTCCGCACCGGCGCTACCGCCGTGTCACGCGCAACACGGCGAGCGAAAGATCGAGGCGACCAGCGAAGGGATTCGTATCGACGCGCATTTAAAGGTTACGTCACTGTCCAACAAAAAGAGGAATAGGGATGGATGATCGGGGGAGTTGTAAAGGCCGTCACCGAGAGCCGCGGACCGTCCAGGCACAATGGATGGTGGTTGGGCACGCAAAACACGTCTGGCGTCTAAATGGCGACGGAAATGGGATATTTCGTCGTGGTCGAGGTTGTCGCTACCGCATCACAATCCCCGCCTGGTGGCAACAATCTGGAAGCAGTACGAAGTAGCAGCACCACTATCGGTCGGGTAATACGGAAACAGGTTCGGTAATTGGCGCACCCTCTGTGCTAGAGGCGAGCGCGGTTGTGCGGGAAACAAATAACAAGGCGTTGGGACATGAGGTTGTGTTTGTGTGGAATGGGAGTGACGGATTCTTTGGGGGATGCACGTTGGTTTTGCGACGAGGGAAGGGGAAGAAGACAATCACCGCCGCCCGCTGCCCGGATCGGCGAACCACACCGAGTTCAGCCTCATTCCCTCCCACTCTGCCTCTTTCTCTTCGCCCGCCATGTGCGACGGTGGGGAAGAGAGGGGTTTCCCAGGCCTGGGCCAGGGTGCCTTGCCCCGAGGCTTGGGAGCGCTGCGGGGGCCCTGAAACGGCGGCCCAGTGAGCGGTCAGCAAAGCGCGCATCGCAGCCACACGCTTTGGTTGTCGCGCGTCGGGTTGATTGGCCGGGCAGCTTGTATCCGCATGGCTGGATGGCTGTCGGGTCGTCGATTGGCTCCGAGTCGCGAAATCGTCTCTTGTTGTAGGCTCGGAAGCACGGCCAACCACAGACGCCATCAACACCACGGATTCGTGGAACAAATGATTGCCCGAAGTCCTCCAAAATTTGTTCCAAAATTTCACGACTCGAAGCGGTTGCTTTGGCAAAGGTCACCGACAAAACAGAGGAGAATGCTCGCCCTCCAAACAAACTTGTGGAGCGGCGGTCAAGAACACGAGCCCCGGCCCGTTCCAGGGGATCGAGTTCAATAGCGCGAGTCCGTTGTTGGCGATCCTGATCCGGGTGTGGGCACCCGTGGCCCCGGCCCGTTCCCTCTGCCAACACGATCGCACACAAGACGACCCACCTCTTTGTGCTCATCCCAAACTGGCAGACAAAACAAAGCATCTGTGTGGATGGGATTCGGGAGGAGCCAACTGTGATCGACTCCCGTCTGCTTGTCTCAACTCATCAAACTTCAGGGTCAAAACTGGGATCGAAAAAAAGACAGATCTCACCTCCACAGATTCTCGCTAAATGCGGGGTGAGAACCAAAGACCGAGCTGTCTGGGCGAGCTGGGCGAGAGGATGCAATCTATCTGAGGGCGTTGTCGACGAGAACGGATGCGAGGAAGATGCGCTTGTCTCACTGATCGACGGCCGTTACAACACCGGCCTCTCTCAAGCCTCTCCGCCGGTAACGTTATGTTTTTTTTCTTCCTTTTTCTTTAGATTTTTTCCTTCTCTCCTTCGAACAACTCCGATGTTTCCATCCTCGTGTTCCTCTCTGTTCTCTAACCCCCACCTCCCCCCACACCACCCAACCCACCATCCATCGTGACGGGCCGACCGGACGGGGGCAAAACTTCATCCAACCCCGCGTTTTGGACAACCGCAAACCCCTCCTTTCCCCGCGGCCAAAAATATACCTGTCAAAGGTGGCGAACGACGATAAGAAATGCGTCAATTCCCACGACATCCGGCCGTTTCTCGGGTAGCTGCGGGTGGGGGGTAAAGGAAGGGGAAACATAAATAAACACCCTGGTCTTATGCAAGACCGCTGAAAAAAAATTCAAGCGAGAAACGACGCCTCAGGAAAAAAGTTGTCTAGGTTGGTCTGTTGATCCATCACCAAAGGTCGATTGAGACCACGGCCCCTGTTGATCCCGGACCGGCGCAACGGGGGCTGCCGGCTTCCCCGGGCGGGCCTCTCTTTTCCTTTTTGGCAGGAGGGTGGTGGGCGGTGAGAACGGTCGCCCGTTAGTTTGTCGATGAGGTTTAGCGACCGCCGTAGTCCTGGTTGTCGGCCGGCCGGGGAAATCGAAAACGGAAACCGGAAAAGCGGTGGGCTGGTGCGCCGAATGTGACCCTGTGCCTCGAGCAACCAACGGGTTGATGAAGAGCTGGGGTTGCACCATGGTCGGAAGTCTGCTCGTCGACGACGAAGGAAACAGATGGGCGGGAGATTTTTTTTTGGTTTCCACGATCTCGCCCGTACCACTGATGTCGTTACCGATGCTATTTTTGCTGTTGGTCCTAACTAACTAACGCTGCTGCTGTTGTTGTGGACCTGGTTGCCTGCGGCTCTGGTTGTTTTTCACACGTGAGTGTATCGCGAACTTCATTAAAGGTTGACCGACAAACCTGTTGTTGGTTTACCTGCCCGCAATTGTCAACATCACCTATCATTCAACCATGTATTGTTGTTTCACGACGTTTGTTTCGTTGGTCTCCCCTGTTTTGGCTCATGCCTTCTTATCTCTTTGCGTATTCCCGACGGACAAGGTGATGGTGATGGACGAAGAGACGAGAGAATATTATTGGTGGTCTTCTTGTGTTCTTAGACGTGATCAGTGTCTATTACAAGATTGAGGCGAGGGGCAGCAAACAAGGACGATTGCAGGGTGGGAATCCAACCAGACTGGTTTATGCTCTTTTATTCATATTGTATCAGCCCGCGGCTCTGCTACCCTCACCAAGCCCGAGGCGACTGGCGTCCGGCTATCGAGCTGGTGGTTTAACGCCTGGCCATTGATGGAGAATGATGTTGAGTGGTGTAGGTCGCAGAGGGAAAGATGTAAGTCCTCGTCGTGTATAAGGGGCGTTTAGGGGGGCTAGAGCTCCGATAAGCCAAGGTGAGGCTCAGCACGTGTGGTGCCTAGCCCGACTTACACTTGCTAATGATTTCCAGGTAACCGGAAGGAAACAACCCCGTCATCGGGCCGTCGTTAATCGCAGGCCATAGCCGGGGGTTGGCCTCATTACCCCCCTTTCTCTACCCGTCCTGAGCTAACTGTCCGACACGGGGAGATGATGACTTGGAGGCTTCAAGTTTACGCAACCGAAGAGCCAAACACTTACCTTTGGGCGTGGGTGAATAAGGATTGAGAACCACCCGAGTCAGGACACCCAGGGGTGTTGGTTTAGACATACATATGCTGCGTATCTACCTACCAACCTATGCGCTACGCTCCCGGCCGGCCGGGCTCGCTGCATTGCAACATCTACTCCGGCCACGCAGGGAACGATCATTCGACGCTGAGGCAACTCATTAGTCCTGGTATGTCTCCCCCAACTTCCCTGAGCCAGGACTGACAAAGAACGTCCGAAGAATGGCTGTCGTCTACTGATGATAATACGAACTTAGTGCGATGGAGGCTTCCCTAGCGAGCGTGGGTTGGATGTGATGCTGGAACAGCGACCCCCTCCCGCGCCTGACGGAATGGGCCTCGTCAATGCCTGGCCGCCCGACGAACCCCGAATGGAAGGGCCCGGCCCCTTGGTGGTTTGCTGTCACTCGTTGACGAAACATTCGACCACGTCAACTAGGTGTGTGAAGGAAGGGGTCCGCCTCGCCCATGAGCCTATCCTGTCCCTACGCCAGGGTTAGCTTCGCGTGACGATACGCAGGGTTTGCAGGGCGGATCGCGGGAAAGCGCACGGCGGCGATCAAGGGGCCTGCAGCCTTTAGACGGGGACCCGGTTCGCGGTCCGGACCGCCCAAAAGGTAGGTAGTTCGGGGAGGAGCAGGGCCTCGACAAATCGTCGGGCGAGCCGTTGGTGATGCCGTCTTGCTAGTTGCAGCTGGCCTTGTCCTGGTCCCTCTGCGTCGCATTATTTAGGGCACGGAGGGGGACGCTGAGTCATTGGAAGACCATCCCCAGGGGCTCGGGCTTGCTGGACACCCCCTTCGTTTGATAGGGAGGTGTAGGGGCCTCGGTCGTGGGAGCATGCTTCCCCGGGCACGCTAGCGAGCCTTCGGGGTCCAGCCCAGTGGTATCAACAACACCAATGCTGGTCTCTGGCCGAGATCCCGAGATGGGTACGACGTGGACTCGCTTTGAGACGATCTTTGAATGGGTTTCGAAACAGTTCTCGTCACCCTTAGCGTCTAGGCTCCGCGTTGTGCTGCGCTCCACGACCGAATCAACTCGAAGGCCCGGGAACCAAAGCCGATGGAATGAATCTCGTTTCCTAACTTGGATACGGAACGGTTGCGGGGGCAAAGGGAGGGGGCGTGTATTGGAGGACTTCGGTGGCCAAGTTCTCGCAGCGGCTCGGGGAGTTTAAGGGTCTCACCTCCGAATACCGCCCCTTGACCTTCTTCTCCTCTGACTGAGCGGCCGTCGAGCAGGTGAGTGTAGCGTATGAGAGCCGTCACGCCCTTGCAAGTCTTGGTCACGCGCGTGATCAGTTCACAACTCCTCCAACGGCTGGCCATCAACAACGGGCCAGAACCCACAGAACGCGGGGTAACCCGCTGGAAATATGCTAGGCATCGCGGTCTGCTGGGAACAGAACCTAAAGAGGGGGGCCGAAGTGGCGATGGCCAAATTATCGACTCCTCTGCGGTAGGGTCCTGAAATTCCCGTGACCGACGGGATATATGGACCGAGCTGTACTGGGGAAACGATAGGCGTTCTGGACTCGAGACTCGAGTGCTTGCGCCCAGTCAGGTCACAAGCTGCCCGTTCCCAATCATTCGTAGTAAGTACGGATCCAGAGATGCTCTTGGACATGACGATCCGAGGCAAGGTGCCATGGACGGAAATACAGATAGGGTTATTGGGCGAGAAAATCCCTAGGGGGGTAGGTT